GCAGCCGTGACGGCGGCGAAGAGAGAGGTATATCTCATGGTGAGAGAAAGAGTGACAAGAGAAAGAATGAATGAATGAAGTGAAAAGTAAAGAATGAATGAATGAGTTGGTTCAAGCAAGCGTTCTTCACGGAGGAAGCCTTATATATATACACTTCATTTCGGGATCCGGACATGGTCCAGATGGAGACATTCAAAGTTGCAAACCCCTATTATCAGATCCAGTTCATCTATGCGAGTCAGTAATGCAGCGCCATGCCCAAAAAGAGACCTGTTAGATGAAATGTTACCAGACTAAGCCAGCCTAAGCCAGCCCTAAAAACCCACCAGTAAAACACCAGTTCCCAGTTTACTGGCGCTAAGAACGTCTAATCCACAATAATAATAATATCTTTGAGTACGGAGAGGTCAATGTATGAAGATTCAAACGTCGGCCAGAATTCCTTCTTGAGTACGTCGGTAATAACTGCTTGTCCGCCGTTGACTGGCACATAGTGGATAGTGGATGGTTCACCAATGAGGGGCAAAGGGGGACGAGTCTAGTTTAAAGTGTTTCATAGTGCTACTTAGGACATAGTAATATCTTAAACTCTTTGCACTGGGCCACTGGGGAACTTGCTAACATCTTGGCAGCCGGATGTGTTGCGCTTCTTGAGAAATTCTCCGTCTTGGCGGGTGCGAGTCGATGTATCCACAGACTGAAGACTCGAGACTCAAGATGTTGCATATATCCGAATACGAACCTCTAGCAGTGCGGCTTTTTCACTTGAATCTTTTGACTGACATGGACCAAGGTTCTCAAGAGTCAAGTCTCCTTGTGGTGTGGTCAATGTAGAAATCAGAGGTGAGAGACACGATCCACAGTGGATCATCGAGTGATTCTTCAACCACATGGTCAGTATCCATTATCATGACTAGTGTCTTTGTCAGGGGATACTCCTGGACTTCATTACGTCGAGATAACCTCCTAGGGAATAAGAGATCACTCTTGCATCATAGAAAGTGACTCCATTCCCCATACTGCGGATCCACATAGGGCAGCATCAGAAGTACCGAGCTTAGCCTTGCCTTTAACGTGGTCTACTCTGCGCAAATAATACCCACAGAGCAGTAAGCAGTTGTCTTAATTGTAGGAAATTGCCCGAAGGCTGTCAGGCTCTAGCGCCTGCTTGGCATATGGTCAGTTTGGAAGCTTATTAATTTGCTATACGGAGTACCAAGAAGGTAGTAATTACCGCCTAGACTCCCTTTCCCTAATTCCTCGTCGACAACAGGCTGGATATGCTTGTAGAATAGCCGTCGTCTTGGCGATATGTCAGGCCCCCGTCTTATATTACTGCTTTAATCGACCGGGACTTGGAAGGTCAAGAGAAATATATCGTATGACCTAAGGCGTTGGTACTCTACTTGAAGACACTATAGTATAGAAGGACAATTTCCGTATCCCACATGGTTGCATCCTTCACCGCAACCTCTTTCGAAGTGACGAAGAAGTCTGTCTGGTCCATCTGATAATAAGATCCGGTGTCTGGAAGCCGCCCCTCATGGTGTTGCCTTACTAAAACCCGAGGTATTGCCGCGACCTCGAAAGCTCAATGGCCACGGGTATACTGGGAGGACCTCGAGGTCCGCTTCTATAAAGGTAAGCGCCATTGTAAAAACGCAAAGCCCTTGTCGGCAGATAGCCCTGAAGTGATGAATCTTCTTGTCCATGGTGATTATGTGGGAGGTTTGGAACATGCCCGACTTGTCTCCATGACACTTCCCGATTGGAGATGAAGAACACTTGCAAAGAGCGCTTTTACCAAAGGGCTCAATCAGATTAAACTGTCAGTGGTGGCTTATAACCAATTGTCTCAATGTCTTGTTGCAGCAAAATATGAGAAAGATCGGCAATTGACCATTGGAACAGCTGCGAGCCCGGTAGGAGGCAGATAAAAAGCAGATGATCAGTCCGGACGATGATGAAAAAGGCAGCAGATGAGCATGAATCTTGGCCTTCAACATATTTGCTCTGATTTCAATTCGCGATGCGAATATATGCGCACATCAGTTCATGGTCAGGATCATGTCAATCTTATTCTGTCAAGCTGAATAGGATGTCTGATTCGAAGCGATCTACACTCGGTCCCGGTCGGTCGGTGCCATGGCAGCAGTTTGATTACTGAAACAGATCTCCAGACAGCTGTCATATCAGATCGGTGGTTCGAGAGCAGACTGAAGCAGATGTGATTGGCAAAGCGATTGCTGATCTTTGGATGGATGAATGAACCAAAGAGGAATAGTATTTGTGCCTTGCTGCCTCAGGCTCCTTCATATGACGTTCGGCCGTCGGGACGGCAGTTCCGTTCCTCCTTGGGCCTGGGCTAGCACTCAATCATGTCTATCGACTTCATGAATCAGATGGCTGTATATCGTAGACAATAGGAGGAGATTTTCCTCTCCATTGAAGCAGAACAACTACCGAAAGAACGACGGAGTGCCTGCAGGGAATTATATTTCTTGCATAGCAGCGAGTTCGCCGTGTATCCCCGACGCTTGCAATTAGCGAATGTGTGATTGGCCCGTAATCGCTGAGTCAGCAAATTGCCGACCGCCAGACCCGAGGTTACCTTAGCTCCCAGAATCGACAAAACATCTCCAGCGGCGTCTGAACTGTCTTCCGGACTCCTTGAACCTGATCTCGTCGTCGCCGCGGGCAGGCTGCTGCTATATCTGACCACCTCTACATCTCCTCTCTGCCTCTCTGCCACTTAGCACTGCTCGATCGACCCCTTTCGGCTCGTCCACCCTTGACTTCAGCGCCTCGAGTGATTGAAACAATCTTCCTCTCGTCCGCCCACCATGGCTGCTCTTCGTTCGACCTCGCGCCTCGTCGCATCTACAAGGCCTCTGTTCCGTCCTGCCATCTTTGCTCGCTCGTATGCCACTGTTGATCCCGCTACTGGAGTCGGCCGCTCTGGCAATGCCGAGGCCAAGGTTACCCCCGAGACCAGGACTTCCGACGTTCAAGATCCCAACCCGTCCCAGTCTCCGAGAATCAAGAAGTTCCACGTCTACCGCTGGAATCCTGACCAGCCCACCGAGAAGCCCAAGATGCAGACTTACAGCCTAGATCTGAACAAGACCGGTCCCATGATGCTAGATGCGCTCATCAGAATCAAGAACGAGATCGACCCCACCTTGACCTTCCGGAGAAGTTGCAGAGAGGGCATCTGCGGTAGCTGCGCCATGAACATCGACGGTATCAACACTCTGGCTTGCTTGTGTATGTTCGGCCCATCTGGAATGGATTAAGGACATTGAGCATGGTTGCTAACATGCCGTTAGGCCGCATTCCCACCGACACCAAGCAGGAGTCGCGTGTCTACCCGTTGCCTCACACCTACGTCGTCAAGGACTTGGTCCCCGATCTGACCTACTTCTACAAGCAATACAAGTCCATCAAGCCTTACCTGCAGCGTGACACCAAGACCGAGGATGTGAGTAATTCTCAGTTAATTGTGACCACGTAGCCCAGCTAATTCAAAAATAGGGTCTCGAGCACCGCCAAAGCCCCGAGGATCGCAAGAAGCTCGACGGTCTTTACGAATGCATTCTGTGCGCCTGCTGCTCGACCTCTTGCCCTTCGTACTGGTGGAACAGCGAGGAGTACCTGGGTCCCGCCATCCTGCTCCAGTCTTACCGTTGGCTGGCCGATTCTCGTGATGAGAAGACCGCCGAGCGCAAGCACGCTCTCGACAACAGCATGAGCGTCTACCGTTGCCACACTATCCTCAACTGCTCGCGGACTTGCCCCAAGGGCCTGAACCCCGCTCGGGCTATTGCTGAGATCAAGAAGATGCTCGCTGCTCATTAGTTGATGTATTCACAATAAAAGAACGGTGCTTCGTTGTTCTGGCTTGCTCATTTTCCTCTGTGTGCCTATATTTCCTTTCACCTCTTGCCCCATGTTGTTGCATTAGCTTTATCCCCTCGATTCCGAGGTTATTCATGTCGGATGTTTTCATAGGTGTAAATTGAGTATTTTGATTCATGCAATATAGTTGCGATATTCATCGTTAAATCGCTTCCTTTTGGCGCAGATTAGAGGAAAATTATGATCCATAATCGTCAGTAATTCAATCTATCCGCATTGAATGAAACCTTTGGATTATGTCTCCATATCATATGTGAATCCGCCAAATAACAGCAATAGCCTGGAGCATGATCGGAAAGAGTTCGGCATTTGTTTGGATTTTCTTTATAGAGGCAAAATTTTGGTGGCGATATCATCACTGGGCTGTTAGCACAGTGGTAGTGCGCCCGCTTCGCATGCGGGAGGTCGTGGGTTCGATTCCCACATAGTCCATTTTTGCTTCTCACAACTTCATCTGTGTTCTTTTTCTTTCTCTTGTGTTGTAATTGTTTTGGATGCCATCACTCTCACCAAGTTTGCAGTGCGAAACCTGGTAGATAGTGCCTTGCCTGTTTTGGGTTGAAGGTTTCGCCAGACAATCCGCAACTTATATACTAACCTGGGGTAATGCTGCCCTACGCTCTAAATATGTACACTGAGTACTGGCAGAAGCTCTTCGCCTTTAACATTTTAAGTACTGCATCATGACTGTCCCTACTGATAGCAAGATGGGCATAGTCACATAAATACGCGTCAATCGGCGTCAATCGTTCATTTCTTCTCTGACACATACATAGCAACAGCAGTCTCTTATTAGGACTTTTGTTGATTGACTTTGACACTTGTGCTCATACTCCTATAGAGTACTCTGCGGATAATTCAGGATGCTTTCTGGACTTATAAAATTGTATGATTTACTTATAATTAAGTTGAGATCTTACCAAGGACAGTAAGTTGGAACATGATACTATTTATAAAAGGAGATCCACTATCACTGTAGATCCTCCTCTGCCTCAACTCATCCCCTAGGCATTGACCCCACCATCAATCCACATTGTTTCCTTTCCTCTGCTCAACTTCCGACTTCATCCCTATTAACAAAAATGCCTCCTCACGAAGGATTGGTTCATCTCAAAGAGTACGACATCAAAGACAGCAATGTAGAATTGATCGGTTCGGACATCGACCACCGCGTCAAATACAACTCAGCCGCGTCCGAGCCAGCCTGGAACAACGGGCAGGTGGGACAAGAATGCGGGCTCTTCATCTGGCGCATTGAAAACTTCGAGGTCGTCACCTGGCCCAAGGAACGAACAGGCGACTTCTACGACGGCGACAGCTATATTGTTCTGCACTCCTACAAGGTTGAGAACAAGCTGTGCCATGATATCTTCTTCTGGCTGGGAAGCAAGACCACCCAGGATGAGGCGGGCACGGCCGCGTACAAGACCGTCGAGCTCGATGAGTTCCTGCACGGTACTGCAACGCAGCATCGCGAAGTCCAGGCCCACCCGTCAGCGGAGTTCATGGCGCTCTTCCGTCGGCTCAGCATTCTGTCCGGTGGCGTGCGGTCCGGCTTCACTCACGTTGAGACAGAGCAGAAGTCATCGAAAAAGCACGTCACGCTCCTGCGCATCTTCAAGCACCCTGGTGCTGTGCGAGCTGATTCAGTCATTGTGTACGAGGTGGAGCCGACCTGGCAGAGTCTCGACGACAATGACGTCTTTGTCTTGGATCAGGGTGAGAAAATCTGGGTCTGGCAGGGCAAGAACTGTAGCCCGATGGAAAAGGCAAAAGCCGCGCAGGTGGTCAACGATATGACTCTTGCTAAACATATCGACGTCGAGGTTCTTTCCCAGCTGGAGTCACGGTCCAAGATCATCGTGGACCTCCTTGGCGGCAAGGATATCCAGCAGTCGTCCTTCCAGGCACCGCGGCCTGGCACTTTCCCTACAAGCGGGCATCGGGGTATCGACGTGTCCCAGTCCCACAAGCTATTCCGACTCAGTGACGCCACAGGGTCGCTTTCATTTGATCTCATCAAGGATGGTCAGCAGATATCCCCTTCCGACTTGGACGGAAACGACGTTTTTCTCTGCGACACCGGTAGCAGACTGTGGGTTTGGCAAGGCTCGCGGGCGAGTAGACGGGAGAAGGCGCTGTGGCTCAAGGTTGCCCAATCCTATATCCGGCGAATTCAAGAGGATAGGACCAACTCGGCTGCCCATCTGATTCCGATCTCAAATGTGGTGCAAGGTCATGAGAGTCCGGCATTTTGGAAGGCTATCAGAGTTTGAGATTGGCCGCGGGCTAGTACCCATCTCTTCGATTGGCGAGACATGCTTGCTTCGGCCTCACGCTGTGTATCTAATGCAAATGGTAAAGATGTCACATTATACGGATGAACATGGAATGGCTTAAATATTCAATTTCATTTCCACAGAATATGCTTTGTAAAAACTGCGTTGCTATTGGCATACAGGGCTATATCAAATTGCAGAACGTCCACCTGGTACCTTGCGCTTGCCGGAATCATCTCGAACCGAGTGAAAGGTAAGTTTGGCCATATCGTGCTGAAAGTGTCCCTTCACATTCCCTGCTAATGTAACAGAATTTAGTAAATTTAACCGCTTGTTTTCCAGGGTTATCCAGGGATTCATTGCAAGTCACACGGAATCAAAAGGCATCCGGGTTATCTCAGTCCTCATACACCCCCGTACCGCGGCGGCAGTCGCCTCCAAGGAAATTGGTCCACGTCCCCTCGAAGATGTCTTCTCGGCGGGGGCGGCTGTTCTCTCGGGGGGATTGGCTGTTTTTGTACAGCCGGAACTTTCGGTGCGGGAGGTATATCCAGTTCAGGTCTTCCGGTTGCTTTTCAGGCAAGTGGTAATCAAGTGGTAACTTATACAGTATTGTATCACGAGCAAGGCGTATGTGTCAGCTGACCTACAAAGAGCATAGACCTTCCGTGTGATGAAAGAGTGGGGTTGATAAGACACCTGTACAGTTGCCCATCAGATCCAACTGTATTGCAGGTCGTCTAACAATCTATCATCTTGACAAATGAACCAGACTCCCATCTTGCTTTGATTATCATGGCCATCACTCAGCCCCCCTGGCAATCACTACCATGGATAGCAGCGATTGTGGCGCTTCGTCTGTCCACAACATCTGGCTTGAGTGTTTGCCCAACGTGTAGACCTAAGGAACTACGGAATGGTCCTGGTATTTTCTGGCTATTGAGTGTATCGGACAAGGCTAAGAGATGACATGCTAGGTATTGGAATTGATCTCACTATGGTATATGGGTAAGCTTATTTGCTTGCATTCACAGTGTTTTAGGGTGCTAAAATGTTGCTCCAGCCAGTACTGCTGTAATCCACTTCAAGAATGGCACCACTTGGGATCTTATTAAAATAGATGGCACATAGGAATATCTGTCAGCCATGAGGACGATTGTAGATAATGCATAAAACAGAATGTTTGAAATAGCACGAACTCATTAATGTAGGAATCACCTCCTTACTATTGCTGGAGATTTGCTGATAGTAATGTTAAGGAAGAAAATCTGGGTTCCTAATACTACAGAGCCTCAGAGAGTTAATTAGTGATCGCCCTGGGAATAGAACCACTTTATTACAGGCAAACTACACTAGCTTATAAACCTACCTTTAGTACTAATTGCAGAGTTACCTGATGACTGTGTCTATACTATAGCTGCGATGCTGTCTATAATAAAGTTGGCTGCCCTAGATACCCTCGTCCCTCTGTTGCAATATAACTATGTGCTTCTAATATAGCCTGATTTTGAGGCTGATATCAGACATATCTATAAAGGTCGCTTTGAACTTACATGTCGCCTAGCAGGTCTAGAAGATTTAGGCTGGAGCAACATAGCTTCATACTATGCTTTGAGAAATAGAGGGACACATGGGTCAGATCATCCTGCCATGCTTATAACCAGCTATAACACTGCTAGTCTTGGGATCACCCTTAACACTCTCCTTGATGAAGATGAAGACTTCCCATGGCCTTTGCGCCTTGTTGAGGGTAGTGACTATGCAGCGGAACATGCATTACTCCAAAGAGACCCTGTAAAATACTAGCATAAAGTTCGGGATCTACTGCAAATAGTAATTAGGAATGAGACTATTGATTACCTTCTTCTTCTAGGCTCCCATGCACGTGATCCTGGGTTGTTCCAGGCTGTCAAGATGTCTTGGAGGGTCAACCAGACGCCAATCTATCTATTATAAACCGCTATAATCCAGCTATTCACCGTGCGAATCAGGATAAGGACGAGCCGCTGTTCACTCTAGTAAGGAAAGCAAGCAGGGCTACTAGACATGGCATGGAGACTGGTTTCCATGTATGCATTGAGCTACCTTCTTGTGTGTCGGATGAGGAAGAGGGGGCCCATTCTGAGTTGTAAGCATCAGGATCAGAATGAGTCATCATGTTGCCAGTACTAGTCCTGAATCTTTCTATTTATGAGCAATTAGTTAGCTTCTATGGTGATCAGTATACTGTTGAACAGTATTTTTGCGGGAACTGTTCGACTTTCCATTCCAGACTCAGTCCAAAAGGCCGCTACTTTTCGTTCACTGAGCCAGCCAGATCATGAGCAGAGAGAGAAGGTGCATGCCCTGATCACTCACAGAGCAGCCCCAGAGCCCTCTACATAGTCCCTAATCACTCACTGATTATTGCCTGAACACATGCAGATAACAGATTATTAACCCTGGCCACCCTTAACTGGCTGCAGTACGGCCACTCGATACCTTCGGAGTGCTTGGCTCGTCTGTTGCAATATATATGAACTCCATGTTTACTGATAGGAGGCTGAGTGGAATTCCAAATTTTTAAGCGTCATAATCCAAAATCCTGCGCTAACCAGCCCAAAGACGGTCTATATATAGCTACCGCCTAAAATGATAATCTCAGCTTTTGGGTTCCATTTTAGTTAGTGCTGACGCTGACAGCAAAAGGAGAGAGAAGCGTTACCTCTGGGATTCCCCTTTGTCATTATAACTTCGCATCCTCAGTCTTTCTGCAAGTGCACTCTCAGGAGTAAAATTATCTTTGTTTTGTCTCCCCAAAACCATTCACACATAATGCGTTTCTTTGAAAATAATCTCGTCGTTGACCAGACGGACCGAACCTCTATACAAGTGCTTGGTGCCGGTCTCCCTCGTTGTGCAACGAGCTCTCTGCAAGCCGCCCTGGAACACATCGGTCTGACTCCCTGCATGCACTTCGCGCACATTGCGCCGAACGCCGAACGCGGGGACATCGTCCTAGCTGCACTCCGGGAGAAGGACTCTACACGGCGTCACAAGCTACTTTATAAATTGTTTAATGGTTTCCAAGGAACCACCGATTTCCCTGCGTCCATGTTCATGGATGATCTTATGGACATGTATCCGGACGCTAAGATCGTGCTGAACAAGCGGCCTGGTGGCGGCCGCCAGTGGGTGCAGTCGATCCAGCTGCTTACCTTCGGAGCCTCACCGGTGTACCACGCTCTGTGCTTCTTATGGAAGACCGACCGCAATGTGGCTGCCATGTGGCGCGAGATTATGGAGCTCTGTCAGAGCAAACTGAGTCTAACTGCGGACGAGCTTTTGACGGTAAAGCATTATGATGCTCATAATGCTTGGGTTCACGCCGAGGCCGCTAAGCGCGGGCGGGAGGTCTTTGAATTCGAACCTAAAGATGGATGGGAGCCTCTGTGCGTATTTCTCGGCAAGCCGGTACCAAGGGATGAGCCTTTTCCTCACCGCAACGATGCTTCCGAAGTTCGAATGGTCGTGAAGATTCTGTATGCTCGGGGTGCAATCTCCTGGCTTGCGCTAGGTGCGGTGGTATTCGGCACAGTAAGATGGCTTGTGAACTGGCAGCTGTTCTAGCCCATCAGCTCAAAGATTGCAATGCTCAATAAGCCATAAGGGTCAGGTTTTGATTGCATTGGGAAACGGGAGATCCTCAATGTATGATGATAGGACTACGCCAAGCTCAATTGAAACATGAAGAGCTCAGGCGTTAATCGGGTTAGTTATAACAGCGTAGTTGACCAATGAGACTTTCATTATAATAACTTAAGTTAGCAGGGCCGTTTTTGCTTAGGACTTATTGTCAGACCAGCTCACCATCGGGTGCATAGTACTCACTGAGCACTCGCATGCGGCCCTCATAAAAGTGGCAGCACCCAGATCAGGCAATTAGATATGTCTTGCAGCAAAACAGTTCACTTGTATACTATAAGTTATTCCATAGCGCATCACACAGCGGGACCCCTTATAGATATATATGGGTTATCAAACCTTCCCTTCTTTTTCATTTGCAGCTTCTACAGCAAGCATTCATTATCAATTACATACTATACGGAGTAGAGTAATCCCAACTGGCCATTTCCTTGCTTTAGCCCCTGCACCACGGCTGTTCACTACTAGATAATAGTATGCCGTCGCCTGTTTATTGCTCGATGGTTCTTCCCATATCAGATTCCGTCAACCATCGTACCTTAGTACTTCTAAAGCCAAAGCAGATTATTGTCTCGGCCGGGTTATATGGCATGTATCTAGTTTCTTGGGTGTGTGAGCCCAATTATCGGGAAGTATCTTGGAAGGCAAGGCTGAGAAATCGGTGTATAAAATGGAGCGGCCCCTGGTCAGGATTATGGCTACAAGTCTGAGTACTATTTAGGCAAGTTGTCGTATGCCTAGCAGCAAGGCCAGTGTCATGTACGAGACCTGGTAACCGCAATCTTCTGAGCTTTGTCACAGGCAAGTAAATGAACGCAAAAAGCCTTCCATGCCGTGCACATCGTCTAAACTAGACAAAAAGGCGAGATGTTGATCAGGTCGCAATAGAACCATACACCCTTCTGGGTCTATGCCAAAGGACGTATACAGTTCCCCTCCACCAGAATGGTGGTACGATTCATTATCCGCCAATACTTTGGTATAGTCTATACTTCCGTCCTCGAGACAAGGACGGAAAATCTCCGGCAAACAGAAAAGATCGATCCTGTTTCTGTTTGCGGAATGTACCAGGTATACTCCCACCAAACCGACGCCGCCTCTTCGCCTGCTGGCCTTGTTCAGTTGCTGAAAGTATGAGGCCGGGTGATAGAGCGCTTCTGCTAAGCGATTGACGCGAATCATCTGTTCATTCTTAGAAATATCGACCCCGAAAATGATCAGATTCAATTGCCCGGTACTGGAAAAGCGTTGTTGTAGATGGCAGGCTTGCGAATCGCTCTGATTCAGGACCAGTTTGCTGGGGATCCGGGCTCCCAGCCTGATAGCCTTGGCTAGAGACGGCCTGCTGCAAAAGGAGGGACCTTTCGAGCCTCCAGCTTCGGACGACGGGCTAATGAGTAAATTTGTTTGGTATGTTGCGGTGAGCCCCGAGAACGAAGTATTCTCCTCTTGAATAGCGCGCTTATGGTCCTCGTCGAACCTCCCGCGAGACATACTGCACATGCCACAGCAAAGGCGCTGATCCAGCTGGATAAGTCGTTCTGCGATGGGAAGTCTCTCTTGCGCATATGTGGCTAGAATATCCGGCGGCGAGGCGCCACGAGCCACGGCAGCGAGTTTCCAGCCCAGATTGTATGTGTCCTGCATGCTGATGTTCATTCCTTGACCTGCTTTCGGCGAGTGGGTGTGAACTGCATCGCCAGCAAGGAAGAGACGGTTGTGGACTGAGACCTTTGAGCATATCCGCTGGCTAACCTGGGCTTGTTTAGCATGTGCCCACAATGGACAATCGAAAATGGCAGTAAGTACCTTGTAAGTCGTGTGCCAGTCGATCCGGTTTGTTTTTATCATATATGGCTGCATGACCTCCGCGATGCGATCCATGATGACCTCGGGAGTTTGCTGAATCGCGTATTGGGCAGAAGCTATCGGTGACAGCTCGCTGTATATCCGTACCAGGCGCTTCTCGCGCGGGACCACCATCAGTGTTCCGTATTTGGATTTAACAATGCATCTTTTGCGTATATCCGCTGTACCGCATGGCATTAGCAGCATTCTTTTGTATTCGGTGAAGTTGGGGCGAACAACGGAAGTTTGTGATGGGAATGAAATCCACTACACCCCACTGGTAATCAGAGCATTGTCCTTCCAATCGGATGCCGAGTTGTTTGCGGAGCCAGCTATGAGCTCCATCGCATCCCAAAACATACTTGGCTTCAACGACGGTGTCCAATCCCGCGATTGCCGAGTCAGCTGTAGAAGACGTCACGCTGGTCTCGCTGCCCTCGCTGCTCGGAGAGCTCGCTTCGCCGCCGGACATTGAATTCATTGGCTTGACAAAATCAGTTGGAGAAACTTTGTCCAGTGTCACGCGGATTGGATAGGTTGCGTGATCCTCAATGGTACTATAGTCAATATCCAAGGTCGTGGGAATTGTCGCTCGTCTGATGTCGACGTGTTTCGCCGACTGCACAAAGTTCAACAAGTGCTCCTCGACCCTCCCCTGCCGGAGGGTAGATTCATAGAACCTGGACCATCCAGGCTCAGTATTTGCAGAGATCTCCTCTCTTCGGAGGACCCCTTCAACCGAATCACACTGACACATTAACCCTAACACATCAAATGAAAGCCAGCGGATCCACTCACCCACAACGCAAGCTCGACCGTGTGATTCGCTTCAGCCCAGATGTCATTGGCAAGTCCGAAGCTGTCCAAGATCTCCAATGTCCGGCTTTCTAGTCCATCTGCGCGACCGTCCTGCGTCCCTTGCGGCCTGCGTTCCACCAACAGTGTTCGAACCCCAGTCACAGCCATCCATGCGGCAGCCATCAAACTGGGCAGATTCGCTGTTAGCAGGTCCCATTGTTGTACAGCAGTGATAGCAAGCAACTTCACCTACCCTGCTGGTCCCGCACCCAGAATAAGAACGTCTACGCGAAGGTGGTCGCCCATGAGGGTCATGTAGTGACTGATGGAAAGCGCTCGGTGTACTTTTTTTTTTTGCACATGTCTGTCTATTCCGATACTACGCCTTTCTATTGTATCAAAGCACTATACGTCATGAATGTCATACTCTTGGACAACCATTTGAATTGACTTTTCGACTTCACCGCGTTTCATTTGTCTAGCGCACTCTTCCACTTCCTAGAGAGGTATACTGCGCCAATATACAACGATTTAACCCTTATGACGACACGAGTACTTGGGCTCTCTTTTCTGTGCTGTGTTGCTATTTAATACAGCTCTGTCCAACCTTACGGCAGAGAATGGGGCAGAGGACGGGTCATAGTCGCCGGAAACGGAAAGCCCTACAGTCGATGTAAAAGCATGATGACACTCGACGACACTCGACGGATTATATATTTCGAACATCCGTTCCGGCAGCATTAGGGAATATATTTATTTCTATAGCTAAAGTTCCTTACATCAATGTGTCGCTGTGGTCTTTGATCGAGTATACTGTTCCGGAATGGGTGCAGCTCCAGCGTTCTACAAGCCCCAAGGGGAGGTTTTTGTAAGAAACGCCTTTCCTCCTTAGCTTAAGAGCTCCATTCTTCTAACAGACGCATCGCTAGCACAATGACGGAAGAGAAGATGCATTATTAAAGTTCATCACGACGCACCCCCGGCAAGCCGAGATCAAAGGCTCGCCCGAGGCCGTGCTCGCCGCGATCGATGACTTCGGGCACACGCAAGATTTTCTCATGACTGTAGGCGGGTACAAGGGGAAGATCGTCAGCGAACTTATCGCGAAAGAAAAGCCGCAGAGTGTGCTGGAGATCGGGGGGTATGTCGGGTACTCTGCGATCATGTTCGGGGACGCGCTCCGCAAAGCCGGGGGCCGGAAATACGTCAGTCTCGAGATGAACGCCAAGTTTGCGGCCATTGCCAGGGCGCTGGTGGACATTGCCGCGTTGAGTGGATTCGTGGAGATCGTGGAGGGACCATGCCGAGAGTCTCTTCGGAAGATTGCCGGGAATAGCAATGGATCCAAGGCGTGGGATATGATTTTCTTGGATCATTCAAAGATTTCGTACCTGAATGATTTGAAACTTTGTGAGGAATTGGGTATAGTGGGCCCGGGGTCTATCGTTGTGGCAGATGACATGTATGTTCCGGGCAACCCACAGTATTCTGAATATGTCAGGGCGCCAGTACAGTCGAAGGTCGAAGCGAGGAAACCGTTTGTCGGCTGCGTGAGCGATGGTGGATTGTCTTTGGGCAACCCGTATCTTGTCTATGAGTCTACGATCTTCGAGGGCCTCCAGCCGAGTGGACTACCAGTGAGGGATCCCCAACTTACACCTAGTTGTTCTGATCTGAAGCAGCTAATGTGAGACAGGATGCAGTAGAAGTGTCGCACTGCGTGGATGCTGTTGATCCTGACTAGTCTTGTGTCGCTATTAGTCGCTGAGACATATGTTCTACAATATAAAAGCCCTATTTGAGTTGGAGTTGGGCCTTGCATATACAGGCAGGAAGCAGGAGGAGTTAACTATAATGAGTATACTAGAGAGGAAAAATAAGAAATAGAAAGATTAAAATGTAATAGATAGAATATGATAGATATCACTGACTAGAAGCAGAGAAAAATAAAAGAGTGTATATCAGGTGCTATACTCCATACCTCGTACATTCAGGTTTGATTCTGATTTCTAAAATTTAGACTTTAAATTGCAGTGGTTCAGTAACTCACCCAAAACTCAGACCAAATGCAACTCCGCAGTTTAACGTCAACTGGTAAGACCAGTGTAAAGGGAGTAAGATAACTATATATTGCCTAAGCAAGGAGAACTAATTACTGGGTTATAGAATACTTTATAACTCACAGAGATATCTATAGTCTATCAAATGATCTAGTAGTCTGCACTATCGGCGTTGGCTGCGTACGCCGGCTTTATGGTCCGCTGTAGCCCTTACCAGCCCGTCTAGCTCTGGCAGGTTGCAACGTAATTTATCCGTCAAGCTCCAGTTTCTTCACCACTAGCTCAGGATATCTCGGTTGTGGCCCATTGAATATGGAGAAAGGGGATATTATTTGCATCCTCTTTGGTTATCAACGGCCCGTTCGGTCTTGCGAAGAGTCGATTCCCATTTCATCTATCTTGGATCTTGTTTCGTGTTGGGAATTATGTGACGGGGAAGCATTACAGGTCATTGACAAAGAGTCAGAATGTATACAACGGTTTGGAATTGTTTAGACTATGTCATGATGCGGTGGCCAAATGAAGATATGTATTGCGGAAGCTATCGACTAACCACTCAGATAGCAAATATAGAGGCAAGACCTGCTGTATCACAATTGCCCCACTTCAAATGGCTCAAAGCCCTGTATAGATAGAAAATGGCTAAATCCCTAAATAACGAAAGTCCACAGCGAACCTTGCGGCTTGCTAAGTAGAGTGTCAATCACTTGAGACACCACCCTATTCAGTCTTCAGGGCTCTGCAGGAACCTGTATGTGATGGTCGTGATCGCATGCATACTTGTGAGGTGACCTAGGCATATTTGGTGTCAGAAAGCAGTCCTGACGAATTCCCTAAAGTCCTCGGCGGTGATAGTAATATTGCTCTTATTTCCTCCTAGTGCCCTGTTATACAGGGCCCAAAAGGTAAGCATATAGGGACGTCAGCCATCCCAGTTAGAGCAACACCAATTTTGAACTGAGTGGAGCCGCTGGTTAGCGGCTAGCTGGGTTATGAGAGGGGATTTGTAGAAAGACAGTGAGAGAAGTATTGTAATATAAAGTTAGGAGAGCTAGATTGTGGGGGCTTACAGCTTGGCGTGTGCCAGAAAAGGGTCGGTGTGGTCTAGCAGAAAAAAGGCAGTGTGTGTCTAACAATAAATTAATTTCAAGGAGTATGACGCCTGTTTAGCCATGCCTATATTCTGAGAGACCCACCACATTAATTTTCACTCACTGACTGCGAACACCAACCACTAAGTGTTTGATTTTGAATAGCATTAAATTTGAATTATATACCTACGCTTAACACCCCTTAATATCTATAGATTGATGCTTATTTTATGCTTATTATATATATGATATTAATAGATTATAGTAAATTCTAAGTGATTTTCATATTATGCATATGCAGATTGTAACTAAGGGTAAGAGAATATAGGTAGTTAAGGTCAAATAAGTATGAATATATATACATACATTCACTCGACGATAGTAAGCATACTATAGAGTATATACAAAATAAAATAAAATTCTTTATTAAAAAATTTAGCTAAAATAAATTAGAATCTACTGTTCTCCACAGAGCATAAATTTAAGATATTAGGGGATGGTTAGGGTAGGTATATGATTCAAATTTAATGCTATTCAAAATCAAACCTTTTAGTGGTTGGTGTTCGCGCGGTCGGAGAAGGTTGAAAATTAGTATGGTTGTGGTGGGGATAGTAGAGAGGTAATCTATGATAGAACACGCCAAGGTCCAATGTGTGTCGAAGTTTTTGTCAGGTTTTCCCAAACAACGATGATCTTTTTCCGACACACGCTGAGCTGTGTTCCTGATTGAGGGTGGTTTCCAGATTAAGTAGACAGGATTGATAACGTATCCACGGTTGTGTGACCCACAACGGGTTTCCAGTGTATTCCTCATACGAAACTAAACTTTATCGAGTCGCAGATCTCCGTCCTTCCCGTTGTGGTATATCAAATATAGAGGGAATGATCACATATGGATACTAAGAGACCTTAGTTATCATTTATTTGCAAAGGTCCATGGTAGCGATTGTGACAGGACTAAGGTTTGGCGTCCTGGTGTAATATACCTGTCGCGGTCGATGACTGTAGGCTGGGAGGGGCCCGTGTCGGGGGGATCGAATTAGTCTGGATGTAGCGGCACATGTATGTCGAAACGAGCGCCTCATCTGGCCCTGGTTCCTGACGATTTCCATTAATCCAACGGAGCCTAACTCAAATCGATCTTCCGCTAGGATTCTCCAACTGCCATTTCCTCTTGCGTTTCCCCTACTCTTCTCTTGTCGGCCTCACATTCATTATCGCTACCTACCTTCCTTTTCATTAATTATTCTTTTTCTTCCCCTTTCCTTCCTCCTTCTGGCGTTGACAGTTGACAATTTTCAAAATACCTCCGACAGTTTCGGAGTCGACACGCTCCACGCACCTGCAGCTTCGAGAACATTTCCCCGTTTGGTCGCAGTCCACATTATTCTCCTCCCCCTTATCCATACCCTCGTGTATAGCTTCGATTTTAGTTTCTTATTTTTCGCCTGGCAGGGAGAGAGGCGTTGCTGCCCCGTGGGATCGGCGTGGCCTCCGGGTGTCACAGGACTTCAAACTCCCACTCCCATCCCACTGCCTCCCGTTACCAGAAGCAACTCATCATCACTAAGTAACAGTTGATCGCGGGAGATGCGGTCTTCTGGCCGCGGGCATCACGGTGAGGAGCCCAAGGTGTTGATAAAGCTGGCTATGTGCTGAATGAGTTGATAGCTCCGTCGTTCGTCGCCAGGTTACGGACTCGCCTTCGTTTTCGCCGCGACCTCCCTCTGCATACCGACGACCGAGTGTCCCATCCATCCGCCTCAGCCTCCCGTCATACATTGACCTCGACATCGACATCGACATCGACATTGACATCAACTTCCCCTGACCCTCACCACTGCCGCGACGAGAGGAGCAGCCATCATTCCAATTGCGCCCCACAGCCCGCTTCCCTCATCACCCTACCTCCACAAAGCCTGAACAGAATTTTTCAGTTTCCCGCATTCTTCCTCAAGCATAACTCGGAGAAGGCGGGAGGGCTCATTTTTCTCGACACAGGGGCTAGAGTCAATTTAATGTCTAGCGATATGGTGACGCGATTGGGTCTCTGCCGTCAACGCATCAGCCCCCGCAAATTAGTCCCGTTTTACTCTGGATTGAAAGAGAAGACAGAGCTCACGGTTGAGTATCAAGTTCAGGTGGATTGGCACTTTGAAAATGGGGAGAGAACTTACACCACTGAATTTCTGATTTTGGACATGCCCTGCTACGATATACTGCTTGGATGCGATGAAATCACAAAAAATGAGTTATTGACGCTGGGTAAGGGCTTCGGTGTACAACGGGGGGTTCCTCGATCTCACTGGCTGGGGGGTCGGAATCATCTAAAAAGGCTGATTGATCGGGTCCACGACCGTCTACCTAAGATGGTGTGTCACATCACTGCCTCCCTCTCTTCCAAACCACCGCATGCTGCGTCCTTTGGATTATCTAATTCTTCGGGTGGGCGCATCTTGTGACACGTTTCATAAACTCCGTCATTTCCTCCCCCTTTTGGCGTCCCAGTCTTCTCCTTCTCTGCATGGATGGTCCGAATTGACACATTTATATTGTCTCTTATATTTCTGCTCATTGTGATGGCGGAGCAATTTGTCAGATCGATTTCATATGCATAACATGCCGCCGGTTGCGTTCATTTCTCAGCATGCGTGACCTAATGTTTTAATGACTCTTGTCCTTTGTGTCCTTTAGTGTTACAAAATTATAAAGACTTGCTATCTGTTGCGCTAGATGCTCCAGCACGTCGTGCCCAAGCAGTGTGGCCTACTGCGTCGTCGATGCATTGTACGTCAGCGAGTCAGGCGACATAGCCTGAAGCCGATGCGAGATAGAACAGACCGCCTCTTGTGATGCGTGGTAGTTTCTTGATTTACTGGACGACTCCTATATATCCCGGCAAAATGGGCGGGCTTTGATTTGACAGAGGCAGAAGCCAGCCTCGTTGCTTCCAACTGCCAACTCATGCAGCGATCGCATTCTGTACACGACAGACCCCATGGTTTGCCCATGACTTGCATCGCCCCGAGTGGAGGAAGCAGATTCAGCACCGCTCTAATGGGTCAGCTCCCGCTTCGATTGAGCCTCCCAGAAGGGCTCCGTGTATATATGCGCTGTGAGACCTGCTCGGACAGTCTCTGGGAAGCAAATTGCCCGCAGCCATTTCAGCACAGGATCCATACAAGGTAAGAGAGCCTCTATTTCAACTTCGTTACATACAAAGAGGCTCACAAAGAGCCACGAACTCAGATGGAGGAGATCGGGTGCTTCCTACCTGTTCAAGGAAGGACTTTAACCCTGCATGGAATGATTGACAGTGCACTTGACGTGAATATTGTCACCCCACAAGGCAGCAGAAGACTTTCTGCCTTTAGTCCGCCGACACATACCGTCCAGCCTCTCGGCATTGCTGGCAAACGTGGTGGACCTCCATATACTGCTAGAAGTCGGATTGAACTTTGTGTTTACTCCCAAAGACTTGGCGGGAAAAGTCATTCTGAAATGTTCTATGTCGTCGACACGCCACCCCCTGGACACCAGAAGCACTGTGATGTGATCTTTGGACGAGGCTCGTTCATACATAAAATTCTCAACCTGGAAGGCAGCCAGGTCGCCCCAATCGGGCTGCCACCGCTCACCCCAGGTTGGTGTTTTGTCCCCAGAAGACATGTCTCCGTTGATTACTGACTTTGTCCTACCTGCCGATTAATAGCCGAGGAACTGGCGCTGGCAGCAGCGGCAGCAGCTGAGCGACAAAAATTAGAAGAAGAAAGGCGGCAGATAGTGGAGCAGCAGAAACGGGAACGGGCCGCAGGGCGACCCCGCTAGAAGGGATATTCCTCCATATGGTATCTGGAACGAGAATTGTGAGAGGGCCAAACTGTGTAGCACTGCCCCCTTCAGCCCGCCACGCATCAAATCAAATCATGGCAAGATTTCTTCTGTCAAGCCACCCAACCAATAAGTAATTTATGTCCTTGTATGCCTTACCTATATCCTTGATCGATACAAACCGGGGAATTCGATCTCTTGATAAGTCTCGATATTGGATCATATTAGTGTTATAATAATGCGCCGGGTGGTCCGCGCGCAAAAATAGGTCAAAGGCTGATCAAGGGGACAATCACGGGGCTGGGTGCAAGCAGCTGTTTTGGCCATTCATATATACGTGGCCGCCTTCCTTGGCCAAAAGTCGCACACCGACCGGCACAGCCTTGCACAACTTTGCCCCTCCATTTAACTGTCGGGGGACGGTCACTTCGTGTTGAGCATTTGAACTTCCATATCTAATATACGCTGCACCTGAATCTTCAAATGCCGCGGCATGGAAGGAGTGGGTGCTCTCTTCCACAGTCATCGTGGTCGCATAAGTGGCTGAATGATCGGATTCTAATATACTGTATAGGCTACGTTCTTTTCCCACGCAGTAAGGAGAAATCTCGCAACTCCGAAAATGATATAATTGAAGACTATCCACCCCGGAGAAAATCTGTATCTCGCCCTTCACACCCGGTCTGTATCCCGTCTACTTCGCTGATATTATTCTCTTCGGCCGTGTTTTAGGTGTTGCCAGTCCACCATGATCTCAGGCATATTGTATTCGGCTGCTGTCTTCGTCGCGAGAAGTCCCACGTTAAGCCTATCCAGGCAACTGCCAAACCGCCAATCCAGCCTCGACTCCATTCCTCGGCATTATCACATACTAACACGACCTTTGCGCACACATGTAACGACGAAGGGACCACCTCGCTCGATTTAAATCATACCCAGATCTCCCTCCCTCAACTCGACCCAACATACTCCGACTTCATCTATGACGTTTTGCTCTTTACGAAGGAAGGAAAGAAAATACGTCGATTACTGGTACTAGACTTTCGGACTGATGTCAACATCATGTCTGAGGGCGTGTACCAAAGATTACATATGAAGGCCTCCTCCTGTGACCCATCGATCGTCCTTCAGGTGGCCGGAATGGGGGAAGTCACTCCATTAGGCAGCGTGGATGTGGACTGGAGTCTATGGGCAGATAGCACGGTTTATAGTACACAATTTTATGTGGTTGAGGGATGTCAGTTCGATCTGCTCTTGGGACGACCGTCCGTGATCGACTATCAGCTTTCTCGGAAAGATGCAGCAGTGGGCTCGAGGATTCGGTCGTCATATAAGGGTTCATGAGCGAGATTTCAGGTCCTGGATGTATGCAATTTAGGGCTTAGGAGTTGGGCCTATCTATCTATCTATCTATCTATCTATTTTAGTCTAGAAGTGGGTCAACGTGGAGGCACACCACCCTCCTTTGTAGATTATCAGCCTTGCTGTATATAATTGCTGTTTCCACCTTATTTTGCTTATGCTTCTTCCAGCCTATGCTTAAAAACACGGTCAACGGGCCGAAGCCTCTGACACAGACCGTACCCGGAGGGATACGGATGTGATAGTCCTACTACTTCTCTACCTGCGTCATCTTAAGGTGTTATCCGACCACAGAGTGACAGCTTCTGCGTAAGCAGCGTTTGAGCGCGGGGTATTTTCTCTACCAACACCAGATGACCCTTCCACAGCCTTGCCAACACATTGACTGCATTGACTGCATTGACATGGAGCATGCCAGCTCAGCATAACCCCCTCCAAGAAATTTCAGGTTGGCGATTCCGCCTGTCTGAATCCTCTGTCCGGATCAGGATAGGCCCAAGTACTCGATCTGATGCCGGTATACCTTCAGGATAAGGCACATAAAGGCAGAGTAGGCGTAGGAAAATTATGGTGCATTTACCCTGCTGATGCCCGATGAGCCTCGCAGAGGTCGACCTCAAAAGAACCCAGTAACAAATTGCCCCAGTGGAAAAGCAGCATATGCGCAGATAGCCTATGCACAGATGCCCAACCTTTCGGCTTAAATATATCAAAGTTGCCAGTAAGTAGCGAGGCTGGGGATCAAGGACATCTAGAAGTTCCAGGCTAATCCGCAGCTGCTTATCTGCCTTGCGGCTTTATACGCTCTATATGAGCAAAAGGGCGAACAAGTCTATAAAACCTCCATCACGAACTAACTGTAGCAGCTCAAAGGAGGAGTAGTTATGGTTGTAGAAGGCTATGACAAGCTGGCAGCCTTTCTGGGCTCGCACCCTGAGTTCCAGTACTTCCGCCGATTTTCCACCCTCAATACCAAAAACCTTCTCTATTTACAGGCCGAACTGGCAAATCTTGAACAGGAGCTGAAGAATATTATCCAAGAAGACAAGGAGCTCGCCGTTCAGGAAGAAAAGAAACGAAAATACCCCTTCTCCGTCTGGCATCTAAAAAGTTCAGCTAATGACGCAAGCGTGGACTCTTACCAGTGGAATAAGGTCAAAGAAGTACGAGAGCTGCTATACCAATACAGTAAGTCCATCATATTCCCTATCTAATGAGAAGCATTGACTGAATGCTCTTGTTCAAATCAACAGATGCTGCCCTGCTCCAACAATCACAGATCATGGACTTTGGGGCTCCAGCAAAAGTAGAGGCTGCTGGGCTGAGGGAGTGGCTGCGTCGCCCCGAATGTGGAGGCGGAATCTTCCAAATGCTCACCGAGAAGGACGTGTGGAATGAAGCTAACGAAGGCGATATGATTGCAATCTGTCGTCAGCAGGATGAAGTCGACAACTTTACCAAATGGGTCTATACTGACTTCCTGAACTGGTTCCATAATAACTGGGGACATCGAGCAGAGGTATGTCTGTACCTGAAAAAGCTAGACTTTCCAGTAACGGAGCTAATAAATCTCTATCGTAGGACAAATATGACGTCGAGATGGGGGCGCGGATATACGACTATCACGCTATCCAATCTTATACATACGCTGCCAGCATTCTCATGTCCGGGGTATTGCCAGCGTCCTCAATCGTCGTACTTTACTTCTTGAAGGATGCGACTGCAAAGCTGATGGTAGTTTTTGTGTATAACCTGGTGTTTTCTTGGGTACTGGGTTTTCTGGTCAAGGCCAGGAGGGCGGAGATCTTCGCCGCAGTCGCTGCGTGAGTGCGCTTCCTTCCTCTATAAAGTACGGGCTAACATTTGACACCTTACCCGCAGCTTTGCTGCTGTGCAAGTTACCCTCGTTGCTAATTCTGGGGGGTGTCCACCTGGTCAGTAAGGCCATCGGCTAGACGACCGACCTGATTAATTCATGCCTCCAATACACCTACTTATGTATTACTGTGATAGCCCGATCCTTTAGCTTGAAATATTAGGAGAACAAATAGGAACTACCCTGATGCCGTCACCGAGGCGAAGTATTCTGCTCTTTCGCACCCCCCTATTCCATGGCTTGGCTTTAGCACGGTCCGTATGAATCGCAGAAGAACTGATACTGGAGATTTATCTCCGTCCGCACTTCTCGAGCGTTTCTCGCATATATAGCCAGGGCCTCGCATTTTCGGGAGGATAAGATATCGCACCCTGTCCTTTGGATCGCTAAATCCTAAGCAGTCGTGCTCAGTCAGTATCCAAGTCGGTTAGAATGTAGAGAGGCCATCTGGATCAAGCTGCTTGTTGATCTCATGACATCATGTATCCCTCAAGGTGTGACAGCTTCAATGTATCAGCTGTATTCCTTATCTCTAATCAACCACAGCTATGCGGGTTTGTGCTTTAACCATAAATCATATGTATAATTAAGAACAGGTAAAGATGTAGGTGGATTTTAGGCAGCCTTTCGGGGGGAATCATGCAGAGCACTGTTAGAGGTGAAGGAGGTCTGCAGCCAGGGGCGCTAAACCCAACAAATTAAAAAAGCAGAACATACAACAGCTGGGATTTACTGGTGGACGCCCAACTAACTACTAACCAGCAGCGTGTGGCTTGAACGTGGTCAATACCTGGATGGGTGCCCTCGCGGGTGATGGAGGAGATGCCGCTTAAACAAGGTAGTGCTTGGCGTGGGTGCAGTTTACCTAGGGAGATGGTGATGGGCGGGCCCAATCAGAAAACCTGTGGGCCGTGTTTAAGTGGAGGATTCCCTCCGTGTTCGCTAAGACTATATCTTCATCTGGACAAGCTCAGCCCAAATGCAAGCGACATGAGACATGTCTCGCAGTCATGAGGTGAAACTCAGACAATGAACGGTGTCGGCGGAGATTACCTTAGATTCTGCGCAAATAATTGATAATGCTAGAGCAATGATACTTTATAAGTTACTTTCTTAGTCCATACCATCATTTATTGCTATCATGCGGATGGATAGATAGTGAGTGAGGTTTCATTAAAGAGTAGTATAAGATGAATGGATACTAAAATCACTAAAATTGAGAGGCAAGAGATATTTGTAGCTAGTGATTCGGATAAAGAATTTTAATGTCCGAGCACAGCAAGTAGAAGGTTGGTTGAAAAGAACAATAAAGTGATAAGTTGATTGACAGAGTATCATTATGCTAAATACAATATAGACCTGTAACCCTAATTTCGTGATTTCCGGCATAATGATACAGCATACTATAATATGGCAGAGGTTCTCCGCCAATGGATAAGACTTACTACAACACGCCCGTAGCGACATAGGATCTATAAATTAATTCCCTCATCTAGTAGAGAGCGAGATGTCAGTCAATAGTTAATTTTACTTGGGTGTTTCCTCCTAACGGATAGATACAGTTCTATGTCAAGAGTGTAATATCTCACTAGCGCGGTCCCTCAATATCACTAAGATTATTAGGAAGCCTTTGCCAAGTGCTCAGGAGCAGGACCTACCAATGGTGTTAATCTGCTATGGGCCGGACCCTGCTTAGTGCCAGGAACACCTGAGTCGCGTATCCTGGCCTTTATTGGGTGATTAGGGAGAAATTTCGCACTATTGGTAATCTTGTGCCACAATTTCATTAAGAACAAGCCTGCTTGGCACGCTCGTATCTAAGTGCATCCGAACACACCAATCAACCGATGGTGCGCCAGCGGGACCTGCATAAACCCCTCGGAGGAGGGTGATGGTAATGAATCGCATGGCCTTGCGCCAGCAATGGTCCATTCATATTTCTGCCCTGTCAACTTTCGGATGGTATGCGGGTCCGGTGCGCACCAGACGACCCTTGAAAATCTGCGGAAAGGATGCATTCATTGCTCGCCGCCTAGTTGCAATAGCCTCATTTGGTCTACGGTCTATGGTACTTCCGGATTGCTTCCTCGGTCTGGCAAAGGACAAGGTTACGCTTACGGAGTTAGAATGACACAGTGGGGCAGGCCATGCTATCACAAAGCTAAATTAACTAACAATCAACATAGGGAGCTCCATTATCCCGACAAAATGTTCTATTTGGTTAGAGAGGAGGGGGACGAAGGTCTGATATCGTATGTTTAGTGGGTTCTGTATGCACTCCGGCGAGGATGCGACGGACATATTGCAATTTGTGGACTCTCCTTGAAGCTAACGACCACACTCTGCTTCCGTCTTCCTTTTCTTCCAGGGCGGCGCGTAGTGGGACCCTGACATGGGGAATTTGAAGCCATGAAGCAGTTGAGTCAAATATTTAACCAAGATGTCCCCTCCAAAATGTTGGTTGACTCTCTGTACTCTCTGCCGAATTCGTCCCCAAGTCCCTAGGCGATGATCTATTCCACATGGCTCGCCCTCGTGGTGGCCAGTCAGGTCATCCGCCTGGTACATGCAAAAGCTGTATTTGCACATTTCATGGTATTGTCACTCTGTCAACCTCGGATTTAATGTGCCAAAACACTAAGAATGCGTTGATAGGTCACCAACTCCCAGAATTACACAGCCTCTGACTGGGAGTCGGACATGAAATTAGCCAAAGATGCTCATATTGATGCTTTTGCCATGAACATGGCGTGGAAGGACAGCACCAACGACCCTTCCCTTGAGATGGCCTTCAATGCCGCTAATTCCGTGGGCTTTAAGCTCTTCTTTTCATTTGACTACGCCGGGAATGGGCCATGGAGCCAGGATACAGTCATCCACATGATACAGCAGTATGGCTCCAACGGTGCTTATTTCCAGTATAAAGGGAAGCCTTTTGTCTCGACCTTTGAAGGTCCTCGCAATGCAGAGGACTGGGTGATTATCAAGGCACAGACAGGCTGTTTCTTCATCCCAGACTGGTCCTCTGTTGGTGCTAAGCCAGCTGCAGCATTAGCAAATGGTGTGGCTGATGGACTATTCAGCTGGTCTGCTTGGCCATGGGGCAATCAGACAATGGATACCTATACTGATGCTTCCTATATTCAATACTTGAAAGGAAAGCCCTATATGATGGCAATCTCTCCTTGGTTCTACACCAATCTTATGGGTTACAACAAGAACTGGCTTTGGAAGGGTGATAGGCTCTGGTTTGATCGATGGCAAGAACTCTTGGGTCTTGATCCAATGCCTGAATTTGTTGAGATTATTTCCTGGAATGACTACGGTGAATCGCATTATATTGGCCCGCTCTACGGGAAAGCCATGGCTGCCTTCGACATCGGCAAATCAATATATAACTACGCATCGGACTATCCCCATGACGGTTGGCGTGATGTCCTACCTTTCCTGATTGATCTTTACAAGAATGGCCAGGCCAGTATTGACCATGATACTGTGGTCTTTTGGTATCGGCCCCACCCAGCGTCTGCTTGCTTCACTGGAGGTACGACAGTGAATACAGCCTCCCAGCTACAGATTGAGTTTGAGCCAGCAAGTGCTCTGGAAGATCGTGTATATGTCATGGCACTGCTATCTAATGGCAATCATGCTGTAAGGGTCTTTGCTGGGGGCGACCATGGATATGTTAAATGGGAAACACGGCCAGATGCTGAGATTGGAACTGGGATCTTCTTTGGCAGTGTGCCATTTTACCCGGGTAAGGTCGGTGTCGAGCTTTCCAGAGGTGATAGCGAGATTGGCAGCGCTGTAGGCCTTGAGATATCTAATCGATGTGAGGAGGGATTTAACAACTATAATGCTTGGGTAGGCAGTTTCACCGGAACAGGCATCGGCACGGAAGGGAATACTGGGGTTGCGCTCAAAGATCAAGCATGTATCCGAGGCAAAGGAGCATATGATTTCAATGATCTATGCAACTTTACATGCTCTTATGGCTACTGCCCAGTTGGAGCATGTACCTGTGAGCAAATGGGAGTTCCACGCACGAAGCCTAATGCAACAGGGGTCATTGGACACCCTGCAGAAGGCAGGGATGCAAACTACCTGGGTCTATGCAGCTTTGCCTGCAATTATGGCCACTGTCCATCTAAGACGTGCGACACCCAGGAGCATCCCATGCCGGTCCCAACAGTGTCAGACTTCCTGCCTCCTGCGTGTACCGAAGGCACCGGTAATGGCACCTCCATTGGTTTGTGCTCCTACGCCTGCGGTTTCGGCTATTGTCCTATCAATCTGTGCAAGTGCACCAAAACAGGGGCCCTTGTTGAGCCCCCTCCCCAGACCAAGGGAGCTGGCATGGCGGCCGCCGGCATGTCAGACGTGCTGAATAATCTCTGCGACTTCACCTGCAGCCGAGGGTATTGCCCACCGGAGACATGCATGTACAAGGATGAACTTGCAGTTGCGAATATCAAGCCGAACTTGAGGTGGGGTGGCCAGGGTGCAGCTGTCTGCGACGACACTCAAAAAATGATAATTCTGTTGGAAGTCAGATTCGCAATTCTCATGGCGCAAACAGCACAAGACAACTTGCAGTCGTACGGCTTCTACGATACATTCTTCTCGCAAGGCGTGCGAAATCGGCCGGATTTTGCCAAACAAGCATCTGGCGTCTACCAGAGAGTTGCATCGATGCTGGATGGCTCTTCGGGCAATTCGGGCCCTAGCTATGAGCTCAAGATCACTTGTGACTTTAATGCAGATCCATGTAAGAAAGCACAGAACCCGGATGTCGCTTACATGAACCCCGGAAAATTCACAGTGAATATCTGTGACCGTTTCTTTTCGGATCCTGGTATTACAGCCACGACTGATAAGTATGCGCATCCGCCGGCAAGCATTATCGATGCACACCATACAAGAGCATCCGTCCTTCTTCATGAAATGACACATTCGAAGTACGCAATGAAAACAACGTCGGGACTTAAAACCCAAGATTACGCGTACGGATGGCAAAGTTGCAAACTCCTTGCCGAGGGTACTTTCAACCGAGGATGTGAGGCCTACGCTGGTCTCAAGGGGAATCTTTGTGCAGATAAAACCGACCCTACGAAGGATTGGGTGTGTGATGCCGACTTTTCCGCACAAAATGCAGATACATGGGCTGTGATTGCGGCAGGCATTTTCTTCAGCCACGAGACGGGGAGACAAATCCCACTCTACCCGCCAACTCCTGTGTCTGCAAGAGCTGTTTCTGGGCTGTCCGCTAGAGATGGGTGTGTACGGCACGATGACATTATATTTGACTCAGGAAGCGGATTTGAGATCAACGGCTTGGTTTCCTTTGGTGATTCTTTCGCCGCGGGCATGGGTACCGCCGAGACGACAAGGGACAAATGCCGTGTTGGTGGAAATAATTATGGTGATCTGATTCATCGGCATCTCGGAGACGATACACTGTCTATTGAGAAGAAGGTCTGCTCTGGTGACACAACAATTGGCCTCCAACGTCAGATCKGGGAATGGACGGGTTCATCCCCTGCAAACCTGGGCACATTGACTATGGGAGGAAATGATCTTGGTTTCTCGGACATCGTTTGGTACTGCGTTATAACTCCGCTTACGTGGATACCCTCATCGTGGAATCGCGCCAATTGCGAGGCTGCAAAGGATAAAGCTCGCGCTTTGATGAATGACCAGGGAGAAAGTGGCCTGCATTATAAGCTCAAAACTCTCTACAAGAGTATCCTGAACAAGGCAGAAGACCATGACTTTGCTCTCATTGTCACTGGTTACACTGGATTCTTCAATCATGACACCACCGATTGTGACCAGAGCACCTTCCATTACTTGTGGGCTGGTTATAATCCTCCTAGTGATGGGTTCGTGGATCGGGTCGTTTACCTTACCACGTCGCTACGTACGGAACTGAACGGCCTGGTCGGTCAGCTCAACAACTTGATTGAAGCTGCCGTTCAAGGTGCCAATTCCGAGTTAGGATCCACCAATGTTCACTATGTTGACGTCCAATCGAACTTTGACAGCCACCGCTGGTGTGAGCAAGGGGTTCATGAGCCCGACGCCAGCGCTCCAAACACCTACTTCTTTTTGAGCGGCTGGACCGATTTTCCTCTAGACAACACTGCTGTCACATCGTCCGATTCTGCCGATATTGCCTCCCTTATGCAGACCGGGGTCAACCTTCCAGAGGCGTCAACTTGCCAGCAAACAATAGGCTCGGATCCAGACCCGTATGAAAAATTCCTGTGTCTGGCTTCTATTGCGATCAACGAAGACCCGAATGGACCAGTAGCTTGGTCGTACAACAATGCGACCCAGGCCATCAAAGATGGGAATGTGAACTCGCAGCATGTCTCCGACTGGTATCCTACTCGACAGATCAAAACTTTCCACCCACGGAGTCCTGGAATGGGACTTTACCGTGATGCTATTCTACAAAAGATTGATGCTATAATGGACACTTAAGCAACTGCGATCGCCAGCACTCTTGTCCAGACGCCTCCCTCTCTCTTTCTTTCTTTTCCTTTTCTTTTCTTCTCTCTCTGGTCTGTTGTCAAATATTTCATTCTTCCTCTCGCCAGCTTAATGCGATTCCTCTTGTCCAAATAGTTTACTCCTCTTGTACTGGTACCCTCATGATAGCTGGAAGCATGCAAACAAGTGTGCCTTCTCTTCCACGCCTCCACCTAGGCTTCAACTATCAGACAACGTAATAAGTAATCAAGTGAGCCACTTCAGAAACTCAGCGATGCACCAACCTTCTTTCCTTTAATGCTTCGAATCAACCACAACCCCTTGATACTGATCAATTTCTGACTCCACGGGCAGTTCACCTATTCCTTACTAGGCTACTACTAGCTACAGGGGACCCATGAGAGGATTCTTGACAGGGGACTACCCGTCATGTGACAGGGACTATCTTAGCGCACAGGATGGTTCGTATAAATACCTGCCTCGAAGGTCCCAGCCCCCAGTCCCCAGTCCATTCAACTACCGCCTACCCGCACACCACTTACTTCATTTAACTCCAGCCCAAATGGGTCAGCTCTCGTCTTTCGTGAGATCTTCTGGCGCAGACACATCGTACGACACTCCCTGACAATCTATGCAACAAAAAGCTAAGCCAGACAGACTTGGGACTCCACGTCTTACTCTTACTTTGGAAGGAAAACCATTTCTCGATCTCGACTCTGATACGTCATACTCCCTCGTCATCAAGATCACGCGGGATGAAGATGATTCCCAGACACAACCATGCATCATTCACTGGGACCCTATTGAGGATGCATTTGGCCAGCCGGGTATAATGCTAGTCCGTTCTAATTACGACTTCACGGAGGACCGGGGACCTGTTCAAGTCGACTCTAACCAGTTACGGGAAAAATCCCTCCACCCAAGGAAGGTATCCCTGTCTGACCCGTGCTTCAAACAACTGTACCCAGGCTCCAGCGTCTTTTGGGAGCTGGACTTGCCGCCTGCCTACTTCGATTCCTTCCAACCAGGAGGCGATTACAGAATCCGCTGGGTAGGCGGACGAATCTCTTTGTGGGACTGGGGCACATTAGCGCAGCACAACGGCCGCATGCTCGGCCCCAAATCCCCCGCAGTGGTCCTACCGGGCGGGCCAGAACAGCTACTGACCATTAACGATGTTGAAACCGATATAGAAGAAGAGATACCACTGTTGCCGCCTTCGCCCGCGCCCGTTTTCGCATCTGCCAGGATGAGTGGCGCCCCGGTCTTCAGCCTCACCATCGCAGGACCTGCTACGCTATCGATGAGAGATCGCAATTCACGGGGTGGACTACGCTATCCGGTCACAATGACACTCTCGTATGACGCAGCTCCGGATGGCTTAGACGGAAAGCCGGTCACATTTCATACGTACATATTCAAAAATATCGATGATCGACAGGGGGGTTTCAGGCTCTACTTTAGAAAACAAGGGGACGACGACTGGACCTCACAGGAACTTCCGGTCATCTTTACGCACCACATGTACAGATTTTCCGAGTGCATCCCGGTAAATGTTGGCCGCAACGACAAGTATGAATTTGCGGCCTTGGTGCCTGGTGAGTCGTGGTCATTCACACGGGAGGTGACTCATTTCCCGAAGGATGCAGCGCCTGGTGATGAATTCCGGTACAGGTTTAAGGGTACGCAGCTTGACTGGTGGGATTGGGGACACTTTCGAGATCATGAAAATACCGTGGTGGGGATTGAATACAAAGTCCGCGATCCGAAAGATAACGGGGGTCGGCCTGCGCTTGTGGTGCCGGCTAGTAATTGGGTCGAGTTTACAGTGGCTGAATGAGATCCTTGCTTACAAGGCATCGGATTTGAAAGCAAGGATATTATCTGGACATTCACATCTCTGCGGGGGCCCCCAAAAGCGGCTCTGTCTCGGTCCCCCGTTGTATAGTCGCTTTGCTCGAAGACGAGCGATTCAAGGCTAGTAACAGAAGCACTGCCTGGCCGAGGGCGAAGACAAAGCTGTCAACGATGATGAAGCCAACAGCCCCGTACCACACAGTAAAGGTATTCCAACTGTAATGACCCTCCAATTTCTCATACGGAAATGGAAGACTTGGTATCCATGTCACCGAGACGAGCGTGAAGATGAGAGCTTGCATAGCCAGACCCTGCAGACTCAGCGCATTTGGAAATGGTGCAACCAAAATCTCACGAGCTTGGCAGAAGATTCCCAGAACGCCTAGCGCCGTGAGAACTGGGTAAATGTAGATGGAGTGCACGCCGTAAAAAATTGCCGACCAAAGTCTTTGAGCTCCATAGTCGGGGATGGAATTGATAATCATCAGAGAAACGATCGAGATAAGGAGAAAGCTGGTGTAAGTGGCAACCAAGAGTATCCTCCGGTTGCTATAGATGAGAATTTGTATGAATCTGCGGGGACAAAGATGAGCATTTACCCAGATTGCTTCAGGACATTAGGATGGGATCTCACAGTGCAAGAAAAAGAATTGTGACCACAGCACAGTGCCACAAACTAAACCTGTCTCCTGCGCTTGTGGTGAAATGCAGAAAGAAAGGGTGGCCCTCTTGTTCATTCACAACAAATAGTAGGAATATATAGATGGAGAGATGCTCAGTGGCGATAATCAAGTTCCACAAGACGTTCAGCGAGGAAACTCCATTAATGGTTCGTTTCCGCTGGATGAGCAATATCTGGGGAAGAAATGAACCGACAGCGAGAATCAGCAAGATACTAAACAAGTCAGTAAAGATATTTTGAAGACCCCTTTCTGAAGTATGCATACACACGCCACCATAGAGGCGGCTCTGGAAGTGACAAACGCCACCAATCGAACTCAGGTGGCTCTGAAGGTGACTCTGGAGATGACATTGAGTTGTGAGGGGGAGTTAAGAAACTATAAAGAATGTGGAGGCCAAATGGCATCAACTGCCTTGGTCAGCTAAATAGGAGGTATAAGCTTAGTACACAGTATTTGTAGGAGTGTTCGGCTTTAACCAAGTGTTGGTATCAGACAGAAAAGACGGGGAAAATAAAAAGAGAACTGAAAACAAAAGGCGCAAAAGCTTATATAAAGCCCAAGGTGTAAGAATGCCAAGATGCGGCGGCCCTAAAATTCCACTTATAAAGCCAACTAGAGGGGCAATATAAATGAAATGAGCTAGCTATACTCCGTAGTACCTCTCTATATGATGATAGCGTTAGCGCTGAAAATAGCCCGCTTTGAACCGTCGCTCAGCGGCTCACCACCGCCTGTGCCGGGCTACGCTACTGCCTACAGCCCCTTGCGGTCTCGACATATCCATTCCATTTTCATCACTATAAGCCCGACTCTCTCCCTCGAACGACGACGTATTGTCTCACGCTGCTGAGCACCACTGTGCACTCAGGAGATGTCCGAAAAAGTAAGGTCTCAGTCGAGCAGTCACTCCACAGTTACCATTGGGATCTTTCGAATAAGGGACCTGGAGATGCGCCGTTCACGTAGTTTGGAAGCTCGAAATAACCAGCAATTGTTTGGAGAGTGGTCTTGTACACATGCTAGCATTCCTGCTATGTACCATGTCCGATGTGACATTCAGATAGAGCTCCTCAATGAAGTCCTGATGGTCTCGCATGGGCTTCCTCGGCGACATTCTCACGTTGTTAGGCATATACGCCTGGAACCAAATTAGTATCTAAAAGATGTCAAATGGCATAGTCGACGTAGAATGCTCTTCTATGTGCTCACAGAGAGTGGAAACTCCTCTGTGGCGATCTTCAAGTCCCGTATACAGTAAGTATACTGAACTCCTCAAGATATGTGAAATGCCCCCTAGAGTGTGCGTATAAGGTATCTTAAATTGGAACATTCCAGTACGAAAATTGGAGCTTGATTTAGCTTTTGTCAATCAGCGTAGCCTTTGCATGCTGGATGATAAATATAGCTCAATTTAAGCAATTTTATATACATTTGGCATACATGCCTGCGAAAGAATCCATGCGTACTTGCATTGAGGAATACATCACATTTACTTCACTTTATTAAAGAATAACCACTTGAAAATCATCATCTCAGTCATGGCATCTCTCTGACTATTACTCTACAGGCACAGTCTAGATACATTAAATCATACAAGAATCAAGGCAATCTCTCTGTTGCACGCACGCTATTCCCAAAAAGGGATACAAAGTACTCTTGACAGGCGCCTTTCATTGGCCAGGGGTATGATTAGTGATTACATGATACAGCCCACGTCCCGGAATTGTTATTAAAAGGGATTCTTGTCCTCTCAGCCATCCCTGAAGTAAATCAATTCTCGGTGGAAACCATCTCAAATGAGCATAGAATACGAGTTCGGCGGGCCGTAAGGAAATGTCCTCTTCATTCAAATCAAAGCTAACATCTTGATCTCCTACAGCCTGGGTGCCGTGGCCATCACCTTTGGCTTGCCATTGCTGTTGTACATCTTTGCATTTGCTTGTAATGATGTCTCTGGTTGCCCAATACCCTCTCTTCTGCACATTCACTCCCTCACCTGGGACAGGGTGAAAGCAGACACAGGACTACTCAATGTCAGTATGGCCAATTTCTTCAGCTGGGAGGTAACGTTTGTTACTGTCGCCTATTATATTTGGGGCCTACTTCTCTGGAGAATTCTTCCCGCGAAACAAGTCTACGGCACTAAGCTGATACACCATGGCCGTCCACTCTCATACAAGTTCAATGGTTAATATGGACCCCTCACATAATCTTCTGTACATTGCCGGAGCTAAGAATTCTCAAGCATTCTTTGCAAGTGTGGTTACTCTAGTCATCTGCGCGGCAGGGACCTACCTCCAAGGCGCCGACTTCCCCGTCTGGTCTTACATCACCGACAACTATGTGCAGCTTTTGACAGCGAACATCTTAATCGCATATGCACTCTCTGTTTTTCTTTACGCCTATAGTTTTACTGTGGACACTAATTATCCCAACCGGGACCTTCGAGAGTTAGCTGCTGGAGGTGCCACGGGTAATCCGATCTACGACTTCTTCATTGGCCGTGAGCTTAACCCTCGCGTCACTCTGCCGTTCTTCGGGGAAGTCGACATCAAGACCTGGTGCGAAGTCTGCCCTGGGCTGACCGGGTGGATCCTGCTTGATCTTGCCTTTGTAGCCAAGCAGTATCGCAACTATGGCTACGTCTCTGACAGCATCGTCTTCACGACAGCCGTACAAGCATATTATGTTCTGAGCAGTCAATATAACGAATCCAGCATCCTGACCATGATGGATATTACTACCGACGGCATGGGTTTCATGCTCTCGTTCGGTGATCTCGTCTGGGTACCATTCCTTTACTCGACTCAATGCCGCTACCTCTCAGCTTATCCCGTACATCTTGGTTGGCCGAAGATCGCGACTGTTAGTGCTGTGTTTGCGCTAGGCATCTATATCTTCAAGGCCGCCAATAACCAAAAGCACGCTTTCCGCACGCAGCCGAATAACCCGGCTGTGGCTAACCTTTCCTACATCCAAACCAAAAGAGGAACTAGGCTCCTCACGGCCGGATGGTGGGGTGTCTCTAGACACATCAACTACTTCGGGGACTGGTTGCAGGCTCTGCCCTTCAGTCTGCCTACGGGACTCGCTGGCTACATGATTTTACCTGTGGGCAGTGTATTACTTGATGCATCGCAGGCCGTTCCTATGCTGGATGGGCGGGTCGCTATTCAGGGACAGGCGGCTGGTTGGGGCATGATCTTCACCTACTTCTATGTGCTATACTTTGGGATCTTGTTAATTCACCGCGAACGCCGAGACGATGCCATGTGTGCGAAGAAATATGGTGAGGACTGGAAGGAGTACAAGAGGATCGTTAGATGGAGAATATTGCCTTGGGTTTATTGAGTATAACTCGATAGTCAGCTCAGTAGGCTGTGGTTCAAATGATTTTCGTCCCGCGGTTCGACATAGATCCAAAGGAGGAGTCGATGGACACATTGCAACATATAGTTTCTCTAGAGCACTTAGATTGTTGTGAAGTAGGGTCCCGCATGCAGTCCTCAGAGACTCTAGAGACCAAGGAAGGAAGAGAAGTAATTAAATTAACGTTATTCCTTTAGCGGCTTCAAGCCTTATGCACCATACCTTGAACCTCCTCATGCAGCAGCGGTAGCAGTAATGAACAGCCGCTCCCATTTCATACCCAGTGTCGCAAGCAGGGTGATAGCACCAGCCACAATGCAGAGAATATAAGTCCGATCAATGGCCGTGACGATCGCAGCGAGGACGCTGCTCTTAGTAGCCAGGTCCAAATCCTGCACGAACGTCGAGCCAGTTCCGGAAATGGCGTCGATGATGGTCGAGCGAGCCTCGTGCGGGAGAACCCACGAGATTCCTAGAGAAGACCCTGAGCGCCTAGCTCAGAATGCGGAGGGGAGTGACTTACGCTTCGCAGCCTCATTGACAAAGACACATTGTGCAATGACCAAGGCAAACGTCAGTCCATTGAGCTGTGCGGTGGTGGTAAACGCAACGGCGGCCGGGATCTTTTCGGGCTTGACTTTGGCCTGCGCCACGGCGTGGCCTAGTTGGAGGTACATTCCCGCTCCCAGACCGATTAGCGCACTGTATCCGTACGTGGCTCCCGCGCTGCTGTGGGGATGGATGGTGTACATCAGCGCGGAGCCAACCAGGCACAATGCTCCTCCCATGATGTACCACGGGATGTAGTATCCCAGACGGGAGGTGAGGTATCCGCCTCCGACGCAACTGAAAACGAGTAAACAGACGAACGGGAGTAGCCGAACGCCTGACTGAAGCGACTCATCTGATGCAGTAAACTGGAAGTATAGGGGGATGATGTACGTGGGGACCGTAACGCACACTCCCGTGCAGCAGCCGCAGATGAAGAGGAGGGTGAGGAGCGGCTTGCGCCACGAGACCAGTTCGACGGGGAAGAGGCGAGTTTCTTCGGTGGTGAAGATGCAAAACGTTTGCTGGATTCCAAAGACAATGAACAACAGGCCACCGAGCACAAGTGCGGCGATGATGCCTGGTGCGTTCCACGGATACATGGCGCCAGCGAAGTTGACACCAATGACTCCCGCCGCAAAGGCACCCATGAGGATGAGCGAGCCCACGAGATCCATCCGCTTCAGCCGCTCGATAACAGGCGTCCCCACGGGCTGGGGATGCAGTGAAGGCAGCAAGAAGATGTACACCGGGGTGAATAGCCCGCCAACACAAAGATTGATGTAGAACGACCACCGCCAGCCCGCAGAGCTATCGGTAAACGCACCGCCGATTATAGGACCGAGCACGGTGCCCGCGCCCCAGGTCAGCCCCATCGCACTAATGTACATCGGACGTTCTTGCATTGACGTCAAGCGAGGAAGGAAGTTCATGACGCCGACGTACTGGCCCACGCCGCCCACGCCGCAGACCACACGGCCCCCGATGAGCATGTTCATCGAGTGCGCCGCTCCGCAGATGGCAGAGCCCGCCATGAACACGGCAATGGAGAAAATGTACATCCACTTGATGTTGAACTGATTGAAGATCTGGAGCCAAGTGAGTACGGTGGCGCTGGACGCCATCACGAATGCGACGCCGGACCAGGCTAGCTTGTCGACTCCGTTCAGCGATTTGATGATGGCGGGCTGGATGTTGGCGACGATGGTGTTATCGAGGGCGAAGAGGAATGTCGAGCTGTAGATGGCTAGAATGACCGTGACCCATAGGAAGCCGTGGATATTGCGTGGACTCTTAGAAGTATCCTTGCCCTGATCGCTTTCTGAGCAGCTACTGTCTTGTTTCTCTGCGTCTTTTGGGATGTCTGAGTCCGACGGCCGCATCTCCCTGTCTCCGAGATCTGCCATTATTGGGAAGCTATGGCTTTAAAATATTAAACAATGTTCTAGCTTGAAGGTAATGGATTGCGCAGAACAGCTCGTTGCAGGAGGAAGAATCCTGGCTTAATTTGAGATCAGGAAGAGACACCCCCCGTGTCCATATATCAAGCACGCTGACAAATGTCATGGAATGCTGAAACTTTGATTAGAAATTACATTCAGACAAAAAAGATAGGGAAATTTGATTCATTAACGGACTCTATTGTAAAGACTGTGTTCGGGTGCTTGACGGGGGATTAGGGCTGAGAGAATTGCCGAAACAGGTAAAAGAGTGGTTATATTTCACAGCAGGAACAGCACCGCAGCCATGAGACGGGATCCACTATTGCTTAGTTCTTCATCGATTATGGATCTACCACTTGATGATTATTAAGAGCATTGTTTGCTGGCTCCTGCTCCTGTTCTCAGCAGTCAGAGACCGAAAAGGTCCCGATGGGTGCTGACTAAAAACTCCCCGAGATCGGGCAGTTTTCCTTGCCCTAATGTCTGCTGGCGATGTCACTCCACGTAGCCAAATTGCTCTCGACTTTCATGTAATCAGTTGATACAGCGCTGTCAATATGATTATAGACAAGGGATCCCTTCTCTTTGTCAGATTTACTTCCACTCTCTTGGCCACTAGAGCAGATAGTGCTTGGGGACTTTACGACTGACCAGGCATTATGATCGACAACCTGATTTGCAATCTGGAGAGCACTCTTATGAAGGTGCAAGATGCATATTCTTCGCGCGAGGCGATGCCCTTCTGGGCTACCAGATTATTAACGCCGACTTTTATGGCGGTAGCCGTCCTCACCACCATTCCATCCCCGGGTCCCGCGCGTGTCACCGTCGGGATGACAGTCTTCACGACTCTGTGGCTCTACGTGCTCACCCACTGGGTAGCAGATCCGTCTTTCTTCATGGATGCGATCTTCATGATCTCAATCACGGCGCGCTGGATGCTAATGTTCCTAACTGGAACCCCCGAAATGGACTACTACCAGACGAGTAAAACCGCGACGAAGCTTGACAGCGCCAGTGCGGACGGCGGGATCCCAGGCGGCTCGATACTTCTGAACAAGGTTAAATGGAGCGTGGAGCTGTGGTCGTGTTGGCGCGGGCAGGGTTGGAATTACGCTGACCAGCATCTCAAACGAGGCGCGGAGCAGACTCAATCTCGACGGTATTTCTCCTTCCCTGATTGTTCCAGTGCAGCTGCTGATAGACCTCTGATAGGGATTTTCTGATTACAAACGCAGGTAGGATTCTTCTGAACCGGTACATTTCGGACATGGTGCGCAAGTATGCGTTCTGCGCGTTCTGGCCGGCTCACCACGCAAACGTGGCTAGTGTCGATTTTCGTTCATTGCCCATGCTACACCGGCATCTACTAGTCGGGGCTCAATTGGTTCGAGACAGCCTCATGCTGGACAGCGAATATCGCAAGGCTTCGCTGCTCTTCGTGAGCCTGTGTCTTTCAACGCCGGATCGATGGCCCGGCCTCTTCGGCAGCCTGGCCGACTTATACAGTGTTCGGAATTTTTGGGGGAGAGTCTGGCATCAGGTCTTCCGGCACATGTTCATACGGGCTGGAGAGGTGGTAACTAGAGCCCTGGGGGCGGAGAAACGGACTATGGTGTACAAGTATACGAAGCTGTATGTCGGATTCTTGGTATCTGGAGTCCAACACTACGCGTGTCCGCAGTTAATCCCGTCTTTGCGCTATGGCTGGGGAATGTTTTGGCAGATGCCAGCGTATGCTGCTGTTATTACGGTGGAGGATTTGATCAAACACTATGGCAAGAAAGCTGGAATCCGAGATAATGGTGGGTTTCTCGTCGTCTCCTCTTCTTGTGTCTTCGACATCTCGACCATGTTTGCTAATGGTTCACAAAAGGCTTCATTCGCGGTCTAGGCTATATCTGGACGGCATACTGGATGACCTTGATCTATGCCTTGCCTGTTGGCTACGTGTCGGACATTGGGGGGTTTGCAGGTGTGTGCGACGCCTAAGTCTTTTTCCAACGCCACCAACGCATCGATAGCTATGTTGTGTATAATTTTATAGAGAGTTTAACCCCCTTTACACTGTAGTAATGTTTGTGAAGTGGCCGGGCTTAGAAGTTGTTATGATCCTTCAGACATTTTACAGTCGACATTATAGTGCATCTGGTACTTGTCGATGAGTTGATGAGCTAATAGAGTCGAGCCCCGCTATCCAAGTACTTGTAAATTTGTAATCTATGCGTTAATTTTGCTATCTCTGATAAAGAACGGCCGAAGACAGAAATCATCCAGATGGCACCATCAAGTGCCAGTTAACGTCTTTGTCTTCATATGCCTGAAAGGCCGCCAACTGGTGACTGGCAGTTGCTTAGTAATTCTCCCCATTCAGGTTCTCCAGTCTCCACACTAAGACAATCATCGCACCATTGATAACATCGTAAACAACTGCAATCAACAAAGCTCAATTATGCGTTCGACTCATTCATCCCGACCTCCAGCGTGTACACAAGCTGAGGTCACTGCAAACTGGGAGCGTCTGCGCAAGTCTTGTGATTCTTGCCAGGAAGCCAAGGTTAAGTGCAGCCAACACAAGCCCTCGTGCCATCGCTGCCTTCGTCATCGCCAACCCTGCATCTACAGCCCGCAGCGTCGCACTGGACGACCGCGAAAGAGGCCGGCACTCGATGGCAATGCATATCCCTCGGCCAATTCAGGGGGTGACATAGATGGGACAATAATCAGAGAGCCGAGTAGCTCAATTGTCAATGGCCAGGACCTCGTCATGGCCGATGTCCGCGGTGATGACACGCACTTGCTGGCCGATGATATTACGGCGGACACCATCAATCCCATCGACAGCATCTTTCAGCCATCGTTCGAAGCCTTGTTAGCAGCCTCACCGCTCAGCAAGGATCCGACAGCCAGAGGCAACAACTCAAACTCCTATCATACGGGCTATCTAACGGCCTCTCCGTCGGATGCGTTGGGCGATTTATCCCTTTTCTTGCCCGATTACAATAGCCCAATTCAACCACATCCGGCGCATGTACTTGCCACTGACCAGGCGCCCCCACTCAGTGTGGGCGCCTCGAACACAGGCAGTGAGTGCGGGGACTGCGGAGCAAAATGTTACACGGGGCTTCTTCAACAGCTGTTGTTCTTGCGCCAGTGGCTTCCTGAGGCCGCTCGTCCCTCAATCGACGTGATACTGCAGGTGGAGAGCCACGTGCGCAGTCTTATCGACTGGGTTTTGGCCTGCCACACGTGTCTGAGTAATCGCTCGTCCGTCCTCCTCATGTCGGTGATTACAGAGCGTGTGATTCAGATGCTCGACTGGATCATCGAGGAGAAGACCTTGCTTGACACCGAAAGCGCGCGCTCCAGCCGGCAAACGGTCAGTTCCTGGGCGCGAACTTCTCGACTACCCCCGGCCGGGAGCCGTACCGGCGGTCGGCCGTATGTGTGCCTCATTCCGTTACTTGTAGGGAACACTGAGCTCGACGAGGATACCAAACAGTACTTCCTCAAGCAGCTTATTCTCATGCGAATGAAGAAGCTTGCTGCCAAAGTACAGGATGTGCGACGCACCAGTAGTACGCACCCCGGGGACTGCATCTACCGTGCTGCCGACTTAGTACTTGCAGAGTGTCTGCAACGATTGGACTACCTTCGCGGCCAGGTTCAACTGTGGGAATGAATGCTTTCCTATCCCACCAAGGAGATAATGACCTTTAGATACCCATGCAGCGTTACGACGTTATTTTTTAACCTACGTCAATGTTAGAAGAAGCGAGTATCAATTTCTCGAACCTCACTCTTTCTCCTTTAATCAGTCCCTCACCTTTCAATTGATTCAACCACATAATCCGTCTTATTTTCCTGCATTTCTCAGTCTTCCATTGAAAGACATCTTGAAGGCCCTGATTCCTTGAAGTACAGCATTCCTCTATATCAGCAAAAGTCCACCGAGCCCCTTATTTAAACGTCTGGTGGATTCTATTCCCCTCAACCCCCTCCCCTCCGACTCGAAATCATGCCGTAGATACAGCCAAATACCCCATACGCCACTGGTAATAATTATCTTGACTATATTATTTCACCGCTGCTTCATTCAATAAACAATCTCCCCAACAACGCCAACACCCTCGACAAACACTGACTGACAGGCCCGTCGCCCTCCCGACCGTACAGGCCCGATCTCGTCCCCAACACCCTCCCCAAGTCAAAGTCCACCCCGACAGTGGCAGTAGCAGTGGCAGTGGCACCATTCACCGGACTGGCCCCCGCTGCCTCCTTGCTACGGATGTACACATCGCGCAGGAGAGTACTCAGGCGCGTAAGCACGGCATAGACAACCTGTCGCGCGAGAATGGCCTCCTCCTCGGCCTGGAGGGTGAGTCTGCCTAACACCATGGGTGATTTAGTACATCTCAACTGAGACCGTACATCGACCGTAGGAGCAGGAGTAGCGGTGCCATTACCAGTAGCGGCAGCGGTAGCGGTGGTACTGAGCTCATCACCGAGGAGATCGTAGGTAGTGCAGGCTGCATGGCAGAGGGAGAGCACCGCGTCGGACAGATCGACGAGCGGGGTATTCAGGTCTTGGCTGTAGTTGTGGCAGGGGTGTTTACAGGTTTCGATGGATTTGGAGAGGTCGGTGAGTGGTTGAGTGATGGTGGGGATGAAGCCGAAGTCGAATGAGCCCTCTGTTGGGATGGTGGAGGAGAGGTGTTTGATTTGGGGTGGGCAGGGGCAGGTTGTCGTCATTTTGGTTATCTGTATCTACAGTAAGTTTTTCTATTTCCAGATGAGTTTAGATACCATCGTGACTTACGGATGGTCGGTACACAAAATGATCATGAGCTGAATTTATGGTTGGTCGAGGTGAATGGTTGAAAGAAGTGTTCATCATGCATGACTAATTAGTTTAATACTGTTCTAGTATGTTCCTCATTAAACTCTTCAAATCATCCCTGCTTGAGTACAATACGAATACTTATGTAGGTTGTTCTGCCTTAAGTATATATACTGAAGGAGTGACATAGTCGATTAGATTGAGCTTATTATATATATTTGTAGCACTAAATGGTTATCTACTGAAGTGTTGTCTCTACAGTCTAAGATCTACGGCCATATACAAAACATATTCTCTGAGGTCCTCAACAAGTTTGCTGTCTTTCAGATAGCGGTTACCAATGTACAGACCGAACTATATATCCCTTCGCGCCGATTATCTGGCGAATATTCCATACCCAACCACTGCCATCTGCTGCCATCAACCTACTACTTCTCTATTATTGACGATAACCCGGCATCCCGAAGAATCGCGTCTCGCCGTTCTCCACGATAGACCAAGAGACAGAAAAAGGAGAAACAGAGAAACCCGAGAAATAAGGTGTGTAGATAGCAGGTATCCACCGTACATACAAGCTGACAGGTCCGGTAGTACATCAAGTGGATCACCACGATAGAGAAGAGGAATCTATGGCTAGTCAATCGAGGCAGCCAGATATGGTAGTTTGACTTACAGAAAGGGATGCTTGTAGAATCCGGCCTTTTGCATAAGATGCTCGGGAAAGCCGATGTAAGAGGCGAGGGCTGTGACTATTTCACTCCGCTGAGACGACATCGGGTGAGATTGGAAAGAGGCTCCGGGCATATTAGAGGTGCGAAATCTTTGAAATTCATAGATCGAAGTGAATGCACATGTTCAAAACATGATGCAAGTTAAGATCGAACGAGTGCAGAATTTTAGTCAGTCTGTTGTCCGCTGTCCTATTATGTAAATAATGGACCTGCTTGTGCCTGTTTCAAAGCCTCCTAAGCGCACCAGTGGGTCGTATCCACTGTAGCTAGGGCAGTACTAGGCTGTGATGGTAAAATGTACTTAGCAAAACTATGGTACTTGCAAACTGCAACATATTCGTACGCAGTGATATGTACAGACTGTCCCTACAGGGCTAGAATAGTACTTTGGTTCTATCCTCTAGCCATAATTAGGTGGTTACAGACCTTCTGGTTCAAAGATCATTAAATAATCATTGAAACCAGCTCAACTTAAAGTATTCTTGTTCGAAGATTGGTGTTCGAGTTTAAATTGAGCGTCTGCGGAATTGCATATTGGCGAGGTCAAAAGTGATCCTGCTTCATGAACTGTCTAGTCCTCCAGTAGACGGCACTCAGTCCGTTGTGGTATAGCCGGCGCGGGATCGTTCAGTAGTGTGAGACCATGAACAGTTCTTGATGGTTTCTGAGTCGACACTCATCGTAGTATATCAACAGTAGAGAAACCTCTCAGTGTGCTCACTAACTCTCGACAAGTTTTGCACTTTTCCAAACACTGGAATTCCCAGGAATGCGGGAAAGGCGTCAGCCAATTAAACCGATACTTAAGAGAGATTCTTCAGGCATTAAGAATAAGGCAGTGTCTTGCAAGGTAGCAATCTCCTTTTTAACTGAACACTAGAGAGATAGAGAAAGGTCGCGATGCGGTCGTACTGTACCCATATCTCGGCGTTTGTCCCGAGAGCGGCATACAGAGAGACGGAGGACTGCCGAGTCGGTCCTCGGCCGAGATGCGGGGAAGCGTGGGGTTAAAATTATTCCATTGAAAAAGGAATAGCAAAGACAAGGGATATATCGCAAGTCTATGAAATAATAATATGGATAAGATTAAACAGCCTTCCCTGTAGACCCCAGCATATCCATACACCTCTCAACAGCCTTCTGCATCTCATTCGTCGCCTCCTCCAGCACAGCCGTCAAGGGCGCCCGCCCCGATTTCTCGCGCTGCACCCGCACATACTCATTATTCAACACCTTGTTGATATTCACCTTGGACACCCCACACTCAATGCACTTGGCAAAGATTTCCGGCGTGAACGGATCCGCCCCATGCAGCACAAGCTTGACCCTATCCCCAACGGCCTCCTGGATGCTCTTCAACCGATCATACTCCAGACGGATCCCCCTTGGCCCATACTCGCCATGCACATTCCCAAACGCAGGAGCCAGCCAGTCGATCCCCGTATCCGCAAACTCACGGCTCTCTTCAGGAGTCGTCAGCAATCCCTCCAGGTCAGCCGTGTCCGCAACCCCGTCCTCCCCGCCCTCGATCCGGCCGGGCTCCGCCTCCGTCGCGATCCCGCGCTCGTGGCAGTACCCAACCAGCTCTCGCGTAAGCCGTAGGTTTTCTTCTTTCTCGTAGTGGCTCATGTCTACCATGATGCTGTCGAAGCCGCCTAGGTCTGCGGCGTAGCGGATGATCTCGGGGGTTTGCGCGTGGTCCATGTGTACGGCGATGGGGACGGACGCCTTGCGGGCTGCTTCGGCGGCGGCGTGCACGAGCAGACCGTCGGCGTAGTGGATGGCCCAGGGGAAGAGAAGGATCATGGCTGGGGAGCGCTTGGCTTCTGCGGCGCGGACGGTGGCCAGGATGCCTTCGAGGTTGTAGCAGCACATGGCGGGCACGCCGTAGTGGTTTGAGGCGGCGTGGTCGAGAATGGAGAGGGCGCGGTTGGAGGCCATTTTGGAGGCCATTTTTGCAGTAGAATTTAGGCGAAGAGAGGAGGAAGATGAGGATATTAGAGGATTGCAGTACAGAATTGTAGGTGCAATCGGGATATTGCCTTTATATAGGGCTTGTTTACTGCGGAGGATCAACTCCCCCACTCTCTGCACGGAGTTGGTCCGACTGACGTCAATGCGCATTTGGCATCCCGCGCATTTCAGGAGTGAATTGAAAGCATTTTTATTAAAGGCATTACATAGAGAGGTCCTGATACAGTTACTGGCCGAACATTTTGATCACGCTCGTGCTCGCTTCCCCCCCGAGTCCGTGTCTCCTTGCCATCAGCAACTTTTCCAACGCCGCATTCCCCAGATGCAGCGGGCAATGCAGGTCCCTCGCCTTTTGCACCACCTTCTCCATCTGCGCTACGGCTTCATCGAGCGTCTGTGACCCTTCTGGCGCCTTGCCTCCAATTCTCCCCTCGATCATCTCCAATCCCTTGTGGATAAACACTTTGCTCGCACCAGCCGCGTCGCTGACTAGTCGGTGGAACATCGCGAGATCGACGTTCAGATACCGCGCAAACGCAATAGCCTCTGCGGCTGCCACGAGGTTGACTCCCAGCATCAGATCGAGGACGAGCTGGAGGGCAGCGGAGGGATCTTCCGCGGTGCAAGCCACGTCGGCGATGGGTTTCGGATAGTACTGACGGACCATGGCAGAGTCGTCTTTAGGGCCGTAGCCCTGCAGCAGCGCGGAGAGGTAGACTTGCTCGGCGGTCGAGCAGAGAGGTGTCGGGAAGTGGTGTTGGCGGGCAGAAGTCGTGATAATACCCTAGACAGTCAGTATCCGTAAGAAAAACAACGTAGAGGTAACATACCACGTCCTTGAGAATAATCGTCAGCGCACTGGCACCGGGGTTCCAATCCTCCTCCACCATCCGCTGCAGCCGGTTCTCATGCATCCACGTCCACGCCTCGGACCCGATGATTTTCTCAGCGGTCGTCTTGGCATCAAGCCCCAGCTGCGCTGCGAACCCCATCGCCTCACTGGCGCCCAGGATATGGATCCCCGCCAGCACCTGATGCACCATCTTCATGTTGCTGCCGGCTCCGACACCGCCGGGGACCAGGTACAGCTTGTTCTTATCAGACATCACCTGCAGTATCTCGCGACCGCTGTTCAGCGCCTCCTCCGACGCACCCGCCATGATGGATAGTGTCCCGTCGGCGGCGCGCTTGGCGCCTCCAGAAACAGGACAATCGATGAAGCGGATATCCGCACGGCCGCGGGACTGCAGCTCTGCCGCGACGGACTGTGCATAGGAAGCGGGGACTGTGGAGCAGAGGAGGAGGGTGGCGTTCTTCGGGAGGTCTGTACATCTCAGTGTCAGCTTCGCTCATGGTAAATGTCAATGGGTGCAACGTACACTGTACCACGCCGTCCTCCCCAAAAAGAACCGACTGGACCTGCGGCGCCGACGCGACCATGCAAATGTAAAAGTCCTTTCCCTCTGCCGACTCCCGAAGCGACGAGGCGGGAATTCCTCCCTGAGACTGGAAACGCTGCACCGAGGCGGGGAATACATCGAAGCCGACGACGGGGTATCCTTCGCGCACGAGGTTGGTGGCCATGCCGAAGCCCATGGCTCCTAGGCCGACGAAGCCGATGGTGGGTTTGGACATTTTGATTGATCCAATGTTTTTTCTGTATTTACGACGTCTGAATGTAGGATTGAATTTGTGATCACTCTAATCCTAGAACCCGACGAGATTTGAGGTTTTTATAAAGCGCGGGGCCAAGGTCCAAGCAAGCAGTGGGGGTGAGTGGGATAAATGACGGCGGTCGGAGTTGGTCCGAGATACTCTCATCCAGGCTCAGTGGTGATGGCAGAGTGACTATTCACGATTTTACTATCGTAGAATCATGGTAAATGATAGTGATGTAGTTAGAGAAAGTGACATGACATTCACGCGATTAAACTGGGAATATTCACGTAAGGCAGAATAAGCTAGAATACGCGAATAGATTCACGTATCAGGACTCCAAGAAGATATATAGCCCCTTCTGCTCCCTCCTCGAGAAGTTATCTCTCCTCACTCAGGCAGTTCTGAGTTGCATTTGGAAGTCCAAAAAGGTCATATCCACATCTACTTATAAGAATACCTCTTTCTTCAGTTTCATGTTACTATCTCTCCATCAGGATCCTCAGGGATGACTGACCTTACAATCATCCCACTGAGATGGGTACGCTCAGCGACTCGTAGCCTAAAGGCTACTTAACCGCTTACGCTTACGCGACCCGCTTGGTCACTTCAGTCGTCTGCAGAGAATTCATCCCGCGCGAGTGACATTGCAATTCGTGAGCCAGCTCCTGGGCGTTTCTCCCCCGGGGCTGTCGCATTGAAGAAGATGGGAAATTGCGACATGCCGATTACCTGGTCATTACCCAACAATATGGGTGCCTGGCCTCGTACACGAGCTTATGCTCGCTCCAACTGGGTTGAACTCAACTCACGGAGTTGCGAAACAAAAAGGTATGTTGAGCTTGCAATTCTGAATCATCATCGACTAACAGGCAACAGAATGAGCCTAAGCAGCGACCGAGCATTAATGCCCACTGGAACGGCACCGCTGGACACCTACGGCCGAGCCGCGACAAGATACACCTCTATCGTACCCTTTCGAAGAAGTCGAAGAGGTAGCGTCCAACAGGTGCCAGCCGAACAGGGCCGTTGCCAGCTGAAGTTATTTTTTTCCACAAGGACAACTTAGGTGAGTCTATCCAATGGAGCAACAAAATCGGATGGTAACCGACGACAGTGGTGTGGCCTCTCCAGAAAACAACTTGCAATGACAGGTATTGCCTCCTCCTGGGAGATGGCAGATGGTGCTTCGCCCGAAAGCCAACAGCAGTAATCAGCAGAAGAAGGCCCCAGGAAAAAGGCGCGGTGCGAAGAAGCAAAAGCCTCTGTTTCCGACTACCCGCTATCAAGTCAATCATCATTTGATGTTTCACTTTCGCCGGTGCCATTCAGCAAAGAATTTCTATGGCACTACGAGCTCTGTCTCGCTGCGCGACATGCAGTCCGCAGCCGAGGACTTGTCCCCATCCAAAGACAATTTAACATTTATTTGTACAATTGGGGATTGACAACATTGGACCGAGAGCCTTTGCACAAACTGAACGAAAGATGTCCGAACGACAAGGAATCGCCTGAGAGCCCAGGCTGAACGGGAACAACCTACCCCAATGTCAGGCGCAGTTCTGCACCCACACTTCGAATACGGTCCCGAAATGTATGACATGTTCTTCGCTGTCCGGCCTAATCGATCCTTGGGGCGCCCTTATCCAACATACATCGGAGAAGGCATTGTTCACATTTGCCCTGCGGCATTTGCAGCGTGCCGTCCCAGCAATAATGGCACCGCTGCCCGATACACGCATGCGGTGATGCCCTGGTTTTGAATCCAACCACCTTTTAAGCAATACAGTACCTCACCGGGGCTTCCAGTACGTCGTTACCGGGGCGTTCTGACTCTGATCAATGCCCTGGCAACATCGAACAAGCTCTTCGCTCGCACCATGGCATAACTGGAAACAAAAAGATACGCAAGGTGCGTTGACGGATTGTGTTTGGTACATCTTGAGGCTTCGTCACTGACATTCAGTAGACCACTCAGTACGACCAATTCCAGGTTGGTCTGTCATATTTTCGACCAACTCGGAGAATGGGTGGAGTACCGCTCCGCTACACGCATGCAGCGAATCTGGGACATGTCTCATGGACGGCTGCCATGCAGTTCTTCATCACTGCCCTCGGGAATTTCCCTCAAAACGAGCGACTCGGAACGTCGAGGTAAAGCACTACCTGTGTGCTGAAGATTACGGGGAACGACCCAAAGAGTCATGAGACTCATGGCTGTTATAACAAGCGGGTTCTGCATGCCTAGCTCCAGCCTGAGACTGTTCTTCAACAGCTCCGCCGAGCCATCTGAATCCCAATCAAAGCACGTCCATTGTTCGGATGTTTGAAAGAAAAGGGAAATCTTTATGGATCACCTCAAACGTGAGGAAATCATTCTTAAGTGATATTCGTCCTGAGGCTCCGAAGGCGATTTCACCAGGCCAACTGCCCCGTTCCATGGTGTGACTTTGATATTTCTGGTGTTGCAACGTCCTTGAAGCTGTGAGTGTTCTCGAAAAGATAAATAGTTCATCTGACTTACTCTGTTGTCTCCAAGCCGCAAAACGGTCGACCTTTCAAGAATTCTATGTCTGGAACATGAACATCAAGTTACGGATACATTTTGCTCTCAGTTCAAGATACGTGCTAGGCAGACAACCACCCAAATCGCGGATTCCTTTATTTCTCGATCAAAACTGGCTGAGCATGCTCTGTACGAGCGAAATCTTTTGTGGTTCCCAGTCGGGATGATGGTTACGTTGCTTGGCTCGCTGCCCAATATACATTCGTTGAGGGAATAGGTTCACCGACTATGATCACCGATTACAAGCAGGTGTGCCTCCAATAGCCGGTTGAATTGAGACCACAGTGTACATTACGCACACTGGGTTGCAAACCCGAAGTTCGAGGAGCTCTGTGCGATACCTCAGCGGCCAAGCGCGACCATATCAACTTGGGAAAACACTTCTCAGGCCTGTTCCATGCCGTTTTCGTTTTGTTGAACCTCTTCCTTTGTTCTACACACCATGCTCTCGGCTGGGGAAAGGCCTCAGCGGTGCGTTCGGCTTATAACCTGGAGAACGGACAGGATTGGGTCAAGCAGCCATCTTTGTGGATACGAGTGATCAAAGTCCACATTGGTGTTTCTAGTTCGTACACCATGGACTTGTTCCAATTGACATCATTCTCTACTATTTGCGAGGGCTATACTCTACACTTCATGCATGAACACATCTGAATGCATGAACCTTGCCCCGTACGGCCTTGCGTTTGGTCAGCTGTCGACAGCGGCATCAACAGTCCAGGGGTGACTTCCACTGTGATAGCTCTCAGGCATATGGCCTTCGATTCTTTTATTTATCGGTGAGATGATCCCGTCTCGGTAAGGCAGAGACCTACTGTGTCTGATCTCCCTTGAGAATCTTACTGACCCTGTCAGAAAGCTACAACACTAAGAGCGGCGCCTTGCGAACCACACTTACGCCAATATGGATCCATGACTGTATCAAGAATGGCTTACGAAGCACTATTAACCCGCTGGAACTCGCCCTGGCAATCCAGTGCCAGCGGTTCACAAGAGGTGGTCCAACGGACAACCCCTCCTCATGGCGTGCTTCCTGCCATTGATTACTGCCAGGTGAGTTCTCTTCTGCTCGATGTTGAGATCCATTCAAAGTCGGTGTAGAAGCTAACCTACAGTGGTCTCTAGGTCTCGAATGGCAGAGTATCCCCCAAACATAGCGTCGCCAGCACACGCGTCAATATGAACGTGCTTACCGTGAAGGAGTGGATCTGGGAGAGGCCACCATCCGTCTTTTTGAGAAAGCGTTCGGTCAATGCTTACGGAAAGGCTCACTTCCATATTGAAAGATGTTTAGTTTCAACAATCCCAGAGAGCACATGGAAAGATGATCTCCACAATAGCTGGCCCGGTGCATGCAGAAATCAGCAATGCCAGCCAACAATAATGATGAGAAGTCCTTTCCGCGGGTTTGATTGGCACAGCCACTCCCCTGCATTGGAAGTTTGGCGAAGGAGATGGCATGAGCGACTTTCAACAGCACGAGAAAGACAAATGGGTTGTTTTCATTTTCATTTTATTCCATGCCTAGCATCTCCGAAAATTTTCTTTTCCTGCTGGCTTGGACTGTACGTCCTGTCTGATTTGATGGATTTCGAGGACAGGAGAGCGCACGACAAAATGACAATCTCAGTTTACTCTCAGCAATATCGGATGCGAGTTCGGAGGGCACATGGAGTTTGGAGCCAATAGAGAGTGTACCAGGTCTGCGGAGACCTGCCAGCGTGTGAGAAGATCATTAATCCATCATGGATATGCTGACACCACCTGAGCACGTTGACCTTCTGTTAGTGTCGACACTTTCCCAGAGTCCTTCCTCCGCCGATTCCCAATACAGGCATTTACGGCTCTGGCACCTGACGCATAGCCAAGACGGTCGTATCCACATCTACTTAGAAGAAAGACATCTGGCCGAAGAAGCGGCTGCGCACATCAACGTTGTCATTGTGAAAAGGTCCGCAATATGCCAGTCTCGGATGAAAGGCCGAATCGAAGTGGATGGGCACTGGCATGGATACAGTCGTCCAACTTCACTGCGACACAACATGTTGTCGTCTAGCTTGATATCTCTTACATGTGACGAGCGAGCTGAAAGACCTCGATGCAAGAGCTAACATTGAACACGGAGAAACGACTATACAAGTTGAGGAGGACGTTTCTGCAGATCTACAACCTGCTACTTTTGTTATTCTTCTCCCGAAATGTCGAGGTGGCATTCCCCTAGAGTCCATTCGATGGAAAGAGTGGCTGACTCGAAATATTCTGCCAACGTCCTATGCGCCAAGATCATAATCGAAGAAGCACTTCGAGATCCAACTGTCCTTCTTTTAGCCATCTGGCAATGACGCCGGCTAAAGTGACAGGCCACGCCCGTTCCCTGGCCACAATCCACTTATGTCGTCGTTCTCACGGAGCATGAGGGCAAACCTCAGAAGTTAGGATTATGAATTGGAACTCAAGAGGTACATGTCGCTGCTCACGACTCAAAGTCCAGGAGGAAAACTCCGTTTACGAACGCAAACGATGCAGCTTACAGGAAACCCACCACACATTGGCACTTCTTCTACCCTGCCAACAAGCATATGATCCACTTTGTAATTGTCAATTCAACGCTATGTCTATTACGGAGCGTAAAGTTTGCTGTTTCCAGCTTAATGGCAAAGTTTCAGCTAGAAGCTTCAAAGAGGAGAGCCGAGGTAGAGTGCTAAAAGTGTCAAGTCAACCAGTGAAATTCAAAGGTGGATAGTCAACACTAATGGGTTCTGATATAATMTGTAGTAGTGAGTTCTGCTGACACATGTAATGTTTTTGTGCATTCCATTCTCTACTCCGTACAAAGTATAAAGAACCGAAATTGATCTGACTCACATCGCTTTGCCCATAAAGAAGTAAGCAGACTGTCGAACGTATACAAACTATTAACCAACCAGCAGATCTGCAAATCTGCAAGACTATACATCAAGCACAAACATGCGACACGACTTTGTTGCGTTACACCACCCTCACTTAATATCGATACGCTTGCTCACAGTTGATTCGGCTGTTTTCGGGATGGTAATCGAGAGGACACCGTCCTTCAAGCTTGCATCGATACCATCGCGGTCCACATCGTTGGGAAACCGAAACGAACGTCTAAACTCTCCCACCGAACGCTCAGAACACCACCAGGATTGTTCGGGGTCTTCTGATGTTGACTCTCGCTCAGAACGCCCCTTGATGGTGAGGATGTTGTCGTCGCTCAGTTCAATATCAATGTCCTTCTTGTCCACTCCCGGAAGCTCTCCGTCGAGACGGTAGTTGTCTTTCGTCTCGCGGACGTCAAACCGAGGATAGTGACCCAGCACATCATCGCTGCTTGCTGGGCGGTTTAGGAAGGACTCAAGGTCATTAAGAGCTCGAGACAAGGAGGGAAAGCCAGCGCCAGGATTCCTTTGCATCAAAGACATTGTCCTGGTTTGCCATGGCTGGCGCGGCTGCAGAGAGCGGGTAACTGAAGGACGCGTAGCGAAGCGTCTAAGGGGGGAATTCAAAAGTCTGCGGGCATACATCTTGATTTGTGGTTTTTGGTGTCTACTTTGTCATCTGAAGATAGCATATATGTCTTGTATATATAGCTTCATGGAAGAAATATAAAACGTCATTGTATTTCATCGTCAAATTTCGAATCATATCTCCCCGGAAGCCTCTAGAAAGTACATGGTCGCTGTACCGTAGGTAATCAATCTATATGCGTATGATATGGTACTTCTGTGGCGTAGTGAGATAGCAGAATGTATTGGTTAAAGCATCATTGTTCCATGGGATTCCAGCCGTCAGACGCCACGTGATCATGGAGAGCTCAATATCCCACAGTCTCTGTTCCAAGGACCCAGGGAGGGTCGGCTATCTTCGCTGGCTATGCATGCATCCGGACAGTCGCAACATTATTATTTCTCTGAGGATTCTGTTTGACCATCAAAGCGCCCTAAGCCGAGGGGGGGAAACTGCGACCGCGAAACTCAAATAGCCATATCGGCAAGCCGTAGCTAAAATGGACCATGATCATTCTACTCCGTGGATGTGGCGATTGACGTTCGTCGACGATGATCATGCGACCCTTGCTCCACATTTGAGTTGCTTCTGGCTTGTATTAACTATTCTCTTAACCCATTATTCATCCGGGCGTGTAGCATAATTTCTATCAATCTAATGAACATGATGTATCTTAGATACGTCGATACCGTAGTAAATTCCACGACGAGGGATAAGGCTTATTTCCTCCTTCCCTCCCTAGTCAGCTATCCTACATACAGTACCTTCGCTCCCTTATAGAGCACCGCGTTCTCAGATTCAATCTTCTCAATAGCTCTTGGTTGGTTGTTTCGGTATCAACAGATTGTTTGCTAGTACGCACTCCATGCACGATCACTCCGTATACCCTTACAGATATTCCGAGAACGTTAACCCACTCTTCTTCGGTATCCTTTAATATATCTGCTTCTGCCGTAGTTGCAGTATACAGTACTACGTCCCCACTCTTTAATTACTTTGCAGCTATAACCTGAGAGACTTTCCCAAGCAGGTTTATCTGAGATCCTAAAGCGTCATTCACCCTTTTGCGAAGATCCTCCAATAATATCTAGCGGAGCACAGGCGCAGCATTCACATCTAGCTTCACTACAGTCTCCCTGTCCTCAACTCTTGCGTTCGTAGAGGCTCTGCTATTCAACATCGATGGGTACAAGGGCGTGCCTGAGGGGACTACGTCGGCTCAAAAAGCGATTCGAGTGGCTGCATTAGATACAATAGGAGCAGGCAATACAAATACGTTGTTAACTGCGTTCTTAATAAGAGCAAATGTCTTCCACAATCGGGTGCAGACTGTTTAGCTTTCCCAAGATCTTCTATCCAGACGGTTACTCGCTGGTTTTCTTAGCTATGATAATCACGCTGCTGAGAAAAGTATCCAGAAATAGGGCTAGGAGTTTGGCGCGTTTAGTACTGTCGAGCTCCAGCAGTGCTGTAGCCTCGACTATGATTTACGTGGTACGCTCGAGGTAGCTCAGAGGCTGAATCCCCAACACTAGCCAAATGGTTCCACCAACCATAATTTCTGGGTATTGGGTGATAGCCAGAAGCCTGGTTCATAGATTAAACCAGACTTAAGGTTAATTAAGCTTTGAATTAATGAGAAATTTCAAGGATTTGTTCTGAACTGAGGGGAGTCGTTTAGCATGAATAGGTGTAGCTGTGGGCAGGTTAGGCAAATTAAAAACCCAACACCAACCCGCATTTGATATACAAAAAAATGCGGGGCTGAGGCTGAGAGGCTGTGAGGCTGTGGTAAGATACCTTAGGCGTCCAGGTTGTCATCCCACCGTTGTCTCCTCTCCCTTCCGTCTACCACCGCCATCGGATACATCAGACGCTTGAATAGTTTCGAAACTCTCCTTCATCTTTCGTCCTGCTAGACGTATCAGTCCCGTCACTCTTCCACGAAAGCACGGACTATACGGAGATTCCTGTGCCAGCTTCCTAGTGTCACCGTGATAGTAACTTGAGACTCGACTGCATCGTGCTGCGATCTCAGAATAATGTCGAGCCCTGTCTTATGTGATTGGTGTCAGACAACTGTCTTTGACAAACATCTTCTGGCCGTGATTGATCGCGGTACGGCTCCACTGTTTGAGTATCAGGGTCCTTTTGCAGCGACAATTGACCCAGGGGCATACTTCGGTAACCAGAATGCGCTTGCCGGGTTCCAGCGGTCCTATCGTCAAAACACTGAATTGCTATTGCAGAATGCGTCCCGGGGGTGTATCTTCTGTATGCTTCTTAGAAATATATAAAGTGGGCTGCTCGCTGATTTCGAGTTCTCAATTACCATCCAGGATGCTTGGAAGTGGTCCACAGTGACTGTGGCTGCCGATGGCAACGAGGATACGAATCCTATCTGTTACTTTCGGGTCTATAGGACAATTAGCCCTACCACACTTGCATTCTCTGGATCGGCCTTTGGTAACCCGCAGATACCAGAACAGGACGGCGATATCTCTCCAGCAAATGGCAATCTTCTCCAACATGGCAGCTCACTATCACAGCAACTAGCTCGAGATGGCCGGGCTCTCCGCGCCTTGATCAATGATTGCACGGCTAATCACCCTAATTGCAAACCACGGGAGGGCTTAGACCTTCCTTCCATTCTGCTCGAGGTTTCTGGGACATCAATGTCACCGACCGTGCGCCTCGTCAAGGTGTCAGACGTTAAGGTTGTCCCAATCCGCTACGTCTGCCTGAGCTACTATTGGGGCGGAACACAGCCAAACATGACGACGACCAGTCGGTTGGATTCATACATAGCCGGAATTGACACGGCAAAGATCCCCGAAACAATCCTGGACGCCATCCGTGTCACCATTAGCATGGGCTACCAGTACCTATGGGTGGATGCTTTCTGCATTGTTCAAGACAGCGGGCCGAGCAAGATCGCCGAGCTAGGTAAGATGGCCTCTATTTTCTCAGGAGCCGTCTGCACAATCTGTGTCATGTCGGCCAAAACTGCGACCGAAGGCTTCTTGCGACAGGCCTATCCAGACTCTAGTGAGGGCCAGTCAATACATACATGGCACGCAGATATATGCGACACCACAAGCCAAGGAGCGGCTGCTGTCCTAGAGATACAGAGCAATTTCTCCCAGCAAGATCTTTTTGACAGTCCAATTCTTGAACGAGGCTGGACTTTCTAAGAGGCGCTCCTCAGTCCACGCCTTGTCATGTTCTTTTCTCATGGCCAGCGGCCTGCGTTGCGATGCTCCACCCATACCGTCCGATCAGATAGTGGTCGGGTCACAACGTACCCAAAACCTCTGGTGAACCTTAGGGAGCTGGAACAAGTAGTGGAAAGGGCGAAACTGCAGGGAGAATACCGGACTGAAGCGGCCAAAGCCGAAGAATGGGTCATGATTGTCAAACAATTTTCTCAGAGATCCTTTACATACCAGGCGGACAAGATGCCCGCGATCATGGGCATTGTGTTAGAGTGGGAGACCCTGTTTAGGCAGGGTACGTACTGGGCCGGTCTCTGGTCCACGACGATAACTAAGGACCTCATCTGGAAAGCTCGTAGAGACTACTCTCCAAGGTCAACATGCAAGTCGTATGTTGCACCGTCATGGTCCTGGGCATCTCGTGCACATCCCATCTACTACCAAGCCTTGGGGGAGATCAATACTTTCGAAGGCGAGAGGTCATTCAAGGTGGTCTTGTGCGAGGTAATTCCCATTCACAAGGACCTGCCCAACGGCGCGATCAAATCGGCCAAGTTGACTGTAAAGTGTATCGCGGAGCTGGTTGACCTTGGGGACCCTGAATCAGAGGATGTTTCCTGCACGGTGTCAAGTGGGCCAGTGAGTATTGAATTCAATGACAGTCCTAGGCCTCGAGATATCATAAAAGCCTGGCTGCTATACATTAACGACGAGGAGCCGTATAATAATTCGCATGGAATTGGGATAGCGGTTGCTGAAGTCGACAACACCGATGCTAATGGCACTAAGTTATATAAGCGAATAGGTTGCTTTGTTTGCTCGGGGTCTGGACTCGCAGGCCCAAGAAGGACTTTTACAATTATATAGATGCAAGATATTGGCTAGACCGTGGATCAAGATAATATCTTAGGGAAATCTCAGTATAGGCTCAGCCAGGCTCAGGCTTAAAGTGGCGTGGCTCAGGTCCGAAAGAAGCACCTAAGTGCATATACGCTCCTTAACTTCCGGGTAGCGCATCATATAAGCGATCCCTTCGGCGAAATGAGGTGACTTCCGACATAATTGGGCCAGGCCGGTCCAGTATTGTACCTAAGTGATTAGCTTCTTCCGTATGGGACTGACTTGGGACTTATTGTTATTTCAGGGCGCTTCTCCTTCAGAAGAAGGAATGCCCAACGTATAAAGGCACCAAGCGAAGAGTTTGTTTTCTCTAGCAAAGATAAGTGTGCCTGGACGACCATCAGTCTACGGCTACAAAAGCCTCAGAGAACCCAATGTTTTCCAAAATTTCTCACATAGTACATGAGACGAGGCTATGGACAATCCGAACTGTAAACTTCATATAGCTCCCACTTGCTTCCTTTGTCAAAATGCTGAATGAGAGCTAGAATATAGGATCCCAGCATTAATCCTGCATATTTTGTTTTGCCTCTACCAGTGCGCAACTAAGGAATCGAATGACCATCAGCTTTTGTCAATCTCAGGTGCCAAAAGGGCTGTGGCACTCACTTCGTGCTACAATAACTCTTCGCGATACTCATCATCCAACGTGCTGCAGCACAGTCTTCAACAGGTCCAAATTCCTTCAATACTCCGGCGAGTATGGCCAGCGAGAGCTCCTCGGCTTGATGGATGCAGAGGCAATGTGACGCACATTCGACCAAAATCAATGGTGGAACACATTATTGGATCCTCCAACATACGATGGAGGACGATAGGATTCACACTGCTGTAGTTTTGGATGCGGGAGCGACCCAGTCGCCGACATGTGTCAACCGTGGCTGTTGACCCTGGGTCAATGTGTCATGGCATCTTTTTGTGGTGTAGCAGTATTTGAAGTTGGGAGTCAGGAGATTACAAACGGCCACGGCTGAACGAGGCCACAGAGCGTCAGCTTAACCACCGATGTGAATTTGTTGGAGAAGCTAGAATGCCGTCTCGCTGGAGGTTTACCAATCTGTGTTGACCTCTTCGTCAGCTGTGGGTTTATTCGAGAAGATTGGGCAACGATGATCGGGCCTGTACGACCAAATAAGCAGATTTAGTGCTGCTTCCTGCAAGGAGAATGAGCCCAGTGCAATCAGTTAATCCAGAAGCTGGAAGGAGGGAACGTTCTCATACGTACGACATGAAAGCTGGAGCAACAAGGCGGATAAAGATTCGAAGATATATCCACCATGATAAGGAGAAACCAATGGTGGTTTATAAACGACCCTGGGATCGAATGGTCAGCTTTTGGAGAGGCAACTGCAGTTGGATTGAGAACAGAAGAAAGMAATGCAAGATGGGCTGTTCGTCGAAATGGCAAGTGCATTGGCGGCCTTAGGCCATATGGCGACTGGTCGCCTTAGGCATACAGCACCTGCCTCCAAATCAATCTTACCCAACACATGCTCTTTGAAACTAGTTACTTGGTACCATTGCAGCGAGGTAGGGGCTGGATTCCCATTTGATTTGCGTCGAGCATACAAACTGAACTTATTCTTGAGCAAAGTGTCCGGATGTTGTTTGTGATACATGAAGTTCGAGACTAATGGCCAGGTCTCGAGCGCTCGGACGCCCATAAAGATATACAGATTTCTCAGCAGGACTGAGCTGATTGTGTTTGCTCCATTGATTAACAAATTACTATCTCCAATCACCAGCCACAATTTCTCAAAGATTTGCTGGAAGTACAAAAGCTGGAATACCGTATTTGATCTTCGCTATTGCGATATTGTCGGTATGGCTTCGGCAGACGAAAACCGTTTCTCAGACAGTCTCCATTAGCCCAAAGACTCAGGCAACGAGGCACAGATCAAAAAAAGAAGATCATCCACACTGGCCGAGACAACTCCTCGTATAACAAGTTTTGATGGTGACCCGTTTACGCTCAACCCAAGATTGACGTGTTCATTCAAAGGAACTCATCCCTTTTCTGGCATATCTGCTGGTCTATTACCAAATACTATCTCCACAAAAATTAAACATCCATGAAACTACTATTCCTACCTTACTCAGCTAGGAATGGTTGTCCGGGTGCCTTTTGGCCTAGTGGTAATATGGTCGACAACATGTGCGTTAGGATAAGGTAATAGGGTAAAACTTCAATAATCAGTTAGGGAGGTTCTTCAGGCTACCGTGAATAAGCGTCTCTCATTCGCTACTCCTGGCCCACAGCCTCAGCCTTGCTGATCCCGAACAGCCTCAACGCAAGGCCTCCATGCTCCAGTCCGCAAATGACATTGGTAGACCTGTCTCACGAGCGCTTCTTCCAAGACTCCAAGACGCTATTGTGAACACTCATCTTCTGCCAAGGCGACCAGCGATCAAAAATGCGCCCGATGACTTTGCAGAGAATGAGCGAGAGCGCGATGCAGAGCCTGGTTATATATAGAACTCTTCCTGTCAATATAAAAGATGTCACTACCTTCCAGCGTTGAGCAAACCATCACCTAAAACAATCATACCACTCTCAATCGAATCCACCATGGAGTCCGAAAGATTCAACTCAAGTACTGTCTAAGCTCCCAATCCACCAACGAACACCTGTAACTAACATAAGTCATGGTCAGCCCCCGTCCCGGTGTATGAGCAATACCCCAGCCCGGAAACCCACCAGGCAGCGCCTGTAGTCCCCCAAAACGCACACACGCAGCCTCAATCGCCCCTTCCCAAGGACCATCCCCAGCAGCAACAGCTCGCGCAGCTCCCAGCGCCGGGATACTACCAGGCTGGGCCAGGGACGGGCCACCCGAGCGGGTACAACACCGCGACACCGCTGCACGCGCTGCAGCGTGGGCCGACGCCCGTTGACTGTCCCGTCTGCGGGCAGCGGGAGATGACGCGCGTGGAGGCGCACTCGGGGAAGACAACGCAGTAAGTACTTCTACCCTCCTACTCTGGATTCACTAGGAAAGAGGGACTGATGTGAGATAGTGGGTGGGCGGCTGTGCTGTGCTGCTGTTTCTGTCTCGGGTGTATACCCTACCTGATGTCGTCGCTCAAGGACGTCGACCATTACTGTGGGAAGTGTGGGGTGATGTTGGCGACATGGCATAATAGTGGGCGGGTGGAGGTGCAGCATGCGGTTAGAAATTAGTTGTTTGTTTGTGTGTTTATTTATGATACCAGAATTATAGTTTTCTTCCTTCCATGTTCATTATCCTTTTTCGAATTCTGAATCAATGCGACTACCGTCGCGGTTATCAAAGCAAGTCCCAACAACCAACACCAGGTATCATTATGCAGAATGCTACTATATACAGTTTAAGAAAACCCATGCGGTCAAGCAGCCTCATAGATCGGCCTCTTGATATCACTCGTCCCGTCCATCTCATGCACCTGTCGGCTATTGCTCAGTTCCGCCTCCATCCCGTTCCCGGGTAACTCGACGAACTTGGAGCCTCCGTACCCCGCCGGATGCGCATGCGGATACGCCTGGGACATCTCCATCTCGGCGAGTACCTGCTTGTTCGGGACGACGTTTGCTGGCGGCGCAGAGCCTGTATCGTTCGTTGAGACGAGGCCCAGCGGGGAACCCGGCGGGAATTGCGGTGTTTGTGGGGATGTAGCGCGCTGGTAGGCATCGGGCTGGGCTGGCTTGCGGTTGCGTCTTCCGCAAAAGAAGAAGAGGGCGGCTAGGATGGCGAGGGCAGCGATGGCGCCGATGACAATTCCGGCGATGGCGCCGCCGGAGACAGAGGATGAGGATGGCTGTTGGGTTGGGGTGGTTGATGCCGCTGCGGAGGTGGCTGATTGGGCTTGGGGTTGTGCGGCTGTGGTCGTTACGGCGGTGGAGATTGGGGTTGTTGAGGTGGATGAGGTGGTGCTTGTGGAGGAGGTCGAGGGGAAAATGGCGCTGACGGAGTCTGGGGGCATGGGGTAGACGTCAAAGGCGGAGAGATTGCGACTGGCGTCCTTGCGCCAGAGCCTGCCGTCACAGGCCATACCGGCGATTTCCGCGCATGCCGCGTCCTTGTAGAAGTGCATACACCATTTTCCCTCTGGGTCCCAGGAAAACGGTTCGCCTTCCTGGTGCCAGATCTGGGTGCAGTTTTCCGCCTTGTTGTCTTCGACGATGGTGGCTCCGGCGGTCGAGTTGCGCCATGTGAGGGTCCATGCGGAGGTCAGTGGTGCGAGGGCGAGAGCTCCGATCGCGAGGGGGAATATCCTCGATGAGAGAGGTGCCATGGTGATGTGAAGTTCGCACGACACACAGCGAGGCGAGATTGGAGTCAAGACGGTGATTCTCCTCAAGTGGGGAGCGGCATGTTTAAATGCATGGCAGCTTGTGTGGTGGATCAGAGCCGCGCGACGCTAGGGGGCGCGATCTCGTATAAAAAGTATGACAACCGGGATGATTCCACGAAGAGCCGGGTCCTTGACAATGGCTACTGGTGCAGGCCCGATGCCAGATGATCGTTTACTCCATCAGGGGTCGAAGATCCATGCCGGTTGTGAAACTTGGGCTCGCAGCGGGAGTCGGGAATGGCACGAATTGGAAACACTTAGGAAGGATAATACGACTCATTTCCATTCTTAACGAAGCGAATTGTTGATCAATTGTCCGTGGACGTGTTCATTGGTGCCTCATGGCCCGAATACGAGGTCCCTTGCACATAGCGCAGGGTTAGCTTTTCAGCAGTGGATACCGATATCCTCGGCCAGGCAGAAGCTATTGACAATGCTGAAAGAGATGATATTGAAGAAGGCATTGTGGTGTCTAATAACCATGATTGAGAAGATACTTTCTCATAATGAACGACGGAGTGAGCGAAGAGCCAAGGGATGATGTTTGGGTAGATAGTTAACCACAATGGCCTCTCCTCCTGAAAATGCCAATGCTTGGCGCGCCCTTAGTGCAGACATTAAGACGAGAAATGGGGGCCGTTTCGACGGATGATCTATCGAGCATGGAGATTCTAGGAAATTAATCTTGGAATTGAATCTGCACATGATAGATATTTATATCTAATCACTTTACTCAAAATACGAGTTTCCTAGATAATGAAGGCGCATACATCCCCCTCTATGTTCCTGAACCCTCTGCATGTGCATATAGCGTGCAGTGAGCATAACAAAGGAGTGCTGACGTCAACAGCCGTAATTCAGGTCTAACTATCTTCTGCTTCCCTACTTAATAATGCTTATCAGTCAATGACAATGCCCATGGTCGAGTGGTGACGCAGACGGAACGAGGGATCCACAAGAGCTACCTTACGTCTTTGAGAGAACTTGAGAGAGGTACATTTAACATCTTTTTGGACAGAACAGTTGATACTTCTCTTAAATGAGACTATTACTGATTTTGACGGAAATCAGTTGGGCCCTTACAGGAATATATTTCCTGTCTATGAGATGGAGAATGAGCATAAAAGGTGATAAGGGAGATCGACGTGGGGTAGTGGGGTGCGGGAGCTTGGCGGATAGAGCTTCATCTTGACAGAGGACAATAGAGGTCAATATCTTTCGAATATTGCCGCTGATGCTACAATTGAGCCATAGAGAATACACCTCAAGCTGATATGAAGGCAAAATTGTCTAACTGTTGCCATGATGGATGACACCGCAAGGATATTGTCCTGTTAGATCCTTATCAATTAGCTTTCTGGTCCCTTTGCTCATAGACCGAGTAAGGTTGCACTGTTGATATCTCCACGTCATTGCCAACCTTGCACCTGTCCATCTTCCGATGCTCCCGGTACTCTATCATTTCTCGATCTCTCGCCCATTGCCTTTGCTCTCCCAGGCCACATCTTCATCCGAGGCAGAATCATCCTGACAGTGACAGACAGTCATTGTCCCGTCTTCTCTTCCTCAGCTTCACACCAGTCAATCTGTAAGTCAATTGAATCCACAGGTCAAGAAGAAACTAATAAGACAGGCAATGGCGGCAATCGCACTCCGCGACTCGCATATCCACCAGCTAGCCAAACGGAGCAACTGGGCGAGCAGGAATCCCGGTGTTGTTCTGGTCTTCTGCATCGTCTTCCTTGTCGGTGTCGGAATCGTCAGTCTCTTTGCGTATCGAAGATGGATGGCACGAAAGGCCAGGAAGGCGTCCTTCGAAGTGGAAGAAACTAAATAGGTTGATCGGGGAAGAGATGGCTTACGGGGGAGTCAATGAATCATTTTATTTGCTTTGATGCTGGATTGGCCATGTCCAGCGTCTCTAACAATACCCTCTCCGATCGTCCTGAGGTGTGAACTATACCAGACATCTGAGACTGTCGTGATAGCAAGAGGCAGCATAATCATAATCGCATTCAACTCAGCTCAGCTGTCAAACATTGGGATGGACTTGCACCTTCATCCCTCCCATATCCCGATACTCATCCAACGCAGCATTGATCTTATCTGCAACCAACCCCTCAATAACCCGAAACTTACTCGGCCTGATAACACCCTCCTTCAACCACCCCGTAATCCTCTCCCAGAACAGCTTCGTAAAGTCATCCGGATGAGTAGCGCACGAACCCCTGATAAACCGCCTCTCAAATCCCATCCTCTTCTCCCCAATCGTCGCGCTATCAACCTCCCCAACCGCCGGCGCAAGCGTCACCAACGTCCCGCGCCTCGAATCCGAAAGCACCGCAACTCCCAATTCCTGCTTCGGTCCGAAATTGAACGCATCAAGAGCGTAGACGAGCTCATCGCCCACAATGTCCCGCACCTGCGAGAGGACATCTTCTGCATGCCGATCAATCACATGCGTAGCCCCAATCTCCCTCATTTCGTCCGCCGTCCGTAACCCGGCCACTGCAACAATGACCCCAAACCCCAACCACTTGGCAAACTGGATCGCGTACCGGCCGCAGTTTGTTGCGGCGCCGATAACCACTAGCTTCTGCGATGCGTAGTCAAAGTCTGCGACGCTGTCGGGCAAGGGCAAGCCGAATCCACCCTCGGAGAAGAACACCACAAACCCCGTGGCGACGTTCACAGGGATTGTGGCGGCCTCGTCATCCGAGAGACCGGTGTCGGTCACTCGGGCAGCATACTTGATGTCCACCAGGGCATACTGCTGTAGGCCGTTGAAATCGTTGAGGACTTGGTTGAGTGGTAGTCGGCTCTGCGCGAAGATATGCTCGCCGATGGCGAAGTCAGTAGTTGTGTCCGGTCCGATGGTGATGATTTCTCCGGCCAGATCGTGCGCGGGGATGTAAGGCGTAGATGTTACGAAGAGCCCGCGATCGCGCGATTTCTGGTCGTGGGGGTTTACTGTCAACGGTTAGTTTGGGCAATCAACAGACGAGGAGGGAAACGTACAGCCGACAGAGGTGAGTTTGATGAGGAACTCGCCCTTGCCCGGTTGTGGGATGGGACGGTTAACCTCGACTAGACGGTGGCCGATTTCCTGGAGAATGAGGGCTTTTTGGGACATGATGCTTATAGAGATCTCTATTTGTTGGAGAGCGAGGTTGTGTCGTTGGCTCCATGGTGTTGATCCGATTTATACCATTCTTCCTCGTATGCGTGCTGCAACTATAGTCAGCATATGATCATTGTCCGCTGAGAAAGGATATTTTCCTTCACTTACAGTCAGAAAACCTTGGCAGACGAGTTGATCACTCGGATTGATAGGAATATTCGTGTCCTGACTCATTTGGTCGCGGTTCGAATATTTGACATCGTCTGACATGGCTGATTCAAGCTTCAACGGCCGCAAGCCCACCGATAAAGTCAGGTACAACAGTCAGCCTCTTTGAATATGTAGGACAACATATTCCCCGAGGCAGTAATTGATGGATCTTAGTAAGATGAGCTGGTGGAACTGTCATGCATAATTGGCCACCCGAAGTCTATCCTGATCCCACTGACAGCTCCATGACACATTCATCCCGAACCATGACTACACCTCTTACCTCCACCAGCAGGTCGCACAAGCACCACCACAGTATGGTATAGCTTCATAAGCATAATATCGCAATGTCGCTGTTATCCTTTCTCGTTCTCAGTGTCACTCTCACCTCAGCTTACTTCTACGTCTGCCATCGTTCCCTAGCTTCTCGCATCCACCCCGTCCTCCATATCGGCACTCTCCCCGAATCCCTATCTTCCTCTATCCTTTCCATTCCTCCTGCCGTCTACACAAAACAGTACTTCTCCCTTTATAATCATGCCTCACGCTCCGTTCCGCGCCGACTACTTCCATCGAACGATCTCCCAGCTCTCTTTGTTCTGCTCCTCCGTCGCAACCTAACCGTCTTCTCCCACTTCCCCAAAGCCTGGAAACAACGGTCCACCTGCCCCAGGGAAGTACGTAGGACCTTCCGTTCTGCGTATATACAATCTTTGGACTTTAACGAAGGCGACGTTGTCTGCAAAGTGTACCGGGTGCTAGTCCGGAAGCCAGATCGTGTGGAATTCGATGTGGACATGGACGAGTGTGACGGGCGGTGGGTGATGCGGTACTGGGAGGAGGGTGAGGACGTGGTCTTTGCCAGTGAGACAGTCAGCTGGCGCCCGACTGAGACAGAAACCTCAATGCCGGGGGAGAATCGCATGTTGCGGTTGATCCATGAGACAATGGCGTGGTGGTTGTTGGACTCGGGGGTGGGGTATCTGATGGATTTGGAGGGGGAGCTGGGGCCGGAGGAGGAAGAGACAGAGGATAAAGAGCTGGTCAAGTAGTCTTTGTCGGTGTCTCATACCTGTATTACGGGAGTGCCAGGTGACTGATGGGAGTAAAAGGAACAAAGACTACAAGGGCTTTGTTTTCGCCAAGATGACAGTCTCATCGCGACAATAGCCCATTAAAAGTGCTTTGCTTTCGACGCTGGTGATGATGTCTTCGATGCATGTCTCACCTGCGTGTATGTATATAAACACATTGAACCGAACCGTGGCATCGACATACCATCTTCATCACCATCGCTTTTCGCAATGTGTCGCTACGTCTTCCACCACTATACCGGCTGCGGCCACATCGCCAGCTTCGATTTCCATAGCTGCGTCGACGTCATTAATCTGCTGCGCGGATTATCCCAACCAGACTCGAATTCGCCCGAAGTGTCGTGCACCAACATCAAGGTCGAACACGACTTGTGCTCCACTAAGATAGAGGCCTACTGTTTGCAATGTGAAATTGACTGGCAGCGCTTGGCCCAAGGCACTGAAGGGGCCGTTCACAACATCCCAGACTACATTTCAATCGAAGGGATCAACAACCCAGACCCAATCATTACCACCAAGATGCAGTGGCAGGCTCCCAGGTCCGGAAAGCGCGATTTCAACGACGCCTTTCTCGACCTGGACCTCGATGGCGGCCACAAGTCCGACAGCAGCAATGACAGCACCGTCCAACCCAGCACCATCGCCAATACTTCAACTCTCAGTTCCCCCGAGCTATGGCATGAATTTGTTGATGTCCCACTGAACGTCCATGACCACCACGCCGCAGACGAGGACAAAGAGGAATGTGGTCCTGGCCCAGCCAAGAAACGTAATGACTCCATCTCTGAAGACTACGTGGTGATCGGTACTGACATCGTCACCACCCAGGCAGAACGACTTACTAGCGTAGCCAACGACGAAGTCTCGGAGGACGACTTCTATATCCTGTGGTTGTCTGACTCCGAGTCGGACTCGGACGATGGCGAGACAGAAGGCACCAGCAGATCCCTCATGCGCCAGTTGGGAAGATTCACTTTCCGAACCTACCGATCTACATCTCGAACCCCTAATCCCCCTTGTTCACCTCGTACACGTCCTCGTCCGGACGTGCTTCCTCTGTACGTGGGCTTTCCCGGCCAACAGCCGGAAAGGTCGCCTCGGACTCTTCGGCATTTGTCTAGGGGAAATTACCTCGATGCGAGGACGGAGCTGCAGTCGCCTGTGTTTGACGGGTTTCCTGGAATTCTTCCAGATGAGGAGGAGTTGGGACTGCGGTCGCCAGGTCTTGTGATTTTCCCGCGTATTGTTATTGAAGATGTTGATGAGGAGGGGAAGGGGAAAGAGAAAGAGAAGGTAGAGGTGGGCAAATCGACTGGTACGGTGTTGGGTCTTCGCGGTGCGAGTTTGGCTTCTGGTTCTGGGTGTGCTGCTGCTGCGTTGAAGGGGCTGAATATTGCGATGCCGAGGGAGTCATCTTGCTAGTTCTTGCTTCGATCTGGTTGCTTGCTTTTATTGCTTTGATTTTGACCTGCTTGATGCCAATTTGTTTTCGCTGTATGACTCTGGATTTATACATTTCTATACAGAATTCAAAGTCCTCGACACAACTCCAGTCATCTCCGCAGTACAGTCGACAGCCCGAAACTGATTCCAAAACATGAAGATTACCAACATCAGTGAATCATAGTAACTACTAATTCAACGTCCATCTAATCCACCGTCCCCTGCAGTTCTACATTCCCAACCTCCTTGCTCTCCTTTCCTGTCCGCTTGAGACGATAGATAACCCAAACCAAGTACATGGCACCACACACTCCAGCAACAACCCCATATGCAATCTTCCCACCATGAGTATTATCCGCAAGCCGAAGCCCTAGCCCACCATTCACCATGCCAAGGATGATCAGAATTCGGCCCAACCAAACATGCACAGGGGCCAGAGCCGTGCGCGTCTTCCTCCGGATATACATCCAGTGATGGATGGCACCAAGAAACGGCTGGAGGAGCATGAGGACCACGATGACTGTTCCGAAGATTGTGTGGGCGTTGTTGTGCAGCTATAAAGTTATTCATCTGAACACATTGGCAATGATGAGGGCACTTACTCTGTCCAGTATCTTTCCTAGACGAAGACCAGTTGCCAGTCCGCCGAGCATAAAGGCCCATCCTATGAGTTGGATGCTGGCATGGATCCAAACTGCGTGTTTGGATTTGGAAAGGCGAAGTGCTGTGGCGCCGAGAGGAAAGATGAGGATGAAAGCCACGCTCATCAGGATTCCGTGCGCTTTGGCGTAAGAGGGTACGAGGTGAAGATCTTGATATAGGATGGTAGCTGAAGCTGGTCTGGCGAATATCGCTGCTTGTTACTAATTAGTAGTATGTTGATCAAGGAAACGCCGTACATACCCAGGATTGAGTATAGATATGCCGTACAAGTTTGTTTGTTCATCTTTGTTGCTCTTGTGAGAAAAGCAAGGTTGATCTACTTGCGATGCATGATGAAAAGGAGCGAGTATCAATATTTATAACATCACTCATGGCCTTCTGCCTCGTGTCTACTATACTATTGTTGACGAACAGACGATATTAAGAACAAGTGCCTATATTCCAAGCAAATCTCCAACCAATCATCAGCCAACAATGTACAAAGACCGAGAAATGCGAGCTGCAGGACACAGCCACACCGAGCAAACAACACCAGTCATCAATACGAGACCCGTAAAAGCGGGAGGCAGTCCAGGTAAATGACCGAGAAATCCGAGATTGCAGCACCATCTTTTATCAAAATGACCAGACAACGTCATCTACAGCCGGCTGGCGCAACTCCACCAGTGCAAGCGCCCATCAAAACAAAAGCATGTATCGGATGTCGAACACGAAAAGTAAAATGCGACAGGAGATTGCCGTGTAAGAACTGCGCTTTGTGGTCAATGGGATGTGTGTATCCGTGCCCAAAGCGGACGTGTTCTCGACCGAAGAAGAAACGATTAGTCTCTCAGAAACAATCACGCGGAGAAGATGATACTAGATCGTCTACGCCATCGTTGATTCCGTTTGGCTGTCGTTCTGTCGAAGTAGCTCCGTTGCACCCCTGCTCTACGCAAGTGCAAGTCTGTTGGCAAAGATACATCGAGTACATCGATCCCCTGGTCAAGGTTCTGCATACGCCTTTGGCAAGTGCAGCTGTGGGAAAAGCAATTTCCAACTGTACTTCCTTGTCTCAAAGCGAGGAAGCCTTGCTATTCGCTGTATATTTTGCATCAATCTTGAGTATGCCCGAGGAAAACATTAGCGCCGTCCTCGGAATKGACAAAGTCGCCGCAATAAAAACTTATCGCGCTGCAACAGAACATTCGCTAATGCGAGCCAACTTTCTCGTGACGGATGATCTAGCCGTCCTCCAAGCCTTTGTCCTATTTCTCTCGCTGAGCAGCTTCACCGACGAGGCGAAGCTAGTCTGGCCGCTCACGGGCATCGCGCAGCGCCTTCTAACCACAGACTTGACTAACCATACCCCAGTCTGCGAGGAAATCCGTCATCGTCTTTACTGGCAGCTATGGTACATGGACAAACGGGCCGTCGAGGACCACGGCAAACGCGCATTAGACACGACTCAGGATACCGTTACCCTTCCGTGCAACATCACCGACACAGAATTAGATTTAGGGCATACATCATCAACTACGCAAAATACAAAGTGGACGGAAGCGAGCTTCCTTCTCATCCGGCTTGATATTGCTAGAACGCGCGCCTCACTCGCCGGTGCACAGTCACTCTTTGAGAAAGAACAGCTCATCCAGCGCTGCCATGGACGTATAAAGTCACGGTATCTGGCTTCCTGTGACGGCAGCCAGCCTATCCATTGGTTGGCGAAACACGTCAGTAGCGTTCTCATCGCTGAGATGTGGTTTGAGATTCATAGCGCGGCTTGTTCCTCTACGCTTGGTGCCATGATTTCCTCTCAGGGCACGCGAGCAAAACTCTTCTCCACAGCGGTCAGTATCATCGACATCCCTCGCCGGGTTCATGAAGATCCCCAGGCGAAAGCGTGGAGCTGGTTGCTGAAGGGATACCTTCAGTTCCAGCCTTTGTTGTTCGTGTCGGCGGAGCTTTCGTCGCGGCCAATGGGTGATTCGCTCAGTGTGCGGGCTTGGGAAGTAGCACATACTGCGTTTGGCAGATGGCCGGAGGAGACGAGGAGAACAAGACACGGAAAAGTGTTGGATAGCTTGTTGAGCAAGTCGCAAGAGAGATGGAGGGGAATGCAGCAAGAGGCAGCGCTTGCTACGGCTTCCTTGTTGACTATTCCTCTAGCAGATGAGCCTGCTCAGGAAAGTGACAAATGTCAAGTCGAGCTTGTCAATAACAGCGATTCAATCAGCCTGAAATAAGTAACTACGAATGTGGAGCCATCCGACCAATCAGCATCGCTCTTTCAGAACATTTCATCATCCATCTCCCTGGCGAAGATCCCTTCTCTCGTCTCCGTCCCTACCTATCTGTCCATCAACAAACACACTCACAATGCTCCTCTCTCCCCGTTTCCACCTTTTTGAGATAGGCGACCAACCTTGGTGCCCGGACTGGGTCATCGCCTATATCCAATCCTACCTCACCAGCGTCTGGAACCTACACATTCCGCCCTTCAGCCGGACCTCCCCGGCAGGCACAGCGGCCGAGGTCGTCACTGAAAACTTGTCCGATGCATCATCCTACACCTTTGTAGATTGCTGCGCCGGAGCAGGAGGACCCACATCGACCATGGAGCGCGTTTTGAACTCTCAGCTCCAGGAACAGGGGAAACGGCCCGCGCGATTTGTGCTAACAGATCTGCACCCGAGGATCGGTGCTTGGACCGCTATTGCCAAGAAGCAAGAGCATGTATCGTTTATTCCGGAGGCCAGGGATGCGACGTGTTGTGGGCGGGTTGCGGCCGGGGGGAAGGAGTGTCGGGTGTTTAACTTGTGCTTTCATCATTTCGACGATGCGGTCGCGACGGGTGTGTTGAGGAATGCGGTTGAGTCGGCGGATTCGTTTATGTAGGTTCTCTTTCAAGATGGAGGTATCTGGGTGATGCTGACTAGGCAGTATTTTCGAGTTCGCGCAGCGCAACTTCTCCTCGCTGCTGAATATCCCGGTTATGGTGCTGTATCCGTTTTTCCATACGCTGCAGCGGTACAGGTATTCGCCTTTGCACCTTTTCTTCACATATGTGGTGCCGCTGTTCTCGGTGGTCTGTTCGTTTGATGGGTTTGTGTCTACGTTGCGGTGTAGGACGCCGGAGGAGTTGAGGGATCTCCTTCGTCAGCCGGGTCTGGATGTTTCTGGGTGGGAGTTTACGTCGGGAAATCGCATGATGGTCTGGCCTTTTCTGCATATCTACTGGTTTATGGGTGTGAGGAAGCAGTGATTATCATTCATTGTCAGTCATGTCATCATCAGCTGGACAGCTCTGCCATCCTTTGCTCTACGACTTGCAGGACGTCAAAACCCAAAACAGCTCGTTGTCGCGAAGCCATCAGTCCAATCCAGTCTGTCTCTCGGGTCAGGCCTGACCAGCTCAGAACCAAGTCGCGCAGTCGTTGTAAGATGCCGTCGTCGAGATGAAACAATCCTCGGTTGCGGATGGCGCCTTGGACGTTCCGGGCAGTCGCGGACTTTCTAATGTCTTCGTAGAGTTTCAGTGCCTGTGGGATTTTGGATTTGTAGTCTTGGGAGGATGCTATGTGATGAAGTAGAATTCCTAGCACTGCGCCATCTTCCACTGCCATGGCGGCGCCCTGGGCTAGATATGGCAGAGTCGGATGACATGCATCGCCAAGTAGTGTAACGGAGCCCTGGAAGACGTTAGCAGGTCATCAATAATGTGCCAGTGAAACAGACCTCGGTCCACCTCGGCAACTCGGGTAAATGACACAGCTTCCACTTCAGGACAGTCGGGATACAGGAGAGCATCTTCCCCAACCTATTCCGGTTCAGTACTTGACGCTAGAGGCCAGAGGAAACGGAGACAAACGTTGGGTCCCACTCTCTATACCCATACCGCATCTCATCGACATCCCCATGCGTCGTACGCACTCCCGGCGGCAGATCATCGGGCTGGAGTAGCACAAGATTATATTCTTGTCCGCCGCGAACGGGGTAGAAGACGGCGTGTTTGTTAGGCCCCAGCCAGGCAGTCACGCCTTGTTTCTCGCAGAGTGCCTTTACCTCTGGATCATTCAGGGCTGAGAGCTGCGCTCTCGAAAATGTAGCGCGGTAAGCTAAGTCCCCGGTTTCCTCAGGTAAATGAGGTTCATCGAGGACGACCTCGCGAACTTTGGACCAGAGGCCTGTCTTATGAGCTTTGGATGTGGGGTAGAAGATGGGAGACGAAACGAACCATCGGCACCGATGATCACGTCGCCGGTGATCGTCTCTTGACCCACAGTGACTGCAGTATCGTCAACGAGGACCTTCTCCACGAGCGCCCCCAGGCGAATCTCCACTCCGAGATCTCTAGCCTTGTCGAGAAGAATCTGGTGGTAGTCCGCGCGATGGATGACGCTGCACACGTTAGCAAGCTCCAAGATAACGAGAGATACATACATCCACGGCGCTCCATATTCCTTTACCACAGACTCACCGCAAGGCATCGAGGTGATGATCGTCCCGTCTTTGTATCGTCGCAGATCCATGCAGTCGGGTTTCATGCCTTTTTGCTCCAGCTGAGGCAGGAGACCGAGTTCCTGCATGATCCGGGCTCCATTTGGAGGGATTTGGATCCCGGCGCCAACCTATCGAGTCACCCTCCGCCTAGCAGTAGTATTGGAAATGAGATGTTGACGCTTACTGGCAAAATTTCAGCCGATTGTTCCAGGATAAGGACGTCGAGATGCTTCTGGCGACAAGCAATGGCACAGGCCAGTCCGCCGATTCCTGCGCCGACTATGATGACTTTCATTGATTCACTTTATGTACTTCTTACCCTCTCTTGCTATGCTGAGGTGAATGCTGGACATTGTGGATGCGGACGAGAAGATGCAGTGATTAGTGAACAAAGAACAAAAGAACGACGAGCGGTGAACCACGTGCGGAAGGAACATTATCCTTGCCTTAGCATGGAATATAACGACTGCTATCTATAGATATGTGAACCTTTGATATCTTGACTTTGCGAAGCTCAACTCCGACAATTGACAATTGAGATCAAATCAATATCAGTGCAAACTTATGCAGATTGTATGTGCATACATTCACATATATTACTTTGAGACAAATATATCATCATGTCCATTCTGTTATTCGGCTGTTTTGACCAAGTGGATCCGTAGGAGACAAACAAAGTTTAGTCGCAGTATCAGACTGATTACTGTGTAGAAAAGCGCGAGTCAGTTACCCGTCAGACGGCTCCAGTAAAAGCCTCCATTGAACCATGGGCGTGGGCTCTCTTGTCTCAGATGGCGTGTCTTAGTCTTGGCCTGCCCCTGGGACAATTTTAACTAATTCTTCAGAGCACTCTGAAACAGGCCGATTGCGAACTGGGAAGAGTCAACTATACCAGTGCGTTCGCCTTCGGTTAAATGGAGGGTCCATTGTGATAGGCGAAAACTGCCTATAAAGACTGTTGCTCCCTTCTATATCGGTCGATCATATGTCCCTTGACAGAACTACACAAGGCGGCAAGAGCTATACAGAATGAAGACAGCGATTCTTTCTCTTTTTCTGGCTCTCCAGGCCTATGCCAAGGTTACGGGCTCTCCCTCTGGCTTTGCTGCCGGTACTACAGGGGGTGGTTCGGCCACCCCGGCAGCCCCCTCCAGTCTAAAAGAGTACGCCCCCTTCTGACATTGCATCGCTCACAACTAATCGTCATAGACTGGTGCAATGGATCACCGATGACACGCCCCGGGTCATCCTCATCGACCGGACCTGGGATTTCACCGGCACCGAGGGCACCACCTCGGGCAAATGCTGCAGCATGCCATCCACGACTGTCTGCAACGGCGGCACCTCCAAGGGTCAGGCCTGGATTCAGGATCAGTGTGACGGAGGAACCTGGGTGTCGTGCACGTACGATAATGCCGCGCGGACACCCATGGACGTGGGCTCGAACAAGAGTATCGTGGGTGTCGGCAGCAAGGGCGTCATCAAGGGCAAGGGTCTGCGTGTGCGCAATGGAAACAAGAACGTGATTATCCAGAATATTCACATTACGGTGTGTATCCTTGACCCCATCCACGAACGAAGCTGATCAAGCAGAATCTCAACCCCCAATACGTCTGGGGCGGTGATGCCATCACCCTCGACGGCGCGGACATGGTCTGGATTGACCACAACAAGGTATGTCTCAGTACCCCTCTGCTAAAGGATTAGTCTGACAAAGAAGATCTCCCTGACCGGCCGCCAATTCATCGTCAGCGGCTGGGGCAAAGCCGGCCACGTCACCATCTCCAACAACGAATTCGACGGCCGCACCTCCTGGTCCGCCAGCTGCAACGGCAAGCACTACTGGACTCTTCTCCTCCTCGGCGACGAGGACTACTACACCTTTGAAGGCAACTGGCTGCACGATGTCTCCGGCCGCGCCCCCCACATGGGAACCGACCACACCAAGTCGCAGATCTTCTTCCACGGCGTGAACAACTACTTCCAGAATGTGGGCGGGCATGCCTTTGACGTCGACACCAACACCTGGGTGCTGCTCGAGGGCAACTACTTTGAGAACGTCAACACGCCGCTGACCCAGACCTCCCTGAAGTCGGGCGCCAAGCTGTACACCACCAGCACCGTGAATGCGGCCGGCGCCTGTCTGGATCAGCTCGGGTATATCTGCGAATGGAATCGGTTGACGGGGTCCGGTGCCTGGCAGGACCTTACGGATGCGGATGTCAAGACCAAGGCGGCTACGTACAAGAAGAGCTTGGTGGGCCATTATGCTGTGGCGGATGTTCCTGCCAAGGTTGTTGCCAACGCCGGTGTTGGCAAGGTGTAATTCTATTCTGTGTATATTTAATTCTTTTCGTGTATACTAGAGAAGCATGTATAAACTTTAGAGCTGCTGATTCATCATCCTTATTTGGGTTTGCGGAGGGTCTGACATCAGAATGACAACTTCGCCATAACCACCTTAATTAAATATGTGACCATTATCAATGATCAACCGGTCAAATCAACCAGACGAATTAACCAGTGCATAGTGATCATAGAAAATGAAGTCTATCCTGGTCACCGGCGCAACAGGCAAACAGGGTGGCGCCGTCATCAACGCCCTGCTAGCCGAAGACGCCGACATCGAGATCCTCGCCGTCACCCGCAATCCGCAGTCCAAATCCGCCAAAAAACTAGCCGACAAATCCCCCAAGATCAAACTCGTGCAGGGCAACCTCGACGACCCAGCAGGAATCTTCAAAAATGCCCACAAAGTATCGTCCGAGCCCATCTGGGGCGTGTTCAGCGTGCAGGTACTCACCTAGTCATCCCTACTCTTTTGGGACGAAATCAGCTAACACCAGCAGATCCCCATGGGCCAAGGCCAAACCGTCGAAAAAGAAGAACGCCAAGGCACGGCACTGATCGACGAAGCGCTGACCCAAAAGGTCCAGCACTTCGTGTACACGTCCGTCGACCGCGGCGGGGACGCATCCACCGACAACGCGACCAACATCCCGCACTTCATCAGCAAGCACCGCATCGAGCAGCATCTGTTCGAGCGGACGCGCGCCGCAAACATGTCCTGGACGGTGCTGAGGCCGGTGTTCTTCTTCGACAACATCACCCCGGACTTTCTGGGGCGGTTTGTCGTGACGGCGTGGGACGCGTACCTCCAGGGAAAGCCGCTACAGTGTATTGCTGTCAGCGACATCGGGTATTTTGCTGCGCAGGCGTTTCTCAACCCGGCTGAGTACCGGAATCGGTGTCTGTCGTTGGCGGGGGATGTGCTTACGTATGAGCATATGCAGGAGACGATGCGGCGGAGGACGGGGCGGGAGGCGCCGACGACGTTCCGGATGGTTTGCTACGTTGTGATGTGGATGGTTAAGGAGATGAGGGTCATGTTTGAGTGGTTCTATGCGCATGGCTTCCGGGCTGATATTGCGAAGTTGAGAGAGATGCATCCGGGTCTGAAGGATTTTGAGAAGTGGTTGGAGGAGGATAGCCAGTTTGTTAAACGGTAGTTCCTAGTTCCTAGTTACTCCTAGCTATTATCCTGTGGTCTGTTAACTGATAATGATAATATTGGTTGGTTCTTGAATAGCCATGACTCGTTGCTTTCCCAACATCCCCTCACTATTAGGCTGACGCTTTAAAAGTCGTACTAACTACAGGGTGTTGCTCCATTTATGTACGCTTGACTTCCCTCGAATCTAGCCCCGTAGCTCGTCTTGATAAATTGACTGATAATCGTGCATACCATCTAATCCATCGTTTCATTAAAATAGAAACGAACCATGGAGAAAACCGCCGACTGTCTCCCTTATAATCCTAACATTCCCACTCCCTTCGGCTACCGTCCCTCCCTCGTAGCCGGAATCGTCTTCATGATCCTCTTCGCGGGAGTTACAGTCGGCCACGTGTGGCAATCCTTCCGGCATCGAAACATCTGGCTCGGACTAGCCTTCTCCCTGGGTGCCTTCGGCGAATTTACCGGCTGGCTGGCCCGTACGGTGGCATACCGCTGCCCGTACTCTGTCAAGCTGCTCGAGATGCAGCTGGCCGCACTAATCATGGGTAACCACTGTCCCTCCACTTCCCTTTCGTTTTCACTATCGAGAAGCTAGCCATAACGGTAACGATATGATAGCCCCCGCCTTCACAACAGCCGGCATCTACGGCGTCCTCAGTCTAATGATCCCCCTCATCGGAGAGGACAAATCCCCCCTCCGCCCAAAGTCATACCTCCTCATCTTCATGACAGTCGACTTCTTCAGCCTCCTCCTCCAAGCCGTGGGCGGCGGCCTCGCTGGCGCAGCCTTCAGCCAGAATACCTCCCCCTGGCCGGGAACCAACACCATGGTAGCCGGGATCCTCTGGCAGCTACTGTCAACCTGTGTGTTTGCGACGCTGCTCGAGTACGTGATCTACCGCGGGCTGGGGCCGATATCCCGGAATCCAGCTCTGCGGCAGATCGCGCTGGCGTTGATGGTTGCGGTGACGTGTATGGTTGCGCGGGGGGTGTACCGCAGCATGGAGCTGGTGAATGGGTGGCGGGGCTACCTGTTTACGCATGAGGTGTATGCGATTATTCTTGATGCGGCGCTGATGTTTGTTGCGAGTTTGGTATTGTGGGTTTGGAATCCGGCGGTTTTGATTGTGGAGGCGAGGGAGGATGCAAGGCAGATGCAAGCTGGGGTGGAGTTGAGGGCTGAGCAGGGGGGGAAGAAGTGAGCTTGTAGATACGGGTCTGTATCTCAACGGGGTGTGCTCTCAATTAGGGATAATAACGAATTCTTCTTCTGGTTACATGATAGGAGTCTTCTATAAAGGGAAAACGCGGTTTTATTTCAACCGCACAGTCTGAGTGTAATGTCTTCTCTTCAGCCAGCTCGAATCTATGGCGATTGTCAGCAACTCGCTGATACCTGATCTGACAATCCCTCGAGACAAACAATATTTAAAGACAAGCAGCTACAACTTCGTGTTGTGGGGTATTTCCGGGGCTATTTGCTGGCAGGGGATATTTCGGGAATATCTGCTTTCGCCGGAATTGCAGAGATTTCCCCATCGGCATTATGGAGACCTCCAACTGGACTGCTAGGTTACCGCTATGGGGTGTCAAATACCACATCCAATGGCCTTCCTACAAGGCATTTCCCAAAAGGGAATAACACGACGCTAAAAGATCAGGTTGCAAATGCTGGCCCGTGGTCTGACATACTAAAGCATTAAGTAATCATTACTCAGCTCGTTACATCGTTAGGGCTTTATTATTGTAAAGGGCCCGGAGCCTGCTGTATAAATAAAGCACTCCCCTCCGAAGACTGCACTGCTAATCTCTCCCACAGTCGACGACATCCCTCCGAGCATGCGACGTCCACCCAGGCGAACGTTTCTAAAATCCCGACGAAATGTGGATACGACGTGACATTCAATCCCCGACAGAGTGTTTCAACATGTTCGACTAGCCGAGCGTGCTCTGGCATCTCTTCCGCCGCAATGGCCGCTATGGTGGCACACCAGAGAAGCAACGGACTGCACAGGACCTGCGTCATTTGATCGAGTTTGCTGGCCAGAAGCGGGAGGATCATAGCGCGGATCAGGGCCGACCGCGGGAGGGGAAAGGTAACGTGCGTTGCGTATAGGTTCGCTGCCAGTCGGCAGGTGAGGTACAGCCCATGGGAGACGGAGAGGTCATCTGGGGATACCTCGCACATATCGAGGACGGATTCAACGGGGTCATGCTCGTCGGGCAGGCTGAAGATGGCGTGGTGGACTTGGTTGCGGACGTCGGCGAAACGGTCGCAGTCTGATGGATCGAGGTGGCGATTGTAGTACCATTGCACTAGGGTGGAGTATTCGCTGAGGTGGAGGAAGACGTCCACGATGGGCCCTTGCACCGGCGGGCAGGAGGATAACAGCTCCCTGAACCCCTGTTTCTTCATCGTGGATGGGTCGTCCGGGAGGGGAAAGACAGTCAGAGGAGACGGCAGGTTGATCTCGTTGCCTTCTACATCGACGCGGGGGAAAAGTGGTTTGGTCAGAGCGTGGGCCGCCTTCATTAGATCCGCGCTGGACGACATTAGCATAATCCACGGTCAATGGGGAGAGAGTCGAGAGTGTAGACGCCACTTACATTGTGATCAACCAGCCCAAGGCGAACAGCTTGATCGACTGGATCCCGCCCAGCTGGCGCAGCAGATGAACGATGACATTCCAATGTGTGGAGTGATAATCCCGGCTGCCATAGAACGATAGCGACTGCATATTCACGAACGGAGGCGTGAACGGGCTTGGGTCGCGGCTAAGGTCTCGTCTCGTGGTCTCGTTGACAGCCAGATGCAAGATGGCCATGATGACTCCATCTCGCCATTCTTCGTTGGTATAGTCGGCCACATGCTCGCGCAGCAGCCGCAGGAGTCGGCCCTTGTAGTACAGCTGATCCCGGGTGTCCAGCACGGGATTGGATCCATAGCTAATGCGCAGGACGTCTCGGTGGCACGACGCAGCCCATAGGGTGGTGTAGATCAGGATATTGCTTTCCCAGTTCGGCGCCAGCCGCGATTGGTAGCATCTCCTGGCGTAATCGTCAAGGCGGAAGTTGGGCCAGAGATTCATGAACGCTAGTCATGTTAGTCTGTCTCGGGATCGTGCAGATGACAAGTAGACCAACCATGGTGAAGGATATCGTCTACGCTTGGTCCAACAGTGGCATCCACCGGAGAAAAGGGATCTATCCTGCTAGAGACAAGGCTCAGAGACGGGCCCGCGGTGCTGCCTTGCGTCTGGTCAGGCACACGCACTCCTCCACAGGTCTCGCAGATGCGGAAAAGAGTTCCGTCATTATTTGAGTTTTGCGTCTGACTTTGAGGCACTGTTACGCTAGTTCTGATCCCCGTAGTCTGAGGCTCGGAAGATCCTAGGGCCAGATCCTGGTCCCTGACCGTTCCAGGGCAGGTACACCCCTGGGCCGCTAAGTGCCCGTCCCGTATCTGACGTTCGGCAATCAATTGCTCTCGCTTGGCCTCCTCCACCTGTCGGTAGGTATTCCGTTTCTCTGAGATGCGGCGGCGGATCAGAGCTGACCGTGTGTTGCGGGATTTAGCGTCACCACCTCGGCCCAGCGAGGGGCCGTCCACAAAGAGGATCTGCTGCGGTTTGCCGCCTCGTGGGGTCATGGCGAGCAATCCACGCAAGACCACGGTCAATCTCTGACTACGAAGGGTCCTTGGTCGATCCGATCCTTCTGATCATCACAGCCGGAAGCTGACGTGGGAGTATTTTCCTGCTGTGGTTAGCGTGACTAGCGTGCGGACATCTGCACCACTTTGTTGGGCTCGATGGCAATTGGGCAGATGGATTTGGTGGCTTATGGAGGAGCTCGAAATAGTCCAATTAGAGGGGTGAAACACACTTCCCAATTGGGAGGCTGGTATATCCACCGTCATTACTGAGGGCCCTTTGTCGAGCATATCCTACAACACTAGACACTAGAACTAGACTCAGATTAATCAACTGATAATTTGTGAAGAAAAGCAAAACTCCATTCATGCAACGGTCATTAACCAATCATAATCACGGATCCCCAGACAAAGCCCCCAATCTCGCCATCATCGTCCGATGAGGCCCCTCTTCGCCCTTTTCATCAAACAACAGCACCAGCATCTGCATCATGATTGAACTCCTCAGACCATGCACTTCCTTCCGCGATGAGGACGAGGAGCCACTGGAAATACTAGCTGGTGAACCCCCCTCCCCCACCTCCTCCTGCTGCACCATATCCGCCATCAACCGCAGCACATCCTGCCACCGCCGCCGCAACGTCTCCAGCTCTTTTGTTAACCGCTCATTGTCCACCTCGAGCTTGAGATTCGCACTCTTCGCCTCAGCCAGCTGCCGACTCAGAGCGTCGTTTTCCGCCCGCATCTCCTCCATCTTCTTCCGTAGTTGGATGCGCTCCTGTTCCCGCCGCTCGCGGAATCGGCGCTGCGCTTCGCGGTTTTGTGATTGTCGGCGGTTGGGCTGTTCATTATTTAGCTTTCACTATTCCTCTGTAGATGGTGGACAATCCATACATTAGAGGGAGCATTGACGTCAGGACAACCGAGCTCGCCGGGCGAATCCTGGTTCGAGCCGAGGTAGGCCGTTGCCTGCGGCGAGAGCAGAAACATCTCTTGCTGCGCGGACATATGTACTCCTGGAAACCGCAGATCGCTGCTTATAGTTGGCGACAGGGCACAGTTGGAGTCGTTGTCCATGACTTCATCCCATTGTAGGGATCGGGGGCGGAGGTCGTAGGGCATGTCTTGCTGCGAACGGAGGGTGATTGGATTTGGGTACATGTCCATTACTATTCTCACTCGTAGAACTGAGATGTCGACTAATTGCCTCGAGGGACGAGGGCGCAGAGAACGCAGTCATATATAAGCTTGTGACACTGGCACTGGCACCACTACGGCGGTCATGACATAGGTGAATCAACCGAATAGGCCATACTATTTTGATTAATTGGTTCTGGCCTTCAGCATCTCCCGCGTGTCAAGAACTGCCAAGAGTCTCTTAGCTCGAGACGAATTAGGAAATTGGTCTCTGGAAGGTCCTCGCAACACTGTCAGACCCAGAACCCTTGAGCTGCGAAATCCAGACCCGTTCGCCTCTCTTCTGACAATAACGGAGACTATCATCTTGGCAATGCATCTATACCCGACCTGGCAGTGTGTTGCTGCTGTGCGATTGGTGCAATGTCAGCCCAGCGATCTAGCCTGTTGGGACTACGGCGCAGGAGATGTTTGTTCCCCTGCCCGTCTTTTTCCGTGTTTCGCCGGCCCTCGACTTTCAGCCCCATTTCCGACGGATTATTGTGCATTTCTACCCTGCATAGGCTGTTGGGCTCAATCAATCTATTTCGTTATCTGATCTATCATTTCCATCAATCAGCGCCCCTGCTGATGACGGGAGATGCAAATCTTCACCCTCGTGGGCCCCGGGCACATGGAACGACTCTGCCATGTGTGGATTCTAATTATAGCGCAATTTGCCCATTGTGTTCATGCTTATCTATAACGAGCTACCTACTCCATAGAAACTGTCATACCAGACTCTAACCTCTCTGTCAGAAACGATAACCTCACCTGCCCAACCCCAACAATAGCTACTAGCTATATTCTCCTTACTTTCAGGATGGCCGTAAACAGAATCAATTAGTCTATAAAGTTAGTAGTGAGCTCTAAACCGGTATGTCTAGATAGGTTCATCTCTTGGCTCAATCAGGACCTCATTCACCGCCACATGTGCCGGCTGTCGCAGCGCATACACAATCGACTTGGCCACATCCTCCGGGTCCAGAATCTTCGCCCCCGACGGCTCGCCGTACTTTTTGATCGCCTCCGCGTCCGTCGACATCCCAAGCAGATCGGTGGCCGTGTTTCCCGGCTGAATGGCTGTCACACGCAGCCCCATTCCCGCTGTCTCCAACCGCAGCGACTGCAGCGTCGCCTCCACGAAGAACTTGCTGGCCGAGTATACGCCCAGGCCGGGGAAGACCTTGCGTCCGGCGTCAGACGAGATGGCAACGATGTGGCCGCTGCCGCGGGCCAGCATGCCGGGTACCGTCGAGGACAGGCAGTGCAGGAGGCCCTTGCAGTTCACATCGACCGTGCGCTCCCATTCGTCCGTCTTGACGTTGGCCATCATCGTGTAGTACATGACACCGGCGCAGGACACCAGGATATCGACCGGACCCAGCTGCTCGCTGGCGGCCTGCACTAGTGCTTCCACCTGCGCACGGTCGGTGACGTCGGTGCGCTGAATGAGGATCTTGCTGCCTTGGCCGGACAGCCGCCGCTGGAGAGACTCGAGCGCGTCCATGCGGCGAGCTGCCAGTGCAACATGGCATCCTTCGCGCACGAGGGCGGTGGCCACGGCGGCACCGATGCCGGATGACGCGCCGGTGATGACGGCCACACGGCCGTTCAAAGGGCCGCGAATGGCGGCAAGAGGCTTGCCCAACCGGGCAGGCGCCTTGGGAAGCCATCCACGAGCGAACCAGTGGCGAGTGTAGGTCTCTAACAATGCGCGATCAACCTTGGGCCGTTCTACCACCGCTCGGAAAGGCCTGGTGGCCGCGTTGTCGAGCACGACGATTCCCCTCAGGAATTCCACCGTGGGCATACCACTTCGCAGAATGTCAACAGTAAATGCACCGTCGCCTCCCTTGACCGATCCTTGTTTCTCGGTCCAAAGCGCTACCCACTCATCCCATCCGAGTCGCTTGGTCGGGTATCCCAACTCCGTGAGGGCGTCAAACACCTGTCTTGTGTCTACCGGATCCGGGTCACCCAGGTGGAAAATCGTCTGGTCGGCCTGCGTCTGCGTGGCCAGGTGGACAATCGCCTTGCTGACAAAGTCCACCGGAGTCATTTCGGCCCTCCAGCCGTCGACGTCGGGTGCGTAGCCAAGCTTGACGGATTCGACTATCAATGCCGACAACAGATCCCACGCATTGGCCGCTCCCGTGATGCTGTGACCGCTGATCGTGCCCGCACGGTGAATCTTGACGGGCAGTCCGCGGCGACCGGCCTCCAGGACCAGCTGCTCGGCCACCCACTTGGTCTGTCCATATCCGTCCAGCAGCTTGGTGGGAACGTCTTCCACGGGTAACATGGCGTCCTCGGGCCATCCCTTTTCACCGGACGGGGGCAAAACTCCGTTGGTGGAAACATACTGTACTGTTGCGCCGCCCTTGCTGGCCAGACGCAGAATTTCTCTGGTTCCTCCCACATTGGGACCACGCAGGGCTGCGTAGGGGTATACTAKGTTGACAGTAGCAGCGGCATGGACGATGACATCCACCCGAGCGGCCAGCTCGTCAAACGCCTCGGGGGACAAACCAAAGCGGGACCGGGACAAGTTACCAGGCAGGATCTCGACGCGTTCCATGATCGAGTCGCGCCAAAGACCCAGATCGAGCAGATTGCGACGGATACGAGCCACACCGCCAGGTTGATCATCGTTGGCGGGTTCGTTGAAACGCACCAAACAGATGATGTGCGCGGATGTGCTTTCCAGCAGATCGTGGAGGAGGAAAGCACCCAGGAATCCAGTTACACCGGTCAACAGCACCGTTTGTGCATCGGTCACGGATCGGATCTTCACATCAGCAGAAGGCCGGATGTCCTCATCCAACGTCGCGTCTGCACGCAGCACAGCCGGCAGATCGGCCTGCACTGCAGCGGTGTGACCGTCTCGGATAGCACGCACAGTTTCCAGGTGACCGACCAGGGTAGAGTTCTCGGCCAACCGCGCGATGGGAACACGGAAACCGAACTCTCGCGAGAATTTCGACGCGAGTTCGGCCAGCGAAAGTGAGTGACCGCCGAGGTCGAAGAAATTGTCGGTCGGCTTCAACAACGCCTTGGGAGTTCGCAGTGTCGTAGCCCAGATGGCTGCTACTTGGTCAATACCGATGGGATCCTTCTCCTTGGCCCCATTGCCATTCACCGGAGTGGGAGCGGGCGGAGGAGGCAGTCGTTTCAGATCCACCTTGCCCGACACCTCATGCGTCGGCAGTTCGTCCATTTCCACCCACAGGGCCGGAATCATGTAATGAGCCAGGTACGGCGCCAAAGTTTGTCGCGCCGCCGGGCTGTGACCGGACGGGTTGATCTGGACAACCGGACGATCGGTACTGTCCTGGTCTCGGACAAAGTACGCCACCAGCTGGCGATCCAATCCTTCGCCGTGCGCGATCACGGCACAATGACTGACCGCCAAGTGCTTGACGATCTCGTTTTCAACCTTACCAGGAACCACCGAATAGCCACGGAGCTTGATCATCGCACCCACGCGACCGGTGATTTCCAGCAGCCCGGAAGGTAGAATGCGAGCGCGGTCGCCGGTGCGGTACATGCGCGCACCGGGTGTGGAGTCGAACGGATCGGCGGTGAAAGCCTTGGCGGTAGTATCGGGGAGATTGAGGTATCCGCGGGCAAGAAGGGGCCCTCCAACAAAGAGCTCTCCACTCTCGCCGTCGGCAACGGTCTTGCCGTCTTCACCCAGAATATAGGTGTGCTTCGGATCCAGAGGCGGCCCCACTGGACAATACGGGGTGTTGTCATCCAGCATCTCCCGAATATCGCCGCAGGCAATCTCATGTGTTTCGCATGCGCTGTAGCAATTCAGTAGCCGGGCGGACGGGAGAGCCTTGATGGCCCGTTTAGCGAGATCAGTCGTGACCACCTCGCCGTTCAACCACAACGTGCGTAGATTTGGCAACCGAGCTCCGAGATGGGGGTGACGCGCGAGGACGGTGGCCAGCAACGTTGGCGTCATGAGAGTTTCGGTGATGCGTTTGGCCGCCAGGAGATCCACCAGCGCTGCGGGATCGTAGCTCACGTCGTCCGGAACCGCCACGACAGTGGCACCACGCAACAATGGGCGCAGAATCTCCCAGATGAAGAACACATTGCAGGCCACCCGATCGCCAGGCTGCAGATCCTGCACGCCGAATCGGAGATTATACGAAAGCACAGGCGCTCGATGTGGATTGGCAATTCCCTTTGGTTTGCCCGTAGTTCCCGAGGAATACGAGACAAAGGCCAGTCGATCCAGGTCATCCCCAGCCGGCAGAGGAGTCGATGGTTCCTTGGTGTGTCCATTGGCATCTGTCGCGGGCTCATCGAGAGCGATCAGTGGCACATCGGCTTTGACCTTGTTTGCCTCGGCGCGGTGAGTCACCACAGTCACCGGCTTCGCATCTTCAAGGACGTCTGCCAGGAGATCCGGAGGGTAAGCCAGCTCCAGAACAAGGAATGCGCCTCCTGCACGGAGAGCGGCCAGACAGGCGATCACGTAATGGGCGCTCCGAGGCAGAAGCACGCCAACCAGACTATCTCGTCCGACTCCATAGCTTCGCAGACGCTGAGCCAGAGCATCCACTTCCTTGTCTAGTTCGGCATAGGTGTATATGGTGGAGTCATCTTCTAGTGCGGGGGCATCGGGAGTCGCATGGACCTGCTTGGTGAACAGGGCCGAGAGGTCTTTTGTGGTATCGAGAATAGACATTGAGTGTATCAGCTTTCAATTCGGACTGAGGCCGTTGTCCTGACACTTTTGAGGATGTCGGTTTCGAGGAGTTGGTGGGTATTTGTGGGACGGGGGGAGAGGCGGTGATGTGGAGAAGTAACGAGAAGAACGAATGAAGGCCACCGCGGTGTCGGCGGCAGAGGGTAAAAAGCAAAGAGAAATCTGGAAGTTGTTAGTGGACAAAGTGAGAAGATGATCCAATGAGGCGTGGAGGGACGTGGGATAGAAGAAACTTACCTGTCAGGTTGGGGATGGGAAACAAGAAAGAGGCAAAGAGGACAAATTTCTTTTGTTGAGGAAGAAGCAAGCAAGAAATGAGTGAATCTGGGAAGCTGGCCTCAGGAAGCTCTGGGAGAGAACCAATTAGAGCCGGATGGAAGTGGAAACCCTGAAAATAGTACCTTGCGATGGCTACGGATGAACTCCCCGCTAGACCCAATCAGCGGGGAAGTTGGAGACATCTGCCACATCTTATCTATCTAGGTGCTTACCACGTTCTATCATGATATCATATCATAGGTACTTACAGAGTACAGAGGAGAAGAGACAGAAAAGGCAACTGCTCGTGAGACCATCGGAGACCAGCATGATTGGAGGTAGCAATTTGCCTGATCATCTGAGCAGGGATTCCCCTTGCAGGCGCATCAACAGTGGCCCGATAAGGATTTCTGTTGACAGATTCAATCATCACATGCAAATGCTGCGAGTCAGGTGATCTGCCCCACTACTGCCCGGATATCATTGGTTCATTTAGCCAGGATCAGAGTGGGGTAGAAAGACTGGAGCCTCAGGCACAACAGCAAATGGCCAACGCTGCCAGAGCCCAGAGGAGCAGACTTGATACTGTCGAGGTCTGCTTAGACTCAGGTGAAGTACATCCCTATCCTATTTTTGTGAGAATATAGCCCAGTCGCATCTTACTGCCATAAATGAAAAACAGACGGAAATTCTATCCATTCGTCATGATCATGGTTGTCGGAATTATATACCTTCCCTAATAGAGAGAGCAGGCAACAGAATTACGTATGAGTATCAATGCAGTCTCTAACCGCCGTCTTTTCTTTCTATCTGAGAATTTTCCTTCATTAGTGCGCCTGGATCAAAGCCAGGATTCGGGACTGGGATCGGGGAGAAGGGCGTGTCCAAGTTGCACAAGTCAAAGCCCATGTCTGGAACTTGGCTCCAGTCCAAACCCATGTAAGCAGATTCATCCATCTGTTCGATATCCGGGATATCGCATGCATTAAGTGGAGCATCATCCTGCATAAACCCAGGGGCTTCCTTTCGTGGGAAACAAGACTCGGTAGTGGGAGACATTGGCCGAAACGGAGGGACAGTCGAGAAATCAGTGCCGAGAGCTTGTTCGAGTGAAAAGGGCGGAGTATCCACGCCAAAGTCAGATTCGACCATGTCCATGCCGTGCGCGTCTCCATTCAGGGACGGGGTTCTAAACTCCCATAGAGTGAGCGAAGACCCGGCCTGCTGCAACCTCCGTGGATTGCCGTCTCCGCTTTCAAACCACGACCGCATTCTGCTAAACACGGTGGTTAATTTCGTAGCGGGCCACAAAGGACCCCATCCGGCGGACATCTGGATAACGCGATCGAGGCGATGGGAAACCTGAAGTCGCGCGACTTGCAACCGCGCATCGTCAGTTGGTAATTTGGTTGCTGCAAAGTATAGTTTGACCAAAATCATGAATGTGTAGATTATCCGGATCAGGTACATCGCGGGTAGGGCTCGAATCGTCGACATATCCAGAGAGGTGAACACTCGAAAGATGTTGTCTGTCGTTTCCAAAAACTCGGGAATCGCATGTGTCTCAATTGCAACAATAGACGGCGAGCCGACGGTAACATCATCATTCGTCGGTGTACAGTAAGCCACTTCGTTTATGTATAAGCGTGAGAAATAGTACGAGAACTCGAGGGATTCTGTAACGAATCTCCATCAGTCACTGTTGTTCACTGTTGACGCAAGGAAAGAAAATTTACCGTCCCAACAGCCATCGGCAACGTCCTTACGCCATTCGTTGAGCTGCCGTTTGAAAGCACGATGTATCATCTGAACCTGGATAGTTTGTGCGTTATCATGAGAAGAAGCCTCTTCCACAGACAATTGCATCGCAAATTCTTCGGTTATATGCTGCAGACGGATATGCCGACACAGAACCTTGTCGGATGGAAGGGCAGCTGGCGAAGTTTCCAGTACCTCCAGGCATTCGTCCATAAGACGGGTCCATCTCATGACGTTCGGAGCGCGAAGGGACATGGAGGTGCTGGTATAGACAACGTTAACACCGCTGCGCAAAGAGACGCCCTTTCATTTTCGCCTTCCTTACTTCGAGCAAATGTAGTGACACCCTAGCCATACTCTCCGAGCTTCCAACGACTCAGCCTGGGAACTACCCCCAGATCTGGCGTTCAGAGTCTCCCCTAATCTCATGATCAAAGCCATATTCGCTGCGGTGTGGCTAATCTGGTAAATGTCCATCTGTTCCCCGGGCTCTACAGGCTCGATCGTGCGATACCATGTGGCAGACACAATTAGGGCCTGGAGCAATCCGATTGTATACTGTTCCGTCCGGAGCATGCAATGAACATATGCCTGAACAATCAGCTTCCGCAGCTTCCTCTGAGTTTCAAGCGCACAGAATCCCGACGAGGCCACGTCGAGAATGGCCAGGAAAAGAAGAGGATTAGCACTTCGGACGTCGGCCGCCTTTGTTCCTGGCGCAAAGACGACGACCGGGAATGTGGGCGCCATGTTGGTCAAATAGCGACCAAATATCGTTTCTGTCGTACGGTCATCGAGGTCGGTGATGTTGTCGGCGAGCCATGATTGTATACTAGATTCGAGATCTTCCATCCTAGGGCTGCCTACCGCGGACGGAGTTGGGCCGGTTAGCGATGAATATAACTCGGTTCTTCAGTACTGGTTTTGCAGGCTAACCGTTAATGAGCAGATTTCGATCCGGTTGGGTGTTGTGCGACAATTCTGAAGGCGAACGGAGGGTGTCCCCGGACGGAGGTTTATCCCCAGCGCTGTCCTCCAATTCTGCGGAGGACAACATCAACTCGATTCGCGATTGGATCTCGAGGATATGTTCGTTTAATTGTCGTTGTCTCTTCCCTGGTTGGCTCGTGGCATCAATGCAACTTTTGCCAGACTTCTGGCACCTGAGGCACGGCCTGCCAGGGTTCGGCTGGTCGCATCTTACTTTGGAGTCGCGGCAGGGCTGGCATGCTCGAGTAATATTGCTGCCGAGTTGCAAAGAGATTGGTAAAAAGAAAGCTTTTGTTTCGCCGGCATCGATGCATTTGACTCACATTTTCTGCTGCTGCTCTCCTCCCATGCCCACGCTACCTGGTTCCACAGCTTCATTGTCGGGAAGTGAAAAAGGCGTATTTATCCCAAACTCCATGGATGCATACTGTGGATATCGATCGGATGAAGAATTTACTGCGAGCCAACTCCAACGGAGTAAAGTAAAATATCAGGAGGAACGAAGAACACGAAGTGACAGGAAGCTGACAGAAGCCAGCAGATGCTAGTTACCACCCCACCTCCCCTCCACAAGAGTTGAGGGCATCTAAGCAACCCCAGACACGGTCGACGCGATGGAACGGCTTATAAACCACGCTGGCCACCAGACAGATTAGTGCCTGACTTGCGAATGACGAAGAAATCAATAATACGGCAACTCGGGTTCAGAGTGTTGAGAAACGGGGGCTGCGAACGTTGAGAATTCAGAAGAGACAACAATTAGCCTCACTTGCCAGTCAGCCCGCACTAAGAACTGATCCTTGCAGCTTTAGTCTGGCCGAGCATAGACCCCAAGGGGCTAGTCTTCGCAGTGGATCAAGGTCGGTCATTGTTGTTTGAAAATCACTTGACTGTCTCCAAACCATGCGTCGTCCTTCTCACTGGGAAATACAGAATAGCCCGGCACTAGATTACCTGGGGCAAGCTAAGATCGCGGTCCAGCACAGATAAATACCAAGTGAAACTACATGTACGACGTGATTGATGGAGTTTGGGTTCGGCGGGTTGAGATTCTCAGTGTGCACTCTCAATTAAAAAGAAGTAATAGTTACGAATAAAAATAGTCAGGGTGTGTTTTAGGCTTAGCCAGGGGCTAGCACACCGGACACTTGTAATGCTGGCCTTCGCTTCATACTCCTAGGGCCTCTCCAATGGCTCCAGCGGACATTCCCCATAGGGCCCACCATAGACAATATAGTTCGCCTCCATTCCTTTACTCAGGTGTGTAGTGAAGTGGCAAATCAATTGCCACCATCCAGGGTTGAATGCAGTCATCAATACTGTTCTCATTTGTCCAGGGTTCAGGGTGACGGTGGCAGATGTGGTGTTCGAGACGGGATCGAAGATGTTATCGCCATGCATATGGAAGACATGGGTGTCAAAGCCCATGTCGTAAAGGTACCAGATTACATTGTCGTTCAGGCACATTTCGAAGGGCGGGCTGTTGGCGTAGATATAGCCGTTCAGCTGCGAATAAGACATGTATCAGTGATTGAATTGCATGACATGTCTCAAGAAACGGAGAAATAACTTACTGGGAAGAAATTTGGCGCCATTTCAGACGTCACATTAGTCTTTGGTGTATTGATAAACTGCGGATACCAGATGCTGAAATTCCCCCGGCCATCGGTCACATTTGGATACTGGTACGACAAGTTCGCGACCTGCGACGCCATGCCAGGCAGGTACCTGCGGACGTTCTGCAGGGCAAGAAATGAGTTCCACTCCTGGTTGTCTGTGTAGAGAAGGACAAATTCACGATTCTGCCGCATGACCCTCTCCATTTGTCCCCGATTGTAAATGATAACAGGCCCATAGGAACCAGCATCCTGGTCTTGATACATGCTGACATATGGATGGTAGGTCCAGATTCGGCTCTGGAGGCCGTGGTTCGGAGCGGAGTTGTCTGCAACGAGCCTGTAGGGATATTGTTAGGCATCAAATCTTCATCCATGTCAGGTATTTCTGAGAAACTGGGGCAAAGGCACCATTTATAGACAAAGCATCCTCCTGGTGGAACTGCGTCCCCTACCTCAACGCGACTCGTCCCATTGTAGTATACGCTACCTTCGGACGATTTGGTATAGTACAGCCCCATCGAATGCATGCTCGAGAAGAATTCTTCCATCTTGTTGACGAACAGGACCTGCCAAATCTTAGTATACTCCGAGAAAATGTCTTTGATTTGTGAATAACAAACCTCGATCATATCGCCGACTTCGCCGCGGATTATCGGTCCCTGAAACCCAAGCCAGTCTGGCTGGTCAGATTCTGTCTCGAATGTCTCATCGGTATATCCCCTATACAGCGCCTTGTCGTATCTGGTTCCGATGCTCGTGTTCGAGGCGATGTATCCATAGGTCTGAGCACGGAAGGACTCGTTGAAGGGTACACCGAGCCAGTTGTCCCAGCCTACACGTTCATATCCTCAATTAGTGTCTATGGACGGATGTGCATTCAGACTCCATACCTGTCGGAGCATAATCCCAAGTCACAACCTCGGCTGCCACATAGTATCGACGAACGGTACCGGAGAAGTGAAAATTTGGAGGAACATAGTACGGCAATTGCCCATTCAAGCGGGCCAAGCACTCCTCCGAGACTAAGGGTTGACGATCATTTGCCGTGGACGGCGCTGCAACGGCGCCAGCAGCCACCGCGAGGAGTGAGAACGAGAAGAGTATAGAATGCATCGCTAATGGTACTTTAAGGAAAGCGTTTCAGGGGAGATTTCTGGGTTAAAGAAGAAAAGGCTGTCAACAAAGTGCCAGCTACATACACAACGACGAATGCAGGATATATATGTCAATTGCCAGTCACCATGATAAATGCAGGATGTAGCAAGATAAAAAATGCCTGGTTTTCCGATGAATGTAGGACATTGACCTCTGGAAAGACTTGTCAGGAAGGGGCCGTGGAACAACTGAGAAGCGAAAGGCAACCACGACGAGTGCTATTACTCTGGACTCTGGAAGCAATAGAGGATCTGCCATGATTTCAGAAGGTCAACTGCATTGGAAAGAGTTTGTCTGACCAAAATAGTCGATTCCTTAATACTCTACTTTTTGTACTCATAGCACACGCGCCAGACTCATCTTAAGATATTCTCAGTGCTGCGACAGCCCGACAGACTAAGGAAAGGGCATAGTTAGTTGGTTACTAATGTAGCCCTGTAAAGTGCAAAGATAGCAGTAATAAAATCAATCTAAATAGTAGTTTTACACTAGCCACCCACAGTTCACTCAAATAATCAGACTACTCCATACTCACTCCCTCCTCTGTACTTTCTTATTGCTGTCCCTCTTGACTGTTGCCATATTATCCCTATCATCAACATGGCCACATATCGGTACTGCATACCATGACTCACAATAAGAAACGAACAACTAACACAGTTTTACAGGGAAGCCTGGAGTCTTTTTCAAGATGAACCTAACTTTCCCTCCATGAGTAACGGGATGAGGCCGATGACTTCGGACCAGAACACAACTACTACAACATTATCGAAAGCAGAATTGATCTCAGAACTTCGGCTTCTTCGACAAGACTTGCAAGAGCTGCAGTCTTCCAGGTAAGACATTCTCCTGCGATCATCACAATGGCACTGATTCCATCTCGAGCAGTAATCCAAATCAAACCCCGCAAATAAGCGACCGACCTGAGCCTTCTACATCGGCCACTCAACCAGACAATTCTCTCCCGAATCGAGATTCTGGGTCTGAGAAGCGGGGAACATTACGCTGCTGGGAATCCTGTTGCAACGGCCGATTATTTTCAAATCGAAGTAACTTAATACGACATCAGCGAGAGCGAAGGGGCGAATCCGCGAAGCTGCGGTGTTCCTTTTGCGATGCGGTTTTCTTGCGCAGCTCCGCCCGTAATGCGCATGAGGCTGCCAGACGATGTCGACGATGAAGGGAGCGTGCGAAGAGCGGGCAAAAGCACTATCGTTGGCTCGTTTAGATCAGTTGGCTGAATATAGAAAGAAAGTCATCTAGGTCGTTTTCGTCAATGTGAACGCAATATGCGGGTCCTCGACGCCCCGGTAGCGGTCTTTGATCCGGCCTTGTCGGTGGCATCTATCAGCGTTGACCGTTGACCGGGGAGTCGCGTACTTGAGAGTTGAAACCATTCGATAAAGCAAATAGTACTCCTTGTAGGCCGTAGATCATGAATCCGCGTTTTGTGAGATATCATGGCATGTAGCAATCGATCAGCGCATCGACGCCGGGGAAGACAAGACGATCGATCGTTACACTGGTCATAGCTTTATAGTATAGCATATCGTCAGCTCGGATCTAATTGAATGATGCACGAATAGCTGTTGTTAATCAATTTCTGGTTTCCTGTCGGAGGATCGAGGGATCGAGAGCGACCGCTCTTATTGATCCTTCGGCGGAGGATCACCGAGGTGAGGTGGCTTGCCTAGGGGAGTAATTGGAGGTATTTGAGGAAGAAACGCCCCGATCGTCTTCCTCTATTTCGTATTATCTGAAAATGGTATCCTTAAAGACAGTACAAGCATCCAACGCTGGCATTCGTGCCCTCCCCAACATAACTGCCCTATTCGTTGGTGGCACCAGTGGCATCGGCCAGAGCACCCTGCGCCAGTTGGCTCGTCACGCCGACAGCCCTACGGCCTATATAATCGGTCGCAACAAGGCTCGCGCCAGTCCATTTCTTTCTGAACTGCGGCAACTGAGTCCCAAGGGTCGCTTCCACTTTATCGAGACGGATGTATCGCTAGTGCGCAATGTCGATGCCGCGTGCCGGCAGATCCTCCAGCGGGAGAAGCAGCTGAACTTTCTCTTTATGACTCCTGGGGGTATCTCTTTGGGAGGGCGCAATGGTATGATTCTGCGTTAAATTGTATTGTGATATCTTCCAGCTGACGAATGATCCAGATACTGTTGAGGGTATAGACTACCTCTTTGCTCTCCGCTACTATTCCCGCATGCGCTTTATCCAGAATCTCCTCCCTCTTCTTGAATCATCCGGACCAAGCCGTGTCGTCAGTGTCTACGGTGGCGGCTTCGAGTACTCCATCAACACGTCCGACCTGGACCTCAAGCACAACTTCTCTTTGCTCAACGCCTACAAGCACTCCATTACCATGACCTCTCTGAGCATGGAACACCTCGCCAACACCCACCCTGCCGTTAGTTTCATTCACGTCTATCCGGGTCTTGTCGGCACCAATATCTACACAAACAGCTTCCCTGCACCCATTTCAACATTCTACAACTACGTGATGTGGCCGTTCATGTGGCCCTTCTCCGTGAATCTCAGCGAGACTGGCGAGCGACATCTATTCCATCTGAGCTCTGCACGCTACCCGGCTAAACAGGGCATCGCGTCCCAAGGAGTTTCGGTTGAGTCTGGAGATACGGCTACAGGCACTAATGGGGAAATTGGGAGTGGTGCTTATCTACTGAATTGGAAGGGAGAGGTTAGACCGAGTACAAAAGTTCTGGCGCAGTATCGGGAACAGGGGATACCGAAACTGGTTTGGGGCCATACAGAGACTCTTCTGGATGGAGCGGTGCGTCGATAAACATCTAAGAGATGCTTGATTTCCGTTGTTGCAAATGGTTGGCTAGAAAATGTATTAGTACTCAACGGCGAAGATCTATATTCTACACTCAGCAAGCATGCATGGATTTAGACCAGATCTCACTCCCTCCTCCATATAGTGCCTGTAGCATTCACGGCTGCGTTGGACCGCTTAGCCGCCTCAGGTAATGCTCGAAGACGTTCGGATTAGTACATAAATGCGATGTGATGCTATTAACAAACTGAAGAGACAGACTGCAAGGGATAACTACTCGGTAGTGATCTTCATTCTGACTAGGGATTGGAGTTAAGGAAATAAAATAGTCAGGTTTAGCAAATCTGATCGAGATCTTTCGAAATTGGCTGTATATAAGACAGCGACGAGCAGGGACAGCTCATGTGATACGGTCATGTCAACAGTTGCTGACCCCGCTTGTGATTCTCAGCACTGCAGTTCTCTGATTCCCCTTCTCACCTGCCAAATACCAAGTTCAAAGCAGCGGCAAGTTTTATCCTGCTTATGGCACTCAATGGCTGCATTATTCGGATCGCCTAGCGGCATAAGTAATGATGCCAATGAGCGCTTGGAGCGAGGGAAACCGGACGACAAAGTGAGAAATGGAAAAGACGAAAAGGAAACAGACGACACGACGCGGGAAAGGAACAAGAGATGGGAAATGGCTTTTGCAGCCCGGATGAGGGAGATTGTCCCTGGCCTTTTCCTTGGTAACGTCGAGGCCTCGTACAAGCAAGACATGCTTCGAGAGAATCGTATCAACGCCATAGTCTCCCTTACCGACGCTCGATGGGTGTGGTGGAATAACGTTACTAGAGAAGCTGGGATCCCAGAATATCGTCACAAATGGGTCCAATGCGCCGATTCGTCAACCCAGGACCTTCTGGAACATATGAGCGACATCTGTGACTTTATTGACCAGATGGCTTCTCCAGCCTTACGATCATCATCTACTTTACCAGTGGAACATGAGCACGAATCGAGTGACAAGCCGCGCGATACACCTTCAGAGGCTGTCTTGGTCCACTGTGATCTGGGGATATCACGTTCCCCAACCGTCATCATTGCATATCTCATGCGCAAGTACGGCCTGAAGCTAGAGGATGTTCTTACATTTGTTCAATCCAAGCAGAAAGTCAACCCAAGTGCCAATTTTACCCGGCAACTTGAAGTCTGGGAGCAGACGGGATATGAAGTGTGGGAGGACGAGGAGAAAACAGTCCCGAAGGCGCCGTATCGAGCATTTCTGGAAGACCGAGCAGCTCTTCTGAAAAGAAAGGGGCTCACAGGCAATGAGCCTCTCGCGTCCCTGAACCTTTAGGTGATCACTGAGGGAAAATTTGCTCATTGCCATGCACAGATCTAAGTCCGAGGCGATGGTTGTAGCGAGTGTGCTGGGGATGCTCTGGCGGCTGCGGTCCTTGGATGGAGGGAGACGGAATAAAATCCCTTTGAAGATGATCGAGAAAAACATATCGGGGTCACCCAGTGGAGGAAGTTAGTAAGACAATGGCGATATAATATCCAGATAGTTGATATATTGAGAGTGCTGCATCTATCTAAAAGACGTACTGGGCATCAGGGTAATCAAGAATTGTCGGCAGTTGGATGCGCAAGTCTATCGTTGAACGCTCAAACTCCTCAAACTCTCGTCTGTCAACGGCTTCTTGCCATTGTGCCACATCAAACCCCCATCCCGACAGATGCTCTGACTGAGAAATGTTTATCCTAGCTAAATGGGGATACTGCTCGCGAGCAGTCTCACGATTGAGAAGGCGGACAACCTCGATTAACGATGCATCCGGGTCCCAGATAGAAAGGTCCGTGATGGTAGAGGGAAACACCTGGTATACGAATTGTTCCGTACTCGAGTGGCGGTTATGATGCGCCCAGACTTTGTACAGAGCCTGCAGAGCGGTGCCACCGACTTCGAGGATCTCCAACCGCGCAAAGTCTTGCAGCGTCGAGACACCTTCTTCAACGTTATCATCGTCCGGGAACTCAATGTTAGTCTCGAAGATGATCTCGCGGACAGAGCTCTGGACACGTTGCAGGGCCCGCCATCCGTCCAGAGGCGACCATTCTTCGGAATCTTCGTCGTATCCGTCCGAATAGACCCAATGCAGGCGGAACTTTTGCAGACTGGGGCACGCCTCCAAAACACAGTTGAGAAAATACGGCGGCGGCGCGGTCTCATCGAGATCGAGATCCGTCAGCTTCTCCAGGCTAGGTACTCCCGCTTCGCCGGGGTAAAACATCTCAATGGAGGGAATATGGAGATACTCCAGATTCGGCGACGCATGCAACAGCCCGCTGATCTTCCCGTAATCAATAGCAAAGTGGTCGCCGCTGATATAGAAAAGCCGAACATCTAGCTTTTTCAACTTTGCAAAGACAAATTCCTTCGGAAGCGAGGCAAGCACGCTCACCATCAATTCTGGATTCATGGGCACCTTGAGGACCTCGATGTTAGGACACGACGCGATCACAAGTTCCGCTGCAAGGAGTCGTCTTTCCACGCCGATGTAGTCGTGCCAGTCAGCCGGCAATGGGGGCTGACCAAGTTTGGCGATGCAGCTCTCCACCAGCTGTCGATCTTCGTTGTCGAGGTTCTCAGCTTGGCCCGGCTCGAGGAAATCTAGACTAGTCACGCACTTTGCGAGATCAGGGCGGGCATCCAGTGTGCGGAGGAAAGAAAGAAGACGCGTCATGGGCTGGGAAGAATGGTAGTAGTGGTCGAACAGAAGCGGTTGGCAGACATCTCGAAGCCGCCGACATGTCCGACTGAGTCTAGAGAGGTGCTTCTGGCTCAGGCTGTAGGGATATGTTCCGCAGCAAATGGCGCATAAATAGCTGCTGATCTCAGCCAGGAGCTCAACAGGAAGTGTATCTAGGAAAGGGCCTGCCATGGTCATCGAAGTCTTGCGTTTGCATGGGAGTGTGATTTGGGTCAAAATGCGACTTATGTAGTCGCGTTAAGCGTCTACTGGCGATTATGGTAGGCTACAACCTGGTGGCTGAGTTCCGATAACCGTTATTGGAGGCTAGAATCTCCGCCGGGAGAGCTATGCTGGAACAAGCAGGCTAAAAGCGGCTCTTTCGTATTCATTTATGCTCATCCAAGGCTCGTGATATTGCCCCTCAATCGTGGATCTATTTGTTAAATCATGGGCACATAAAAGTATGTTTCTCGATCCATGCTTTTGTGAACGCCATAAGGCAATACATGTATAGAGTAAGATTCATAACGACTAGAAACGACGTGTAGACTATACATGGAAGGATATAAAGTGAAAGGACAGTCTAATTGTACTCTATCAGGCTCAATGTTGCAAATGATACATGTGGTCTAAATTAAAGCAATCCCGGTAAAAGCACGGTTCTCATCCGAATACAACTGCACCTTCTGCTTCCCGTCCGCGTCCGTCCGGTAAACGCTGCCCCCAAGATCGGTCAAGTAGATATGACCATGTTTCAGATCCAACTTCAGACCGATTGCCTCGTTCAGATTCCGTGTGAGGACCTCATAACCCAGACGACCAGTCCGTTCGACCTCCGAACCGGCCTCGTTCAGCAAGGCACGATTCAACGAGTTTCCAAAAGGAAGCTCGCCGCGATCTGTCCAGTACAACCTGCCAGATTCCTCGTCCATCTCCAAATCAATGGGTTCCGGCAGATCCTCCAGGAGACAACGGATATCGTCTCTAGTCGTGGCAGTCCGACCTTGGGGCATGTCAATATTAGCACAGAAGATCCTGCCCTTGTCGCCCTTCGAAGGTCCCTTTTGCGTCCAGTAAAACTTGCCGAAACGGGGAGCAACAGCAATGCCAACACACCACTTTGTGGCGTCCTGCATGTCTCCGGGTTGTTGGTATTTGCCAGTTTGGATGATTATCTCAAGTCCACTCCCGTCGTAGTTGCAGCGGAATACGCGTAGTCCTTCCCGGTCAGAGAAGTAGATTTTGTGAGCAGACTGATCCAGTGCCAGCTGCTTTGGGGTGTTGATTGTGCCCGGTTCCACAAGCGCCTTGATATCTGAACCGTCAAGGTTGGCAGAGTAGACGGCCCCGTCGTCCTTGCCTGGTATACCCATGTTGGTCCAGAACATGCGTTTAGCGGCAGAATCAATTGCCAAGCCGTCTGGCAGGGCTTGGTCCTTGACTAGTACTTGTTGAAGCTTTCCGTCGGCCGAGAATTCGACGATCTGGCCCACGTTGAAACCGGGGGTGGGGGCCGACAGACCTAGATCGAGGGCGATGATTTTGGTTTGGGCAGTGGTATTTGTCGCAGGTGGTGCTGCAGGATAAAGACCACCGCTTGCACACTTGTTGCCGAGCTTACCCTGGGAGAGATAGTTCTCCTTGAGAAAGTCGACGGTCTTCTCGGATGAGAGACCTCGCTCTGCAACGTAATGGCTTTCGATAAACGCGACGGTATCAAGGCCGACAGCTGTCGTTCGTCAGATACAGCTGCTAGAAGCAAAGGGAATACGCACCGTCCATCGTCTTGCAAGGCAAGGACCCTCCCTTGACAAACATCTCCTGCCACATCGAGTCAATCTCCTCCGGTACCGAGACCTCCTCCGCCAGGATCGTCAGCACCTCCCGCTTGACAGCCGCCCACAGACGATTGAAGATAAACCCAGTCGATTCCTTCCTAGCAACATACGGAACCGTCGCAGCCTCCTTGGACCGCTCAACCATAAACGGAAAGATCTCTTCCGCCGTATACCCATCCGTCATGAGCTCGACGATCATACATTGCGGCGGCATGTAGTAGTGCATATTCAGGATCCGGCGTTTTGTCGCCCCTGACACCTTCTCAAGCATCTCGGAAGACTTGTACGACGAGGAGTTCGATGCCAGGATACAGTCACGCGGCGCGAGGGTATCGAGTTCCGCGAACGTGTCGATCTTGAGCTGGATCTTCTCCGGCACGGCCTCGATGACCAGCCAGGCATTGTGCACTGCTTCCTCCAGGCCCTCTGTTGTCTCTACTGCTCCCGGCTTCTGGCCTGTGCTCTCGGCATACGAGGCCACGTTATCTCTGATGTAGGCTAGGCAGTCTGTACGCTGCTGAGGACTCGGATCGCGGACTTGGACATTGTAACCTGCTGAGGCCCAGATGCAGGCTGTACAAGTTAGTTTTGTCTTGGACACTTAATGTGAGAACGGGCATACCGAGTCTACGACCGAGCACGCCTGCACCGAGAATGGCGACAGGGCGTTGACGATAGTTCTTTGGGGGCTGCCACGTTGGATGCATTGTAAGCTGCGTATATGCTCAGAAGATAGTATGAATGTTCGAGTCTGGTAGAAAAAGCTATACAGAAGAACGGAAATCAAGGGCATTTATGTGCGGACCCATTCGCCATAGCCATATCTCCCGGCATATCTCCATGACGAATGACGACAGATTTCGAGACAGCGTGCCGGACGGTATCCATTCTGCAGATTGAGAACTATCCGCAGCCGTGGGATCCGCACGAGACGCAATCTAGTTCTTTGTTACGCATTCCGAGGGACAATAATAGCAATGCCCTCTAGCAACCGGTTGCACGATCCAAGGAATACTTCCCCCGAGATAAGCTTCCAAATCCGATTGGATAGATTGCCGCGGTACACGGCATGCCGATGAAGCTGTCTATCGGGCCGGAAAGCTTGACGACACAGAGTCTCTGGATAACGTCGTCACGCCAGCCAAACTCTATCAGGGTTATGTTCAGACAAGGTGTATAACTGTTACACTCCTCTCGATATACATGTAGAAGTCCGGGTGATCACTTTTCAGTCACTGGGGAATACCCTACGCTTTACGGACTTTGGCTGCTTGGTACCCAGCTTCTTCAGTCTCTCAATGGACTCGTTGGAGAACACAAGCAGGATATACTGGCTACTGACTATTGTGCACCTCGCCCCATCCATCCGTGGCGATGAGCCATATATTGCGTCTCTCCTCATAATATCCACTCCGTGAATAATTCAAGTACTCTTGCCGCTTTTCCCGATATTCGGGAAGCCGTCGTTAACTGGATCCATGGGATACTCGCCGAGAATCCTCCGCGGAGCATCCTGGATCCATCTTCAGCATCTCAGCGTATGTTCATGACCAATATTAGAAATAGTATGTAGATATATTTAGCTTATCTTTTGCTGTACTTCCAAAATTGAATGAATAACCTTCCACATTGACCACAAACATCACGTAGATGTCGTCCCACGGACTTAGTTATGATAGTATAGTAAAGCTCAGTGTAGCACACAGTGAAAATTAACCAAGTCTAATGCTGTAAAGACATACTATTTATTCTCTATTATACAC